GACTAAGAGAACTGACCCATTGTTGAAAGAAGGTAACGGTGTCACCACGGGTCAATTGTTGAGGTCTCAGGACAACTCGGTATGATAGAGGGTAAATTAGATAGGTACAGGTAATGCAGAAGACTTTAATGACCGATGCATTATTACACTTTTCCTGTGAATGCGGCAGTAATCCAGAAAGAGTCGGCATTTTATGTTAACGACATGGACGAGTTGAAGTGTTGTATTGAAATTCACAACCAGCATATACCCAACGGAAAATATTTAAAACCATCAACGAGTTATCTGTTACTAACCGATAGAAAACGAATCCGGCATCCAGTCACTACTCCCATAGGTATGGACCGCCTAATTGCTTGCATATGCTTGCTTGTTAAACAAGCGTACTTGTAAATTTTAAATAATTATCTACTTTGATGAACGTGATAAGGTTATCGGACAATTCGTGGGCTTTTGATGTATGCCGGATGGCAATTTGTCAGTTGCCATTTACAATCTAGTTGGTGTATTTGTAAACAGAGTGCGTCCATAGTATAATATAAAGTAGCAACCTATACATGTCCCACTGCTGGGCAAAGGCCTCCTCTATACAGAAGGTATCAGGGCATAGTCCATTACGCGACCCCACTGCGGATTGGTGGACTCCACATATCCTCGAAATATATTTATTGTTATTATTTCGAAAAGATGCAGATTTCCTCACGATGTTTTCCTTCACCGCTCCACACGTGACAAGTCAGCATCTCGGCTCGTCCATCATTTATAATTATGATTCAAAGTCAAAATCAAAATGTCTTTATTCAACATAGGCTTATTTTAAGCTCTTATTGAACGTCAAAAACTACCACCGGTTCACTAAACTTGACCTGCAAGAGAAGAACCGGCAAGAAACTCTGCGGTCATATATGTATACTTTATTTCTATTTTTTTTTAAGTATTTAAGTATACACACAAAATTATTTTAGTATAATTTAGGAGCAGGAGCTTTGAGGGGACTTGCAAGTGCAGAGCAAGAGTCATTTCCACACATCCTTGTCCTTAATGTATTCCTCGACATTATAATAAGCCCTTTCCATTAAGGTGGCTTTTACAAAATGTTTGAAATTATTTAAACTTAATTGTTTGTGGATGTCACCTATTCTATTATATAAGTTAATACATCTACCAAGAAACGATTTCCTGGTTTTAGCTAGTCTAAACCTCGGAATTTCCAACGTGTCACCACGGCCCCGACGCGATGTGGTATGTTTTTTTGTAAAATGGTGTAAGTTATTTCGTACATACATGATGTTCTCAAGTATGTATAGCGACGGGAGTGTTAAGATGTTTATTTTTTATAAAATATGCCGAAGGGACTCACGTGGACCCAGGCCATAGACACCCGTATCACTTGCTTTTGCAATACAAATTTCGTGTCTATACCGGATGCTAATTAATTATATTATATTTAATTATCATCCGGTATCTAATTAATTAATATTACATTTTATAATAAAAAAAGTAAAGTAAGTTCATGGGGCAAAGTGTGCGCGTGTATAATTAAATTTGTGATTAATGAGTTTCTTGCCGGTTTCTTCTCAACAGAAACTGCTTTCAGTACTTACTGGTGGTAACTTACTCACGAACAAATTATTTTTGAATAAAGATATTTTGAATGTGAATATATTAATTGAAAATTTGTTTCTTTGTTTTGGTGGTTATTTTCACTAATTAACCAAACAGCAATATCAATACATAATGTGACAGAAATACTACAAATAATGTTCTTTGATTAGGTAGTAACTATTAATTTTTTATATTTAATTACCTTAATTGCGTTATTGAAAATTGGCTTGTTACGCTTTAATTATGTTAAGTTGTGCAAACCCAGGGCCAATTCCTACTATTAATTATACTAATTCCTTGGTAAATAAAAAATAATGGTTCAGAAAAGGTGATCAGTGTATAAGTTGAAGCATTCATCATAATATGGAAACTTTTTTCAACAGGTGCAAGTTCAGGGTGGAGAGTTGCACCAACTTTTAAATCATAAAAACATTGTTACGCTGGGAGGCATGCAACCGTTCAAGAGCCCAGCTGTGATTTCCCTCACACGCAGCGTGAAACGCATCATTTTCCACTTGACTTGCTAAGAAATAGAAATCATGGGAATAATGGTCCACTCATTGAGAATTAACAGTGCAGTAATCTCTATCTTATAAAGTGCAGTGAGATATATTTTTAGTTTCACATTTTCACTTCTTTTAGTTAAGAAAAAAAGTATAAACAAAACATTATAACTGTTAAAGACCGAAGTAGCCTTTCAAACAATGGTTGTGCACACTAGGAAGTTTATAAATAAAACTACACTGTGTACTGATCTGTTGCTGGTTATATTGATCGAAAACTTTTGGTGACTTTATTTCGTCCCAAGTGACAAACGATAGCGTGCTTTATATAGATCGCAGCGCCATCAAGTGTTGGGCGGAGAAATGAAAGCTTCATATACAATAACAAATACCTAAAAATTGTATTACTGCTTGTCAATTTTAGTTGTTTACAATTTACAATGCTTCCCCTAACTACAGTTTATTCTGAGGCTTGCATGTAATTTAAAGTTTGAGGTTGGCAAGTAATTTAGAGCAGGCTGAAAAATGATAAAATATTTGGAATTCCAGCTTTGCCCTCAAATTAAGTATATTCTTACAGGAACTAATCCTTGTTAATGTAGTTGCAAGAACAAAATGTCATAATCCTTATCACACTTCATGCTAAATTTTCACAATTCACTTTATATTAAACTTTATACTTTCACTTTATATTAAAACCATAATATTATAATACTAAAAAATTGTTTAGATTTACTAATGAAACAAATGCACTTTATCAGCTCTTTAAAATGACTCACACTAAATTAGTCTACATGAGTGGTCATGACATCATAATTTAAAAATTTAACAGATGTAGCAAGTAGGTCATAACTTAATTTTACACATTACTTGTTTTTTAACATTAACAATAATAAAAAAAATAATCTAATATACAAACTTAAACATATCTGAAATAATGTATGACAATAAAAGCATTAAAAATGTGTTTCTCTTTAGGACTATTTAAATCAAATTTTTTTACACATGTATATATTTATGTATAAAAATTTTATTTAAGGTCTAAAATTATATTTAAATCATACAATTTTTATAATGGTGACCACAACAACTACATAATCCATAATTATTTTAACAGATTCTAGACTTTAGATAACAAGTTTATTCATAATTCATTAGTTTCAAATCTATTCAATTAATTCTAAGATAAGTAGGTGATGCCACCATATTTTTATAAATTCTGAATATATACTTTTTCAACAAAGTGAGTTCTTTTTAAAATATAAAACTAGTAGGAGAGTAATCTCTCATTAATAATAGTATTCCTGAATACATCCTTTATAAAATCCAATCAAGAATGATTTACTACCCCATTATCACTACATAGTATAAAACAAAGTCATCCCGCTGTCTGTCTGTCCCTATGTATGCTTCGATCTTTAAAACTACTTGAGGTAGAGTAATTGAAGAGGAAGGTTTATATGTATAATAAATTGCACACATGAGAAGCCGGGGTGGGTCACTAGTTTCACTATATACATAGTTTTGTAAAGATTTAACACCATAGCTTGCCTCATTTTCCAAACATTTATGGTATACATCTTTCGAGAGAATTGAAATTATACATAGTTCTAATTTTATTATTAAGACGTGTTTAAAAAATCTTATATATTAAGTATATTCGTCAAACTCTCACCTTTTGTTCCTCAAGAAAAGTCGTAGATAATTTGTATGCAATAGCTGAAAACATTACTGTGCACTCGACAGTGCTGATCTGATGTTAAGTCTTAAAGCGCCCATGCTAATTTGACACTTCGTAAGAAAAGTTTAATATTTTTCTAGATTAACTATCACGGTTTAATAACAAATGGTAGCTTATTTGAAAAAAATAGGAATAATTTGTTCTTAAACAAAAGCAAATCTCGCGAAAATAAATCACTCTCATGAGTCACTAGCGAAATTTACGCTGGTTTCCGCCAACTGTAACTAAATCGACAAATACAGTAAACTTAGTCTTGCTCGGGAGGATATGGACTTATTTACACGTGAGAACCGTAAGACAATACGCGTGAAACTGTGGGAGACCGAGAGGCGTTGCCATTGTAGTAAATAATCACGTCACTGAACCTAAATACGGACCAATTAAAAGTAACTTTCTGTATTCCGATGTACGATGTTATAGAACTTACGCACTTACAGGATCCACGAGATATTTCTTCGGTTTTTTCTTGGAAAATTTCACTATGTAAATAGATTTCAACGTATAATTTTGTCACTGGTCATTCACTTCCACGGGTAATCTCACAAATCTGTCAAAAATGACGAACGCACAGAAGTAGGAGGTGAAATAGAGCCAAATGATTGTTCTTGTTAATACTATACTAGCGACCTCTTTATAACAATCGATATAATTTTTGATTTTATTAAGTCTTCCAATATATAATCTTGTATCTTACAATTAAGTAATAAAAAAGACTGCTGCTATATCTAACAAATCAAGTCCACGCGATATGATACCAAAAACATGCTTGCTTAACATTTGAGCAAGAACAAAATCAATCCTCTTATCACCATAGTTGCAGTGAGGTTTTGTTACTAAAATAAAAAGTATTTTGAAATAAAAACATAAAAGTTAGTTTCGATGTTATATAAATATTGGATAACTTTTAAATATAATAGTAAATTAGAAAAAAAAGATTCTATATAATGCGTAATGAAACGTGAAATACTTATCAATCATACCAAATTACCAATGTCAAATTTGACAGTAGTTAACCAAAACATTTCTAATCAGTAATCACAAACAAATTGTAATGTTTTTCACAAATTGATTGTTTGCAATACAATAAGTAATTTTGTTAAACTTTAATTGGTGCTATTATAATTCTGATGGAAAATATGTCAGGAGCTAAAATGGATGTGATGTGGTCTCCGGTGCATCATGATAAGTTTATTATATGGGGTCCTGATATAACCTTATACGAAGTGGCAAGACTCCAAGAAATAGAGAAAAAGACTACTTGTACGTGTTTACTAATAACAGAATAATTGTTTACAATAGGGTTACGCGCATCTTACACAAATGATTTTAATCGATGGATAGACATTACCGAAACAATAATAACAAAGTAAAATCATTCAGATCACTCAGAATCAATCAGACATTTAGATTTAAAAAAAAACTTAAATCTTGTTACGTCGCCTCGCGGGGCTACTTAATATAATAAAAGAATAAACCTAATCCATCAAAAAAAATACGGTCATAGAAAAATTAAATTATTTTTGAATTAATTTGTTCCTTTATTTTAGTTATGCAAATATCTTCAACTAGAGGTGCTACTGTTGTGGCATCTCAGAGTGCCAGCGGAGTTCGGTGTGTAGATATTAGTGCTATAGCTGATCAGCCAGATCCATTGTTAGCTTTGGGACATGCAAGTGGCAGAGTTACTCTAGCCAGTCTGAAGCAGACTTATGATCCACTTGGTTTGGTTGGGAGAGAATTTGGTAAGGCAACCATGTAATTTATAATTTAAGAAATTTAGTCCACAAATTTTAAATTTCTGATTTTTCAAGTCTTAAATATGAAATTGGGAAGAAAAAAATTTTATAATGACGATTTTTATGTACATATTCTTGCCTTATTTTATTACATTAGAAATATTAATCATTTGCGTTCAATGCGGACAAAGCATCAATAATTTTAAATTTGGGTGTTCAACGGTGGTAGGGCCACGCAACGGTGGTAGGGCCACGCAGCAGCCTCGGCTGTTGCACAAATGGGCAGGCCCGTCCGGGTAAGTACCACGACCTTACAGAAGACCAGCGTAAAGTGGAAGTGTGACAAATACTTTCGCGTTTCGTATGGTGAGTGAGGTACCCGGAGCCCAATTTTCAAAAGGTTGTCAACGCATCTGTAACCCAGGGTGTGGCAGATGTCCATGGGTGGCGGTATTCACTTAACATCAGGTGAACCGTGTGCTCGTTTGACAACTTTTCGCATAAAATAAAAATAAAATAAAATAAATGGGTGTGTTACCTGGACTAGATTTTTATGATCTCACTATGATGATCATTATATTTTATTTGACACAGTGACCAAGTTTGTGAGGCCCTGCAATGGTTTAGCATGGAACCATGATGAGAGCAATCTTCTTGCGGCTGCCATGGACAAGCACCGCAACGACAATTGCATACAAGTGTGGGATGTGCATCGATCATCCATGTCAGCAGATGAATTCACAGGTATTAAGTGACAGTCATTCATAACATTAAAAAAAAACTGCCTCATAATTATGTCTTCTTGTCTATTTGTTTCATAAATTTCTTTCTTTAGAAAGTACTTCACCATCATTGGAGCCCACCCGGCCAATTGCGGAACTAGCATTATCTGAAACGGCGCACAGCGTAACATGGACCAACCTAGGGAACCATACTCTGGCTGCTTCCATGAACTTGAAGCATATTAAGATTTTCGATTTAAGAGGTCAGTATCAATTAACAAAAGAATGATAAGGGCATAGTTGGTTAAATGCTAAATGTTTATCATAATGTTTTAGTTACAGAATCCTGTCAGGTTCCTCTCAGAAGAAATATGTGACATTATATTTGAAATCCTTGGGTTTACATTCCCTACTCTCAGGTTGATTTGATAATGTACTATGCAAGCAAACTGATCATAAAATGTTTCATACACCACTAGTGCACTCATTTGTAGGAAATTCTGTTCTGAAATATATCTAGAATATATACAAGGCCAAATGTTCGCATTTAGACCTTATACCTTTCCTACCATGCAAAGCATTTAAAAAGTCAGTAGAGGAAGATTGGAACATAATATCACTAAAATAACTAGAACCAAAATTACACACACATGTATGCCAATATACACAGAGTTGTTTCTAGTACTTAATGTATTATTAGACTTTAAGGAGGAAGCTTACTCTAATTAATTTTTCTCATATCATTTGTATTTATTACTAGCATATCATTAATTCTTTATTATAACTGTTAATATTTTTTTCCTGTCTGTCTTTTTTAAACCATCATTTTAGAATGTGTTACTTACATAATTTTCATGTAAACATACATATATTCGAAAATTGTATTCAGTTTTAATTAAAATGTGAAGAGATGGGAAACCTATGGTAAATATGCTGTTGTTTTTCCAAATAATACATTCTTTCCGCACATAATTGTGTGCGTAACGAGTCGGACGTGCTGGCAGAGAACACGGGCAAGGCGATGGGCGTGGCCACGAGCCGGCAGTGCCTGGGCGTGTGCGCGGAGCCCGGCGGCTGGCAGCTGGCGTCCCGCGGCGAGGGCGGCCTCTGCGTGTGGGACGCTCGGGCACTCGCGCGCCCCCTGCTGGCGCTGCCCACCGCCAAACCGCCACGCACCATTCAGTGGTGCCCCACCAGGTGGGGCTCTCCCCCCCCCTCCACGGCTACACACCTCCGCACCTCCACCTCCACCATCACATTGCTACTTCTTTTTAAACATTCGTTCACCGCTCCTCTCACCCATCAAACGAACACATGAAAGTTGGTTGGTTTGTCATGTTTTATACATTTGTAATATACCTAATTTATTTTCCATTGTATCAATTCCGAATCTGCTAATAGGTATCGATGAGATGTCGCTTGGTGTGTTTCCAGGCGAAACCTGCTGCTCTCTCTGCAGCGCGACTCCAGCACTTTGCGGCTGTACGACATTCAACAGGCGCAGGAGTACAAGCCCACTCAGTCGGTCGACAGTTCCGTATGTTCCGTATGTTTATAAATGAGGGGTATTATAACATTGACTTGTCTGTCTGTGGCATTGTAACCTCTAAACGAATGGAACGATTATGGTGCAGTTTTTTTTGTTTGATACCTGACGTGATCGAGGTGGTTCTTAGTTTTTTTATCATTTTTGTAGCTGCGTTATTGCTAGTAATTTCCTTGTAATTACGGCGTGCGATCCGCTCTGCTCTGAGCGGGCTCAGATCTATAGAGGGCGTGAGGGGGCTTGGCGCAGATGGCGGCCACGCCCGCCCTGGAGGAGGGCGAGGAGGCGGCGCGGGGCCCGAGCGTGCTGCAGCGCGACGTGTGCCCCGCCGGCCAGCCGCTCGCCTCCTTCTGCTGCCACCCGGCGCACGAGGCGCGGCTGCTGGCGCTCTGCCTCAACGGTGAGCGCGTCTCCGGCGACGATCCCCTCGCCTCGCGAAGGGCGGGGGAGTGACGTCACACCGGCTGATTGTGGCGCCCCTGCAGGCGGCGTGGTGGAGTACACGGTGTGCGAGCGCGTGACGCTGGCCTGGGGCGCCCGCGGCGGGCTAGTGTGGGCGGGCGGCGGCGCCCTGCGGCTCATGCAGGACGACTTCTACGCCGCCCTGCGCGACGTCTCGCACCTCATGCAGCAGCGCGCCAACACCGACTACGGACTCAAGGTGCGTCGTGGAGTCATCGACGTCATCAATATGTTGTTAAAAATCACATTATTCCTTTCACTCTCAATAAGCACCTGTCTTGCTCTTATTCCCACCGCTTTTCCGGCCGGACGCAGTATTTATTATGTAACAGACAGTTTTGTCACAGAACCTCAACTGCTGTTAAATATGAAGTTTTACTATGCCCGAAATTATCAGCGTATTAATACACCTTTTTGTGCTCGTGTACTTTGGAAAGGTGTGTCCAAAAATTTTTTGTGCGCAGCCGGATCTGTGGCAAAACGCTGACTTAGCGGAGGACGAGGCGCTCAGCGGGCTGTGGCACTTCCTGGCGTTGAGCAAGTCGCTGGTGGAGGACGGTGAGCGATGCTCGATCTGGACGTGACCGATGGGGATTTTGTTGTTTTTCTGTTGCCACAGATTTGTTATATTGCTTGTGGACAGTTTTGGATGTTGATTTAGATCAGCCGATATTTACATGATTCTATCTCTTTTTATGCAAAATGAATTTCAGTTGTTTTATTAATACAAGTAGTGTGAACGTTGAGTTAACGTTGAACTTAGTTTTTTTTTTTAATTATATTTATTGATTGAGTATTGAATCATTATGTCCATTTGCTGTTTTCGAGTTTGGCGGTTTTGTAAAAAAATCGAAGAATTATTTTTGAATATCGCGAAGGGAACTGAGAGTATGAGAGAGATGGTGCGTTTTTAATAGTTATCAGTGAGCAATTGGCGAAATAGGGTGTTTTCCATATTTCGCTAATCGCTTAGAGAGGTTCGGGGAAAGAGCTGTCGCTTGGGTGTCGGGCAGGGTGCTTCCGCAACAGCCCGTGGCGGCACCCGGGCGTGCGCACCGTGCTGCGGCCGCCCGGCGACGGCGGCTACCGCTCCGAGGCCGTGCCGCTGCTGCTGCCCGACATGCCCAACCGCAAGGTCACCGTGTACAGGCAAGGCCCGGCGCCGTGGAGTATCGCACGATGCGAATCGCGGCGTAAAACAGCGGGCGACTTGCGTGCGCAGGAGCGCGGAGCGCACGTGCGCGCTGCAGCTGTGCGGCTGGGGCTGGGGCTGGGAGAACGCGGTGCTGGGCGTGGAGCGCGCCGAGGCGGAGGGCACGCCGTGCCGCGCCGCCGCGCTCGCCGCCTTCCACCTGCGCGCGCGCGCCGCGCTCGACGTGCTGGCGCGCGCGCGCGAGCCGCGCCTGCGCGTCGCCGCGCTCGGTGCGTGCCGCCCCTCGCCGCCCCCCGCCCCCCGCACCCGCCGCCCATCACCCATGACCCGCTACTCCCGCAGCGCTCGCGGGCCCCGGCGCCGACGAGCGGCTGTGGCGCGACGCGCTGGCGGCGGCCGCGCCCGCGCTGCCCGACCCCTACCTGCGCGCGCTGCTGCACTTCCTGGCCGCCACGGCCGCCGGCGGCGCCTCGCAGCCCGACCTCGGCGCCGTGCTCGTGAGTGACCCCCTCCTCCCTCCCCCCCGCCCCTCCGACCCTCCGTCTCGCTCTGACGTATAAGTCCTCCGTCCCGCCAGAACGAGACCGAGATGCGGCTGGAGGACCGCGTCGCGTTCGCCTGCACCTTCCTGTCGGACGCCAAGCTGCACGAGTACGTGAAGCAGACCTGCGACGCCCTCACGGAGCAGGGCGACCTCTCCGGCATGCTGCTCACAGGTCGCCTCTACTCTTATATAAGCTATTGCACTGTAAGGCCCTTGATCGCCAACCCAATGTACGTCTGATGGTCTGTGCGGCTTGCACTGATCTCACTTATGCATATTCAGCCATACATCTGTATGATTTAAGCTGCGTCGAGAAGATAAGGCGATTTATGTACTGTTCCGTTGATACTACTATCGACAGGCGTGAGTCCAGAGGGCGTGACGCTGCTGCAGCGCTGGGTGGAGTCGAGCGGCGACGTGCAATCGGCCGCCCTCATCGCCGCTCGCTGCTGCTCCCCTGATCTGCTGCGCGACCACAGGGTGCTCGCTTGGCTAGAGAGGTTGGCTTCGTTCATGAATAGATGCAGTCTTTGCTAGTTAAGCATGCACTTCATCTGCAGCTCATCAACGATAATTAAAATCCATGGATGCTATATGGATAGTACGTATCGATACGTTATAGAGGTAAATTAGATAGACTTTTACAGCAATGTTGTTGTTTTTTTTTTTCAATAAATACTCCCGAATCCCGAATGCCATCCTTTTTCTGCAAGCTAACGGATTCAATTCTATTGTCTGTGGAAAGATCTATACATTCAAACTTATTTTTTTGTCATTATCTTATTTTCTTACTTATGTTTTATAAGCTATTGGGTCTCCATTAAATAAAAGTAAAATAAAATACGGCTTTGTGGAAGAAAAGAATTATCATTTCTATTTTTATTTATTTGTAGATTTCACAGTAGGTCTTTATTTTGCATAAAAAACTGGACTATGGTATTCACAATAATCAAGAAAAGGACAGGTCTAAGGTGTGAGCCTTGCGGTACCCACGAAGGCGTGGTAAAGTACAAATAAGTGAAACCATTGATAACCAAAAGCCTGTTGTTACCTAGGATTGAGCCTTGGACGCCATATAAGAATAACTTATTTATGAGGATTTTGTGGTCAACCTTATCGAAGGCACTACTAAAGTCAGCTTCGTGCGTATCCAGATCGACAATCTGAAAAAGGTCCTACCCTTGATCGCGGGCCCACATGTTTGCACTACATTCGATGTGCCTCTATTTACAGCTACCGCACGCTACTGGACAGCTGGCAGCTGTGGTGGGCGCGGTGCGCGCTGGACACGTGCGTGTGCGCGTGCGCGGGCGAGGCGGGGGAGGCGGGCGAGGCAGGAGGCGCGCTGGCGGCGGCGCGCAGGGTGGGCGTGGCCTGCAGCTACTGCGGCAAGTGCGTGGCCGCGCCCGCCGCCAGCGCGCGCCCCCGCGCCGCCTTCGCGCGCCTGCCGCCGCCCGCCGCCAAGATGAAGGTGCGACCGCCCGCTCACCCGCACACCCACACACCCGCCGTCACCCGCCTTCACTGCCGCCCGTCTGCCATTGCAGCAGATCTCCTCGTGCCCCAACTGCCGCAAGCCGTTGCCGCGCTGCGGCGTGTGCCTCTTGCACCTGGGCACCGGCGCCACGGGCGGCGTGAGCGTGGGCGTGGGCGGCGTGGGCGTCGCTGCCGGCGTGGGCGTGGGCGGCGGCTCGGGCGTGGGCGCCGGCGGGGCGCACTTCGGCGGCTGGTTCAGTTGGTGCGTCGCGTGCAGGCACGGCGGACACGCCGCCCATTTGCTTCAGTGGTTCAGGTAAACTCGCAACAATATAAAAAAGTAGTACCACTCGCCCGAGTTTCGCTGGCAAGGATCCGAGGTTATGGTGGAGGTGAAGATAATTATAACCTAAAAAGATTAACTTTAAAATCCCTAAAGACCTAATCTAGGTATACAAATAAACTTGTTATAGGATTTTGCTTTAGAATGTGTGTTAGCTATCAATCGATCGCTCGGTTCTGATCGAACTTTTTAAAATCTCCTAATCAGATTTAAAAATCCTTACATACTAGATTACAGCTGGTAAAATTTCCGACTGAATGTTGCAGCGAGCACTCCGAGTGCCCTGTGAGCTCTTGCTCCTGCCGCTGCAGCTCCTTGGACCCGCCGGACAGGCTTTAGCGCTCCCCGAGACTATTCCCCCAGCACTGCCTGCGTTCAACTGTTCAGCTTAATTATAAGCCATATTCGTCATTTGGCGGAAGTTTTTTTATAAATAAACTACCAAGAGCATTCCTTTATGGCTCACATTTGCTTAAACATTGTTATTAATATCTTAATACGAGATGGAATTTGTCATGCGGTAAGCAAATATACAATAAAGATTCAAGTGTTTTTGTTGACAAGATTTTATATATTTTTATGTGAGAATTTTCCACACCCATAGGCTTGCAGATGCGTTGCCACCTTTTAATAAAGTTGCCTCGCTCACCAGACGGAATGCAAAAGTATAACACTTCTACTTCACGCCCATCTTCCGTGATTTCCATACTTCCCCAGCCGGCCTACATATTCATGCAACAACGAAGACTTAGGTGGCCCTACCACAGTTAAGTTATATTTAGCAATATCAAATTAATTTGTATACAAAACCCGACTTCTCATAAAACTCAAGAAGCTAAGTGAAACTATGAGCATGGCCATAATATTTTCGCCAAAGTATCGAAGAAAATTTTAAATATTTGATAATTTTGCCATTTGGCTTCAGTAATGATCTTGCATATTTCCAATTTAAAACAATGTCAAATAGATTATTGAAAATATATTGTCATTAGCAGTGCACTAAATAATTATTCAACATAAATAATTTGCAACCTCTACATTATCAATTAGGCCTCAAATGTTAGTGGCTACAGTTGACGCTAGTTTTTTCAATATTTTGTACGAAAAAACTATGGTTATATCTTAATTAGGCATAACAATAAAAGTGACCGTGGTTACTTATGGTCACTGCCATTATAATTTATAAATGTAAAATAAAAAATAAAGTAGCGGGATCCCATTTTACCTAAAAGGAGTTCTAAATGTTCTGTCTCAATATGTTCGAATATATTGTGCTCATTTTGTATGCATAAAAGTTGCTCCTTTTCTTATTCGAGTATATGTCAAACTACACGACGGCCGCTTCATATAGTCTAGAAGGAAAGAAATGTGCAAAATCGCTTTGTGGAGGCATAGTATTTGAAATTAATTTATCATAAATCTGGTTTCATAAACTCGATATATTTTATATTTGTGTACAACCAGAAAATATTAATACTAGACAACATAACACTACTGTTTTTGGAACGCCTGTTTTTTAAACTAAGCCATTTTGAGGATTTTCTTCTTTTAATTTGATTTCAAATTTTCGTCGTTTCGATAACACACAATACACGGTCCGTTATTGATAGCATTTAAGTAAAGTTTGTTTATTATAAGCAACTGCTTTCTTGGAACACGAAATACGAATTATTTGAAAAATATTCTTTGTTGTAAGTTGTAAATAAAATAATCACTGCGAACTTCTGTAATGTGTTCATTATTTTCATAATAAAAATTTATGCATTAATAATATGTAGTTTTTTTTATCCTATTCAATACTAATAGTAGATAAATTATATAATTTTTATTATTCTACTACCTTTTTCTCAATCATTATATTTTTCTACTCACACTTGTGAATCAAACTGTATCTCGTTTTATGCACTTGGACATGAGGATATGATATGGCGGATATAATGCATGCCTGTATCTTAAATCCATTCAAACAGGAAAAGAAAAAGGGGTCGAAATAAAAAATAAATCACGAAATAAAAAAATAAAAATGCTGGTATATTTCCAAATATATATATAATATATATACATTTATTAAATAGTCATTTCATCTGTATTCCAATTTAACAATAAAATTTCTCAAAGACACAACATTGTTTAACTCTGTTTATATAGTACAAGGATCGAATCCCGATCGAGGTGCGGCGACGCTCAACATATACAGCAGGGGCCGGCTGTGGCCCGCGTACCCATCGCCGTCACCTACACGATCTCACCGATGCTGGAACGCGTTCCCAGCGCATCCCAAGTGCTACTATTGGATCGGTAGATCGCTCCGACGGACGCCGCCGCTACGGTTTTGTGGGCGTCCACAACAAATAGATAATTCGTAGAAACAAACCCTTCAGAAGGGCAACTAGGTACGACCGGAACTAGTCGGTATCAACACATTGTGCTTGGAAGAGCACCAAAAGTAGAAGATGAACATTTCAGTTAATCTACGTATATTTTCACTATAAAAGATGCGCTCCGCGCCACGCCGCCGATGAAACTAAAGCACCGAAGATGGTGCAAACTCCTCCGGCGTGGCGGCGCATATCACATTGAACATTTCGCACTATACACCGTAGACATTCTAACACATTTTTATTAATACTCCGAGAAAACATCTGAATAGCGTACGAACACCGTTTTGCGCTAAAAATAGACAAATCGTAATATACAACAACAATCGTTTCTATATAATTTAACATAACAAATTCCAGCGGACGAGTTCGCGGGAGGAGAGTCGCAGACGGTCGCAATCTTTGGTACAGCGGGAACGGCGGAGGCCGCGCGGGCCCGCGCCGGGCGCCTAATACATACAGTTCGTACTTCCGTCTCCTATACACTTAAAAGCATATCCAAATATATAATAACATTAATATATTTTGTACACTTAAAGTCCTACTACATTTTTTTAAAGCTTTCAAATTAAGATTTGTCTTAATTTCACCGTGTGCACGCAGGGCGCGCTCCGCCGAGGCGGGCGGGTGCGGCGGGGCCGGAGGGGGGGGGGGGCGCGGCGGAATGTGGGGCGCTCACTTGCCCTCGTCCTGCTCCATGGGCTCCTCCGAGCCGGAGCGCGAGCTCTCCGCGGAGCGGCTGCAAGCGAGGGGCGCACGCGGTGAGTCGAGCGGGGGCGGGGCGGGGCGGCGGTGGGGGCGGGGCGGGGCGGCGGGCTCACCTGAGGCAGAGGGGCGCGGGCGCGTGCACGGAGAGCGTGGCCATGGCGGCGGCGGTGTCGGCCGCGTCGCGCTCGCTCTGCAGGCGGCCGAGGCGCGCGGCCATGACGGCGGGCGCCGCCTCGAGCGCCGACATGGCGGCCAGCGCGCTGAAGCGCTTCACCTCGGGCCAGTGCGGCGCCTGGGCCGCCATGGCCGCCCGCAGCGCGGCCAGCGCGTGCGGCGCCGGCGCCCGCGCCAGCTCGTGCAGCGGCGGCTCGGGCAGCCGCTCGCCCAGCAGCGCGCGCACGCACTCCTGCGCGCAGTCGCACATCGCCGCCAGGTCGTAGCCGCCCTCCAGCGACAGCACCACCTGTGCCCCACACCACATTATTCTACTCCCCGTATTTATTTTCGCGCTGTGTAAATCGCTTTTCGAGGGAAACGGAGCAGGGTGTTGCTAATGTTTCTTGGGAATACGTTGAAGAGAGTCGGAACAAGTTGTGTCTGAAGTCGAGTCTTTGTTAACCAAACTGTCTCGGACTGCGGTCGATTAAATTTAGTCTAATTCAACCCAAAAAGACACAGGATAACGTGGTAATCGCTAAAAGCATTATTTGTCGTAACTCGTGTCGTTTTTGAGAATATTGGATAATTGGCGTCGACATTTCGAGCAAAGTTCAATTCCGCGGTCAATTTGAAAGTAAGACCAAATTGGTCTGAAAGTAACTTGGTGCGGTAGTTTAAAGACTTTTTACTGTGTGAGAGCACACCTTGCCGTTGGCGAGCTGCATGAGATCGCGCGTCATGTGCGCGAAGCAGGCGGCGGACACGCTGTAGCCGCCCAGCGGCGCCGGGTGGCCCGCCGCCGCGTCGAAGCCGCACGACACCAGCACGATCTCCGGGTTGTATTCCTGCCGGAGACAAGGTTTCCTTGGAGCGGCTCGTCGAGACGCTTCAAACGCGTATAGGGTGTAGGGCGCACCTTGGCGATGGGCATGATGAGCGAGCGGAAGGCGGCCAGGTACTCCGCGTCGGCGAGGGGCGGCGAGCCGGGCCACGCCACGTTGACGGTGTAGCCCAGGCCGGCCCCCGCGCCGCACTCGCTCACGGAGCCCGTGCCCGGGAAGAAGTTGCCGTCGTCGTGCCGGTGCAGGCTCATGTACAGCACGTGCGGGTCCTCGTAGAAGATCTGCTGCGTGCCGTTGCCGTGGTGCACGTCCTGACCGAGACAGCGAGGCCGAATAGAGGACGCGTCCATTTTGGAGGTTTCGAATAGTCCGGAGCCCATTCGAACTCACCCAATCGACGATGAGTATCCTCTGCAGGCCGAGCCGCGTGTGCAGGATCTTGGCCGCCACCGCCACGGAGTTGAAGAAGCAGAAGCCCATCGCCTGGTTGGGCTCCGCGTGATGTCCGGGCGGCCGCACCACCGCGAACCTGGCGGGCGGGGGCGCATACGCGGTGAGCGGAGGGGGCGAGGCGGGGCGACGCGGGGCGGAGGGGCGGGGCGGGGCGGGGCGGCTCACCCGTTGCGCAGGTCGCCGCGCGCGGTGCGCAGCGCCAGGTCGAGCACGGCGCCGGCGGCGAGGCGCGCGGCGGGCGGCGTGTGCGCGTCGCTCCAGGCCGTGTCGGCGTCGACGCCCAGGCCGCCGCACGCGAGCCGCACGAGGCGCAGCGCGCGCGCCTCGCGGCCCCTGCCGCCGAAGGCCGCCACGTGCGCCTCCGAGTGCACGGCCTGCAGCTCCTCGAGCGTGGCCTTGCGCGGGCGCGTGCGCTCGGTGCGCGCCGCCAGCCCCGTCTCGCAGAGGCGCGCCCACACCGACTGCAGCCGCCCGCCGTGCTCCGGGTGCGTCGGCGCGTGCGCCCCGCACGAGCACCTGCGCGCGCGCCCGTGCATTCGTTACTCATTTTATTGCATCGTTACACGAGGACAAGTAAAAAGTGCATCGACCTAGTTAGTAACTGAATGTAGTTTAGCGCTTTGCATAAAAGTTTTAATGTGACATAAAAGCCGATAAAAAGAAGACAAAGGAAAGAAACAGTGACCGAAAATGATAATAAAGGAAATGTAATCACAGCGAGGCAAGTTACCCAAAGCGGCGAGCTGAGCGCGCGCGCCAGCGGCAGCGGCTCGGGCGCGCCCGCCGCCGCGCCCACGGCCGGCGCGGAGGGCGAGCACGTGACGGGCGCCGCGCGGCGCGCCGTTAGGTCGATGACCTCGGCCTCCTCCTCGCGCAGCTGCGCCGCGGCCGCGTCGTGCGCGCGCGTCAGCACCGTCTTGCGGATCTGGTCGCGCAGGTAGTGGTGCGCGCTGGGCGGCTGCAGCGCCGGGTCGCCCAGCGGCAGCGGCGCCGAGTGCGTGCGCCCCAGGGGCCGCTTGGGCAGGCGCGCGCCCACCGCGGCCGGCGCCGGGCCCGCGGCGCAGTACGCCTCCGCCTCGGACACCGGCGGCAGCGACGCCGACACCTGCGGCGCAATCGCCACCTGTCACCTCGATCCCCACGCGCTCGCATGTATGCATGTAACGGCCATATAAAGTACCGGCGCGGCGGGCGGCACGTGCGCGTGGCGCGGCGGCGGCGGCGCGTGCGCGGCGTGCGCCACGTGGGCGGCGTGGGCGGCGTGGGCGGCGTGGGCGGTGTGCGGCGCGTGCGGCCGCCCCAGCGAGATGTTGGGCAGCGAGGGCGACGAGAAGAGCAGCTCGGGCGCCCGCGAGCACGCCTCCTCCTCCTCGCGGATGGGCGCCGTGGCCCCGGGCGGCGAGTTGCGCGGCGAGCCGCCCTCGCAGTCTGCGCGCCCCGCACGATCGTGTTAATGAATCGGTACCTCACGTTTTAGGCGTTTTACATTACGGAAAATGTCTCGACGAAAGTCAACAATAGAAAGTGCACAGTGTACGGTCAGCAAATACAAAATGGGTTACCGAATGACACTAGAGGAGCGTTTACGACGCTACGCTACTCACTGCGGTGCTTGACCCTGGTCTTGAGCGGGCGGCGGGCGAGGGGCGAGGCGCGCCGCTCGATCACGCGCGCCTTCAGCCGCACCTTCAGCATGTTGGGCTCCGACGCTGTTAGTGCACGCGCATGCTGTTACACCGCCTACCGCACACGCACACGCACACGCACGCACATATACGTACAAACAAACCGGAGGCACATAGCGGACGAGGCCTTCTGCTCGACTTTTTTACTTTTGCCGACTTATCCCTATTTGAAATAATAAATTAGCTTTGTTCAATTACTAATATTATTGATTTTATAATCTTTTGATTATAAATCCCAAATTAGAACGCACTCACGATTTCAGTTTTCGCAAAGATTTTATTTCTCCTACAGAATTGTAAATAATCTGCAGCTGTTACTTTTTATAAACTGTGTTCAAAGACAAAGATGAATTACGACTGACGTATAAATAAACGATTAACCGAATTAAAATATTAAATGGATAAAATTAAGAGATACGTTGATTTCGTCGATTAAACATTGAGGCCAAGAATGTGTTAATCTTGCTCTGCACTGGCAAGACCCCTGGCCATCATTAAAAAAAGAAGACCGCAGAGTTCTTGCCGGTTCTTCTTTGGTCAGATCAAGTTTAGTGAACCGGTGGTAGTTTTTTTGACGTTCAATAAGAGCGTAAATTAAGCCTGTAATGAATAAAGGAATTTTGACTTTGACTTTGATATGTGCGATAATTTCAAAATTAGTTTTGGTTTTGAATAAAGCGTTTTGTTTATTAACCGCAGTCATCGTGTCCATCTATGCACCTCAAATCTGCGGTCAGATAATTGCCACTGACACTCTCTCATCACTCTCGTTATAATTATAATTAATAATATTCTACGACCTTACTATTGATTTTAGTACTTGTTACAACAGCAAATGTTCAAATTCGTAAAGCTGGGATGCAATTAATTTCTTTTTACAACAATAAAAAATTGTAACATATACAGCGTGTCGTTACAACCGCGGCAATAAATGAAAACACAAATAGAGGGTAACTTTTTAAAATTGTATTAAAACATTTACATTCTTAAAACATCAATATTCAGCGGTTATTAAATTTTCTAAATTGAAACTTTTTTTTAAATTAAAAAAAAATGAATGGGTTGAATGAATTGAAAAGAGATAAAACATACTGTTAGAAGGAGACACTTGTAATGCGACGTTGTAGCAAGGAATGAAAAAGTCTCTGAATGTATGAATCAGTCAGTTGTAGCTGTATAGGATGTTACAAGTTTTGTTTGTTTTTCTTTGTTTAATTTTTTAATTTTTCGTTGTTTAATTTGTTTAATTTTTTTGTATTTTTTTTATGATTATTGACAAGTAGCGTTAGAGGTGTGTTCATTTATTGTCGCGGTTGTAACGACACGCTGTTTAATTGGTTTTCTCTCTAATCAAATATCAAGAACAGCAAAATATTGTTAATGTTAAATGTACAAAATAGAATTTTTCAAAATACTATATTTTTAAGATTTTCTGAATGAAAAGTTACCATTTTTTTTTTTCGATTGATTTCAAATCTCATGTTACACATCAAAACGGTTAGTTCGAGAAACTTACTACGAACTGGTAAATCACACGGCAAAAACACTTGCACGGGCAACGGCGAGCGTAATACTTGAAGCGTTAGGAACGGGATCGACGTGTCGACATCCATCGCCTGTCGGGATCGCGTCCCACGGTCTACTCACCGGTCTTTCGCAGCGGGTAGTCGGCGGGAGAGGGCTGCGGCGGGGCGGCGTTCAGCGCCAGGGGCAGGGGCGCCGCCAGCCGGTATGGGTGCGCTGTCGCCGTCGCACCAGTGGACGTGATAGACTCCCCTGATGACGACTTCACTATTCCCCTGTAATCAATCATAGGTTGCTTACAATGGTAATTAGGGAAAAGTCTGACCCGCGACAGAATTCGAAATACAATTCATATCTATTCAAACATATGTATGTACGTTTCCCAAAGATTAATCAATTCATAATAATATCATTGATATCGGCAGGGTATGCAGGCAATATCGATTTATAGAAAAGATATATATATATATATATATATATATTAAATTTACAAGTGCAATCGATGACATTAATGATCGAACAAATATTGATAATAACACTGATATAGAATCTATTTATGGAACGCTTTATTAGTTTATCATTCTTTAAATAAAAAATTATAATAATCGATGTACAGATAATAACCCCCGAACAGTTTGTTACATTATTGTATCCCGAGCATATTCATTTAATACTATAGTCTTGTATACACTTAGTTATTTAAAAACAAGAAGGCGATATGTGTAAGTTTCGAATGATATGGGATTCACTTTCTCCCGGGGCCTTCTAATCCCCTATCTCCCTGTAAAAATTAATGAACTACTATCGCTAAGTTAATATAAACTTGATTGCACATTTCTCCGAATATGTCGCAATTTAGAAAGCATAATACCTGATAGTTCAATTTAACACGCGTCAGTCGGTAACTGGCAATGAGTCAAAATTAATGGCAAATGTGTTGAGACTTTAAAATTTACGGCACATCATGTGATGACACGTACTATTCTTAGTCTTACCAATTTCTATACGGTGATCCAGGAACTGTTCCGTTGGCATTCGCCGCAGCCTGTTTCTTCTTTAGGAACTCCTGTAATACAGAGTAGATAAAGTGGCATCCAGAGAAATATTCAATTCCGTCATTAAACAATGTCAAGGAATTCCTAGTCAAGGGAGAGGCTATTAAATGCGGAATTCTAAGTTGACGAACTGCCCAGTGATGGATTACCAACCAAACTGATGGCAAATGGCAATGTCAGTGTACCCTCTAGCTCAGTGAAAGTCTACTCAACGAGCGGTAGGAGATTTGAACTATTACGTCAGTCAATGAAAAGCGGTTGCAAAGATATCAGGTCTAAAACATAACGACACGATCATTTGGAAATGGCAGACGCCGTCGTCGGTGGCCGATCTCACCTGCAGCTTCTGCTTGACCTGCGTGGAGGCGTTGGCGCTGTGCTCGTGCTTGTCCTTCTTGCGGAGGAGTTCGACCCTCTCGTGGCGCTCGCGGGCCTCTCTTGCCTCCCTCGCCTCCCGCGCCTCTCGCAGCGCCGCCTCCTCCATCGCTTTCTGTTGCTCCCACAGCTTGAACAAACGTTAACAACGCGACTTGTGACACTGAGCATAAGCTTTGAAGAGGAGAGGAGTAACCACTCCTACCAGCAGTGGCCCTAGCTCAAAGAAATCTGTCCCTCCAGGAATTTGGCTTTCCTAAATCTTGCAATTGACGCCTATTAGTATCGAGCGTAGCACGTACAGTCCCATTATTTTTGTGATTTCTATTGGGTCCAATAGAAAGGGAAACACCTCAGTCATATTGCTGTAATTTCTATTGGGGTCCGATGACCGAATAGAAATCATTGAACTAATACAACAGATGAGAGATGACAAAACGCCAAACTGGGACAAGATGACCAGAAAGATTTGGTTATCAATGTAATACGTGGGATCAGGGCCCTAGGGTAGTATGGCCAGCTCAAGTCTCCGAAGGAGCTAGCCGACTATTTGTTGGCACGCGGGGCGGTCGAGCCCGCGCCGGGAGCGATGTTTGCTAACAAACCGCCCCGTGACATTGCGCCGGTGACATCAGCGCGCCGGCCGCGAGCGTGCGGGAGACGGCGGGAGGCTGCGCGTGCCCACGCGGTGCGTCAGCGACAAGACAACGCACGCCCGCCGCATCACAGATATTGGACTCTCTCCACGCACACTCACGAGAGCCGCGGGAATGCAAATACGCCTGCCTTGTCGGCGAATACCTGCGCCTTGAATCATTACGCGCGAGCGTGTACACCATTTGGATCGATTCGCTCTTTGTCGTTTGAGCTATTAATAAACTAATTACGTTAAATTCACGTTTATTCACAAACTGCAAAGTCTTTAAACAAATTTATGAAACACGCAAATTCAGAACTGCAATTAAATTACCAGCTAGTTCGCGTCATATCCGTGCAGTGGTTGACCTAATGCGACCCCAATTAGCGCCATGGGAATTACACCTACGTGTGTGCCTCGTGGGAATATGTCTTAGTATACGATTCATTACACATACACGACGTCATTACCCATATTGTTCTACATAGATTTTAGTGTACGAAAAATAAGCTCGCGTCACACTCTGACAGGCGTTAGAATTCAGAAACGGAGAGGCAGTTATCAACCCCACTGGAAGAACAATAGCTATATCATCAATCTTCAGCACCAAGTAAAGAAAGGACATAGATAATTGCTGTAATGGCTAAGGTGTAGTAAGCTTCGTCATTGTGACTCGTAGAAATACTCTACACGACATTATTTATATGTCTTGCAAATAATTGTTTCGGATTTGGTTTTTATCCTTGTTTGTATAGTGTTCGTGAGACGCTTTTGCACCACACGATACCAATTTTCTATTTTTATATTTAATTAAATACACCAATGAGTAGTAGTTACGTTTAATTATTTGTTGATCAGAATAGCGTGCTTGAACCAATTAGCATAATCCAAATTCGGGAGACGCCCTAGTACCGCAACAGGAAAAACGAGCGTCTAACGAAGACCCGAAAGGTTGTTGAATATGTCCAGTTTGCCTGGTGTACCGGTTATAAATAGACGCGGTCGACATAACGCTCAAAACAACTGCGCGTCCACGATGAATGTAAACAAAGCTGGGTGGACACTTGACACGCCACCGCCTCATTATAATTTGGACTGTAAAGATAATAGATATATATGGCTGCAGAGATTTGCCCGGGACTGGCGTTAGCTGTGTATCGAATACCAACGGTTCACAGCAAAATCTAAGTCAATGAGCGCATGAAAATACCAAATTGACGAGCTACCCAACTTTACCCATTACAAAGAGTGTCTGTACATTTCTAATTTGATTGTTAAAATTTAAAACAGCTGATAATGCTTGACGTAATTCCATGGACCGCCAAGGACTTCCTTTATCCAACTTGTATACTCCGTCTGCAACATGTGCCTCACTATTTGTATATAAATTCGGTTCGAATGGTAAATTTAGATCTATTTACTTTGATTTATTCATCTCCTATTCTCTCATACGCCTGCCTATATCCATTGGTCTGCCTGTTGTACCAAACTGTTGATAAAGAAGAAAACTCTGGGATACCTTCAGATGATGCCTGAGTTGCTGTTCATGCTGTTCGGCGAGCTGCTGCCGCTGCTGCTGGAAGTGCTGCAGAAGGATCTCCTGTTGCAGCTGTTGTTGCTTCTTCAGCTGGAACGGAAATAGTCAGTAGCTTACACAAGGCAGTAGTTTCGCCACAGTATTTGTTAGTGCCGTGTTAATTTCGTTCATCTTTAGCGTTTAATTACTTCTCCATTTTCAACATCCAAAGAAGTCGGTCACATGCATTTCCGGATTATCTATAAAGTATCGAGTACATCTAATAAAAATCATGTTTCGTTTTTTTACTTCATCATTTCCCCTACATATATTTTTAGTAGAGTCCTCACTCCTCTTTGGAAGTCAAAATAGGTAACTTACTGACGTGTTTTTGTTAGGCATAATTGCAGTATGAACAGTTTCGCTTTAATTCGCTGTTGAAAGCTTGTATTTGTACACATGTGTAAGTGGGAAAGCGGTTATTCAAAAAAAAATATATTGTTTGGATGGCCATCCTTAACTTTAATGCACATACAATTTTGTTTATATTTAATATTACAGTAATTAAAAACACAAAAATGTTAATATTGCTCGGAATATATCACGGAGGACAGATGTAAGAATTATGTATGTATGCCTCATAAAAAAGTGATATCATGTTTCTTATCGCTGCTGGGTCTTCTATATAAATCGACTTGACCCACTGGCGTAGAGTTACATAAAAAAAAACTGCCAAAATTAGCGACACCGAATGACGTAAAATCCAGCATGACATAAACAAATTATAATATATGGACTATAATTGAGTTTTATTTATCAAAGGACGGGAATCAAATCCACATCTTAATCTTCAGGTCTCTTTGAACCGAACGTAGTGTACATTAAGGATGATACTCAGAAATCCACACATTGACAATTAGGTCTTCGTTACAAAAACAGCGTCACGTGCTATATTCAACAGACAAGGGTACGGTAACAAGCGACGATGTAACATATTTTTACATTGTATTAATTAGTTCCTTCAAGATAAAACTGAAATAGCATTGCGATTGCATAATTAGGTCTATCGGTGGCGTACTGGCAGGACACAGAGTTTTGTTACTTTGATATCTATTGCTAGGGGGTTAGAACATATATTCATTTATACGTGCTCATTGTCCAACTGCTCTTGCAAATGGGGCTGAGTTTAATTCTCTTGTTGATTACAGAACGGGAACGTATACTAATATAACGTCACCGTACAAGAATAGCTAATATTTACGGATGATATGCGTCTTTATAATTGGCAGAGGAAAACTGAGTGTCAACAAAATATGCATTGGATTGTTTAAACACGATCATTCTATTAGTGAATTGTTATTCTGGGCGCTCGTTTAACGACGCTGTTATGGTGCTGCTTTTATATTTAGCCTGCCTCCGTGTATATAGGAATGTTCAGCTGAGACGGTTGAATATGTCACGTTACGTTGTCCACACAAATCGTATAGTTAATTGGCCACTCACTTGCATCAGGAAATTATTCTCTAAGCTTTGTTTCGCTCTCTCCGCGATATGGTTCTTTCTCGGGCTCTGATTCTGACAAGGAAAGGAGATACATGTATGAAGGAGAAGCACGGCCCTCATCGGGCTGGTATCGCAAAGTAGTAGTACACCCTATGTGAACACACAACACAATAATCGACGACCCACTAGATCTATCGGTGGGGTGAGTTGTAAGGGAAGGTTTCGTACACTACGGTGGAACTGCGTGTAACAACAATCGGAGACAATGTCGCTCGAACAACGTAAGAGTTACTTCCCTCGAGTCGTGACACGAAATGCAATCCAAATATACACGAGAGCGTGCGGTGCGTTTGTTAAACAAAGACGGATTCAAACGAAACGCTAATAACGGTGGGGAGGGGAGGGGGAAGCGGTGGATTCGAAGCGGTCGGTGGAAGGCGTCCCCGCGTATTTCTGGCGGCGTGCACATTATTTTGGTCGGATGGAAAAAATGGCGGGCGTCGGAATGCGCGCGCCGCGAATAGCCCTCGCCGACGGATGTTTTGCGCGCGAGCGTGCGCGTGGGCGGCCGCGCCATTGTCGCGGCCTCTCGCCCCGGTGCCACGGCGCATCCTCCTTTCAAACATCATACCCCGACGGATAGGGTACAGTTCGAAAGTCTTCCGGTTATGGTAAAAAAATCTCAATTGTTACGACTTGTCCTCCACTTTATTTTGATACATCGAATCCATATCTTTATACTCATAAATGATTTTTTAATCGAGCCGTATTCTTCGGCAGAACATTTTTACTCGAAACCTTCAAAAACTATCATCATGAGCTCGTAGTGGCATTTCATATAAAGCTTACGAACATAAGGCATTATCATAAATTTACGTCAAAGACAAATGATTCGAGAGCACAAATTCCACGTAACGAAACTTACGTCCATTCATTAAAAAATGGCACAGGGGCGATGAAGTCAGACTAATAGAATCGGCACCATCAACATGCAAGAGGGTGGATTAATTACAAGCGTTCGAAATGTATGTTTCATAAAGTTATTATCCAAATCATCGCCAGTTGAGTATCTCTAATAAGCAATTCCACTGCTGGCAATAATATTATAAAGGCTGAAGAGGTGGATACTTGAAATAAAAAAAAATATTTATATTTTATTATATACCTATATTAACTACCTTTTTTATTATGCACAAAATTCTCAAGATACATTTGGATAAAAAAGTAACATTAAATGTTAAAACTGTAGAGTTTCTGATCTTAACTAATCGAAATAAATTTACGTGCAAGTTAGTATTATGTTTCAAGTTTTCATTTATATACAAATATCTCCAACCTAACCATTGGTGTTAAAGCGATGTATATTAGGTACGTTTCCAACAAAAGTAAAGTACAGTACTGTACCATTTAAATATATGTTGGAACAACTAGACGGTAACAGACTTTCGGGCGTACCGCAAGGCGCGATGTTACCGCCCAAACTGCAAATTTCGCAATGTGGCGAATTTGGCGGTCGCCCTACGGACATCTGATATAACATCGGCCGAAGCGCTCAACCGATCCGCGATACGAACGCAAGGGGGCCGCATCAACGGACGGCTATATTTACCCGGCCGCTTTACACGAACTCATGTAAATATAGTAGTATGCAGACGGATGGGCCGCGGCGTGGCTTTTTTTATGTGGGTATACTTATTTATAACGCGGGCGGGAACATTTTATAAATACGCCGGCGGTTTAAAAACGCGACGGACGGAGTCGGACGCGGGGCGCCGTGGGCAAAGGTCACGGGTGTCCAGCCACCGGAGCGGACGCGTCGCCAGCGTAAACACATCGCCACTCGGAAGTGAGAAATGAGCGATCGAAGATCGTACCTCTTACGTCACATGTAGTAAAATATGCCTCGAATTCGATGTTAAACTTGTTTTGCCGTTCCAACGAAAATCCCCCGCGAGATTTACTGACCCGTACGAGTCACCGGGCGGTGGCTCCTACAGAGGTTCGTACAGTGGCCAATGTCTATCTCAAATCGAACAGTCCATAGTCCAGCTTATTGGTTGAAGCGGCATCACCTGCTGCGAAAGCTGCATCAGCTGAAATCTGGACAGTGTAAACTAAAATATTGCACTCAACACTAGACGCAATCTCGTTGCGAAAGCCTAACACATGTATGGAGAATCATGACGTACAAATAACTGTCACTGTTTTAAGCCTCCGGTAGCTACTACGGAAAACCCGGTAGCCTGGTAGATCCGAACGATCCAGGGTTACTGGCTATGTTTACCTGCATGATCTGCTGGTGGAAGCTGGTGTCGGGCGGCAGGCGGGGCGCGTGGGGGGGCGAGGGCGCGTGCTGCGGGGAGCCCGGCGCCGCCGCACCGCCCGCCGCGCTCTCGTGCGCCACCTCTGCAACAAAGCGCACGCGCCATGAGCGACGGACGGTGCACGGGGAATCCTTTATTATGCCCTATAACCCATTAATTCCAGCGTCGACACTAGGTGTAACTTCCATCTAGACAGATGTCTATATATCTAATATCCGAATAGATATTCAGATCAAAAGCGGCCGTTTTATAAATTTGAAACATTAAATTATTTTAACGAGTAATAAGTGTAAGTAGTTCTTAACATGAATTTAAAGAGCGTTTGAACAAAGCTCCTACATTATTAGGAATATATCTGAATTCGCCAAAAAGACATTTAAAGACATTTAAAGATTGTGTCATATCCCACCTATATAGTTCTGAATCATTTTAGAAGTACACTCTTGGAACAGCTACCTAGTAATTTATTTATGTACCTAATTTAATTGGTACAAAGCATCTTATTGTACAGATGTAACATTATGGATCTGATAAGTACTCGACGTCTAAGATTCTTAGGTCGCGACCTAATAACCTTTGAAAGCCTGTGACCTACAAAGTTCGCCCAGTACGAATTCAGTAAGTGGGTACTTGCGTGAATAATTTGTATACGATTAAAGTTATTTAAAGTGGCCTACAAAAATAATAAAAGAAAAGGTTTAGAATAAATTTTCAATGGACTGGACCAGTCGAACATTAAATAAGCATATCTCAGAACTTCAGTCATGTCACGACTGCAGATGGCTGGAGTAGTTAGTCGCTCAGTTCGGGAGAACATCGCATCTTATTTTTTTAGAAAAATTCGAATCCGACAATACATCAAGTGTTCGACATTAATTTCTTATTAAGCGGGGATTTGTTGTGTAGCGAGCACTGCACACAGGTTGGCCGGGGCAGACTCTGCCGCAGGAGCGTGCCCTCCCTGGGCCACCCTCTTCAATGTGACCTACATCGAAGGCCGGGGGTCGCGGTGCAGGCGGCAGGGTTGGGGAGGGGAGGGCGCGGGGCTATTTTTAGCTGAGGCTATATTTAGAAGGGTACCGACGGCCCGGGACACAAGGACGTCCTTCACAAATCATTATTCGCTATTGTACGTATAAACTTGAGCTATCCCAGATAAGAGCTAACGAATGCCTTATTCGGGAACAACAGGCAATTCTCTGCAGACTGCAGAGAGATTTTAATTAGCACGTCTACTAAGATTCATAATATTGTAAAATCTTTATTATGAACCTGAATATACTGCAACAGTTTGTGTAATTATTGTCAAAGTATTGATTTAAAGCAATTGGAGAACTATAGAACTAGAAATCTCCAATTCATTTGCTAGTCTCAACAGAAGTAATTCAATTGACACTAATATACCTTGACAAATCGACTGAAAGACTGCGAGCAGTTATCACGGCTGTCACGCAGTTGACACGTGACTGTGATTAAACGAAATAGCTCTACCATGGATGCTAAAACGAACCCCAGAATTCGGATTAACCTAGAACTGGAGTCACGTCATTAAATCCAGCGTCGGTTCTTCAATGTCTTTGATTTCCACGAGATCAGGCGACGGTCGGACATGTGACATTTTATTTTTATAAGCTTAACAATACATAGCGGGAGGCCGAAAACGGTTAAATTTAAGCCACTAGAATATCGAAATGACCGCGCGGTGACGTCAGCGCGAAAAAGTGGAAAGATAAGCAGTTGCGAAAATAAAAACTCCCCTAAGATAGAAAAATATTAAGATAAAAATTGAATAAAAAGAGATTGAAGTCCGCAATAGGCTTTAAATTGTTTTGTTGCTTAAATAGTGAAAAAACAATGAAGATAAAAGACGTTGAGATTTTCTTCGGTGTTTAATCGCCGCTTAGCGTTAAAGCAAGGCGCAAATATGGAAGATGTCGGTTAGATTCCCGCAGCATCGGGCTTAAATTTTCCGTCTTTTTTTTTGTACAAAATTTAAAGTTTCATCTTTAGTACAAAGATTAGCGCTGCCAAAATGTAAACAGCAATAGGCTTTACAATAAGAAATACTTATACAAAGTCATAAACGATACTTGAATTTTAATATAACCATACATTTGATACGATTACATGCATGTCGTTGGCAAATTATATTCTAACTTTATAAAATCAGCTTATTACTTTAAGATGAAGACCCAACAAAGAAACATTGTTTCACTAAACAAACAAAACATCCGAGTAAATAAGCCTCATAGCGTAGCCGTCTACAACGTAACCCGCCTACACACCGGGAACGCTACGCCAGCCTCGCCTACGTTGCCTACGTAACGGGTCGAGGCTACGGTAGCGTAGCGTCAAGAGATACAAAGCTTTCGTATGCATAGTACAAATATAGATATATTGCCATTTCGTATAACTTGTTTACGGAAATAAAATTGTTTTTGATACAATCTCATCAATGTTATAAATGTTAAATTAATAAATTTATTATTTACGAATAAATTTAATTTGACAAAAGCTACTTAAATGTTTACATTGGGATATTTCAAGGTTTAATTTTAATTCATTTAGTAGGTTCAGTCGTTATGACTTTGTTTAAAATTAATAATAAATGAAAAAATGTTTGTTACCATGAATTGTTATGAAAGCAATTATTTGGTTACAATATTGCCTTTTAGGTAACAAAATAAGAAAAAAAACAAGGGAATATTACAGTAGTGACTAATTAAGTGCGTCACTAAACCACATTAAAGAGTAAAAATTACGTCAACGCCATTATTTTATTTTTTACTGCTTGAATCAATAACAACCTTTGTGTAAAGTTTTATTCAAAAGGTTCCAACAATATCGTTCACGAATTTAAAAAAAAAATTTATTAGTTTCAAGTACATAAATTTGATTACGTATGGCCAAATCTGTGGAACGAATATTTTTCTCAACACTACTTCAAGATGAAAAACACTAAAAGAGATGTGATTACCGTCGACAAATGACCAAACCGTTCGCTCGCTTGTAACAAATTCAAAATATATACACGTTTTAAAGCCATCGTATGAGTCATATATTGTCTTACTTGTTCCGAGAATAGAGTTCTCGTAACGACGCAAGAGAACCGTTAGAAGAACAAAGGGCGCCGACACAGTGACACAGATCAGACATTAAGCGTGCGGCCAATACCAACGATAATTTTATTGGGAGACGAGCGGTTTCCAATAATATTAAACGTGCTGAATATCTAACATGAACACATCCAATCAATTCTAACCCACGCATTTAGTATCGGTGTCTGTACTTCGTCTAGTGCCGAAGAAATAGCGAATAGAAAATCTGCTATGCTCATAAACGTATGTATTACTACAATTACAGTATAATTTAATTATAGGAGTAATTTAACAACAACAACAACTTACCTAGTCCCTTACTGTGGTAGGGGCCACGCGACATTCTTCGCTGTAGAACTAACTCACAGAAGACCAGCGTGAAATGTTATAATTCAACATTTCATCTGGTGAGTGTGGCTCACTTTATTAAAAGGCGACAACGCAATCTGCGTGGTAGGCGATTATCACTTAACGTCTGATGAATAGCTAGCTGGTTGGCTACCTTGTCACATAAAAGAAGGTCACTGCTGCCGTAACAGTTAATGCTCATCAGGTGGTATGATAGTTATACATTCGATTCGATTAACGTAAAGTGCGCAGTTCACCCTTCATCCTGATAAAAACTTCTGTTGTGTTCAGGAAAAATATTCCTATTAAAAGCCACATTAGTGGACCTAATAACATAGTGAGAAAGTTCAGCTGAACTGAATTTGGATACTCTATATGCGCTCCACGTATTGGGCGAAATAAAGTATTCGTTAATTACAAACATTACATCCTTCAGATGTAAGAGGCCTTGTATATAATGTCTCGCTTGTAATGTTTCATACGTTATGTTGACCCCATTACTGCTAACATCCGTGAGCATATGTACACAAACCCCCTCCCCCCACCGCGCCCACGCAACGTCAATTCTAAATATAGACAACATAACGCGACAAGTGAAGGACGCGGACTCGCCCGCGCTTTTTAGGCCTTCCCGTTCGCACTTATGTTGCCGCGATCTGGTGCAAGCGGGACGGGAACAACGCGGAGCGAATTATGGAGATTTAAAAATAGAACGCGCACGCGAGCTACGAATCGTGCCTCAGTCGATTTGTTTGAGCAAATAAACACGTATAATATTATAATATATGCAAATAACCTTCTTCAACAATGGCCGAGGCGCTCGGTCGGAATAACTAACAAATCGGCAGCGGTCACGATGGATTGAAAGAATATTAAAAATTCTACTACCGTCCATATGAATGATATTATAATTATTGCATTAAGGTCGCTAACGTCTACAAAATCCTTCACACATTAATGATGCTTTTGATTCAATAAGACCGTACACATATTACAGTGTCATCGCAGCAAATTAATCAATCAAATAATACTCCATTTAATTTTCCAAAAGCGGCGAGAAACTTTTCGTTCTTTTTTTGTACAAATTTTAACTCTTTATTACTTTGATAATTTTATTTTATAATCCTGCTACAGACAAAAGAAATTAATAAACTTTTATTATAGAACAATACAAAAAGTAGCCAAAATCTTTCTCTGTAATTCTCAGTCACAGAGACTTTCAAATCTTCGCTGTTGAACTAATGGCTAGGTCCGCCTGGCGAAGTAGCATGACCTCACAAAAGTCCGGCGTGAAGTGGAAGGGTTATACTTCTGCGATTCGTCCGGTGAGTGAGGTAACCGGGGCCCAATTTATCAAAAGGTCGCGACGCATCTGCAACCCTACGGGTTGTAAATGTCAAAGGGCGGCATCCCTTGTTCAGCTCACTTGCAAATAAAATCAAAAGAAAAAAGCCATGTATGATATAACAGCTAATACATACATATGTCTTACTGCTAGGAAAAAGCCTACTCTATACAGAAGAGCAAGGAAGGTTAGTATTGTAAAAATGAATACTTTGTGTATGATTGATTCAGACGCTCCGCTTTTTTATGCAAAACGAGTCTGTTGCTATTATTAAACATGCGTTTTATATGAATCATATAGTCATATATTGCTCATAATGTCCGTCCGATTGCATCCCATCACGTAATGTGTTCACTCGGGTTTTCCCCGCCATTGGTAAAACCACAGAAAATTGATAATTCTTTAACAATGACGTTTTTAAAAGAAATCTCGACGTAACCAATTACATGCTACATCCTTGTCTGGGTAGATTTTTGTTTATTTCAGCAAAATTTTGCTTATTGTTATCATAATTACAAAAACTGCAAGCTTTACTTTGTGAGAAGGTGGCAAGCGAGAAGGCGGTTTACCTGATGTTAAGTGATAACCGCCGCCCATTGACATTGGCAACACCCGTAGGGTTGAAGATGTGTAACAGAGAAAACTGTTGCGTGGCGTTAGCACACCAATTAAAATAACGTTGGGACCAAAGTTGGGAACAAAGCGTTACAACACGACTTGAACACCTGTATGTATCATATAGCTCGTTGTGATAATGTTTTGTCAAATATGATACATTGCCTTGTGCAAGAGGGAAATTGGAAAAACGGGAAAAAGTCTCGTCATTTTTCGAGAGTAGAGACTCGAACCTGCGACTCAAAATCATTATCAAACTCAACTCAAACATTATGCGACCGTTACGAAATTAGCACAGAACCATAACACAGAATATATAAAAAACGCATATAACAAACAGCAACGCCCAATGGACTTCCCAGCTTTAAATTTTGAAAAAAAAATCCAATTACACCTCTCTTGTCCGACTATCAGTCGGATTTGAAAAAAAAAAAATCTTTGCAATTGATCGCCCAATTCTTGAGGAAGGTTATAGGGTCTTTAATATCACGCTACGGCCTACGGGGGCGTAGCAAAGTTTCTCGCGGACAACATCACACGGAACAGCTAGTTTAGATTATAAATTGTATTTATTCCCGTCAAATCTTAATAAATGAACAATTTGCTTTTTTAAACATAACAGTAGCTTATGGACGAGTCCCGTACTTTAGAAACTGTTGGGTGCAACCGCATCCATCAGGCGGTCCCAGTGGCCCCGCACCGTCCGCCTGAAATAGTGCAGCCATAAAATCCAACTAACTCCTCGCCGCTCCAGATCTACAAGCGGCGGTCTATTTCCGTCCACTAAACTGTTTACCCGGCGTTGCTCGCGCCGCGTCTGCCCGCTATTTTCTCCCGCGCTATATAAAGCGGCCGCCGGAAAGAGCGCCGCAATCGGACATGCATTTATAACACGCATTATGGTGCGATTGGATTTTTTTTTAAATTTCATTAACATTTTCTTTATTAAGGCCAGAGTGGCCTCACAGAAGACTTTTATACCTATAGACATCTACAACACTCAGCAAAAGGAGGTCATCTGTGATACTTCTTCGGACGCGCCTGCCCATTTTTGCAACAGCAGACGCCGATGTGTGGCCTGGCCCTACCACAGTAAAGACAGCACTCACTCTCATACTCACCAAGGATAACCTAGGTCAAGCGGTAGTATATGGCACAAACACTTGCTCGTTTACAGTTCAAATGAGCAAAATAAATATGCACTTATAATTTGTAATTCTCGATAAACAAATATAGTAAAATCCGTAAACTAGTTTCATTTAATATTACGACAATGTTTTAAAAAATATTTTCCAAGTCCGTCAAGTGTTTTTATGATTCGAAAAAAAAAGAAGATGTTTTCGCCTCGAAATAGGTCTTAGTCCTTTTATAATTTACTTGTGTAAATCACCTGAACAAGTGATCATAATTTTGTATCTAAAGTTTTTATAATGCTAATCTCTGTACTTAAGATGAAACATTAAAAATTTGTAGAAAAATTTTAAAAGATCATAATAGACTAACGTTCTTTAACAAAAAAAAAAGGATAAGACGGCAGTACACAATAATAAGTGTGCATTTGATATACAGTGTACATAGTTAATGAATTTTTGAATGAATGAATGAATACTTTATTGTCCACCACACATAAATATTTTTGATTAGTGACTCGGTGTTCTTGTAGAGCTAGATTATATTGATGTTCGTATTTGTTTTTGTTTTGTTTTTCTTTTTGGTAGTAGTTTTCTTTTTTATTCTGTTCACTGCTTTTTACTTATAGATGTACCTAAATTTTCAATAGTCGTTATTGAATTATTGTCTTGAATTAATGTACTCGCTTCGGTAATCTTAGTCTAGTTTGTTATTGATAGTTTTAATTTTTGGTATGTACTGAAAATCGGGAAATTATATTATTTGTTTTCATGTTTTGGATAATTATATATTCTTTTAATTGTTAACATAACTGTGTTTGTAGTTGAAACTCAATAAATATTCATTCAGTACACTATCTAAAAGCCACGCCAGCGACAGACTTAGAAGGAACCGGGTCGGAAGCAGTCCAAACGATGAGCGATTGTGAACTTGACATTGGGCGACTCGCGCGCCCCCGTAGAGAGCGGCGCGCTGCGCGGCCTCGCCCACGCGACGCCCGTACGAGAGGTGCGGCGGCCGAGAACCGCAATCGACGCGATATACGAGTAAGCCGTTACGAGCGAACTGAAGCTGCCTGGAGCTGTTACTCGCTATTGGGATCCGCTTTTAAACTGCACAAACGATAAATGACCGCATTTGCGTTTTACGCTTTGATGTTAGGACTGAAGCTTGCAGCTATCTAAATTAAGTTGATGATAGAGAGCACAGCGAGAGAGCCATAGTCCGAATTCAATTCTTTTTAATGTACGGCGGTTCACGCGATGGTAAGTGATAACCGCCGCCCGTTGGACATTTACAACTCACGTAGCGTTGCAGACGCGATGCCACATTTCTGTCCTGACATGCCCATTCGTGCGACAGCCGAAGATATTGCGTGGCCCTACCACAGTTCAGTTCAATAAGACTCGTTCTGAATCGTGAGTGCATTACAACACGAGAAAAGCCAAATCATGTGATCAGCTTAAGTAAAGTGTATGAAGTCTCCGTGGCGCAGCCAAGGTGTTGGCTTCGGCTTCGAGGGTCGTGGGTTTCGATTCCCGTCAAGGAAAGCTATTTGTGTAACCCACAGATAATTGTTTCGGGTCTGGGTGTTATTTATTTTTGTATACTGTCAAATAAAAAAAAATAGCAGCCTATAATTTTTCCCCTTTATAGACGAAGAGCCCTTCTATACAAGATACATTAAGCTCCGAGCTTGCATTTGGATCACGTGCCGCCTTCTTGGATTCAGCGAATCGCGCAACGCGCCACGTCCGGTGTGCACCGGCGCCAAAAACTTCATGAAGTGCATCCGGACAGGATCGAACATAAGATTAGAGAAGATCTAATTAGTCTGATATATGTTTATAGCCTCACTACGTACGTACATCGCCAAAAGTTCTGTCCATCCCTCATAGTACCAAAATGAACTGGTGGATAGATAGACCCATTGTCACCGGCAAAAGGAAGACAAAATTTTCTTAATTAATTAGTATTAAGACTAAACATAGAGATTGTGATTCGATATTATTTGGTGATTGAAATGTAGTTGTTAACGCCATCATTGCCAGTTTAATAATATCGTAATTGAATGTTAACAGACAACTCTCAAAACCCCGGTTAAACAATAATTGTAAAAATAATTGATCATGTCACTGTTATTAGCACCGTATGCAACATTTGAGAAATGGTTAGAATGAATGCTGAATGACGAAAAGCAAGAAGTATTCACTATTCGGTAATTCATTAGTAAGTTTTAAAATCCAACTCAAACAACGACAGTCGAATCTGCAATTTATTTTATATCGAGATGCTTTATTGCCTGTACTGAAATGTAAGCATCATAGCTGAGTTACTTTAAAGCCACTAATCAAGCGACAACAGTAACAAGACCAAGTAACGTGATTACTTCCAATGTGTCCGCATGATATGTGGACACAAGTGATTGCTTGCGACCGCCCGCGTATGACATGGACACCCGTAGTACCCTACACCTAATAGAGACGCGCGGCGCTCGCCAAGACAATTGTTTTGATCGTTCAATGAGCGGCCGAGTGATTGAGTGCCATCCCGTCTTCTGTTTGGACTGAGACGGATTAAGAGGCGAGCTCAACCGGTGTCACAAACACTTCGACAAGTTGTCAGATTAGCAGCTATCTCATGACAGCAGTAGGAATAATTTAAGATTAGGTTCAGTAAACTAGTGTTCACGAGATATGTAGAACTGTAAGAGACTTGGTACATATTTGAATCTAATAATTATTAAAGCTCTTACAATAAACCGCAACATGGAAAATAAGGACTTTGTTCAATTAATAATACCAATCATTCGTCTAAGAGTAGCGCCAATCTGAGAGAATAAAACAATTTGTTACGACTTTATAAGCCTAAAAAACCAACAAGAGCGTTCACAGCGCGAACACGTGTTAAAGACGTGGGCAACGTTCACAAGATCCGAAATAGGCCAACGATCAGATGTACGCCATAATTCATGTCTAGATGAGGCGGTGCTGCGCAGGAGTGAATCAGAGCTATAAATAGCTCGCGATCTATAATTAGACCACCATACAAAGAACGCACCGGCACCGGCAAGGACCCCGCCATTGACTCACGAGCGAGCCCCCCTCCCCCCGCCGTGGTACACTACCGGCCCCGCTCCGGTGCCGTTCCGCAAACAGCGGCTTTGATCTCGCGTTCAACTCACACCGTTCTGTTAACGGTTCGTACGTTATCTCCACCCGCACACTCAACGTCCTCTTCAGCTCCGACGGTCTCCTGTACGAGCGGTGGAGGTATGGACACGCCACTGCCGCGTCCGGTTAACATCACAAGACCGAACCTGACAACTGCTAGGGGCGTACGGTTGGAAAATAACGCGGGCTCGTCACCCAGTTTCGCGACAGGTTGACAGGTTGACACTTGCCGCGGGCTAGGGCGGTGCGTGTGGTTTTTGTCAACCTGTTCCAGCGCATCTCCCCCCCGTGTCACCGCGCCTCCAGTAAATCTCTCCCGCTTCGCGCGCCCGCTCTATAAACAGACGGGCGCATTCCGTGCTCGGTTATTTATAGACGGGGACCCTATTTTTGGATCCCAACACGCTGTCAACGCATCCACTGGGAAGGTTTTTTTTTATGTATCCGAATAAAAGAATAAAACAACTGGGAATGAAGAGTTAATGGGGCCACGTCTGTGTTTAAGATGATTCGAACAAATAATAAAGTTGTTTGAGATTATATCAAGCAAATTTTGTATTTATCATGGTAAAAAAACTCATATACGTAAAGACATTTACCGTAATCGCTACTTTAGGCAAGCCGGAGGGTGCTTACGTCAGTGATATATTCCACGCTTAACATTTGTCCGCGCCGTGACACAATAAATAATACTTGAAATGTCCGCCCATTGTTTCGTCGCACATTACCGGCTTATTTATAGCCGGTATACGAGTACATCGGCTCTCGGCCATTATAAAAAAACGGTAAACGCTTTGGCCGTTGTCTTCTTCATACTCGTTGTCGGATCTCTTTAAAACGTTATCGCACAAGTCTATTTGTGGCACGAATGCGACTAACGATCAAGGAACTTGATTATTTTTAGAATGAGAAAGGGCCCGTATTTGTTTTTTGCACAAGTTAACTTGCTTCGGTCGTTTTAAGACAAAAGAATGGACCAAAGGAGACATTTTGATTTTGACCTATCATAAGTAGAAGAAAAAAAAACATCTATATGAAATCAACAATACTGGATGAAATAGAGGCGCCAATTTAAAAAAAAGGTTTGACAACAACAGTGGGGTGGCACTTTTTCGTGCGTTGCAACTTTAAGCGGTTATCTCACATATCAATAAACACATCAATAAAAGGAATTTAGGACAGAGATTTCTCTATGGTAGGGCCACGAAGCAGCTTCTGTTGTTCGAATCGGCAGGCTGGTCCGAATTAATATAGACAGTCGAGGTAATATACTTTCATGTTTCGTCTAGGGAGTGGGGTGGTGATCGGAGTCTACTTTTTAAGGGTCAAAAACGCGTCTGCAGCCGAGATGTCGATGGGCGGCGGTAAAACACTTAACATGAAATGAGCCAAATGCTCGTCAACTTTTCATCAAAGAAAAATAGATTGGATGCAGTACATACAAGAGAATATTGCCCAAGAGACGAGCGATTCGAGATTGTTCTCTCTTAAAGGTCTCGGGAGGGCCAAAGCTCCAGCTCCAGCTACACATTCCACCAGGAGAGAGTAGGAGCGTGGGCTGCCCGGTCTATTTCCAACCAACAAAGGCTGGAGCGCGACGCTTGTGTCGACGCTAAAAATATCGCGCTCGATACTTTCCCACTACTTGGCTATTCTCGGTGTTGGTTATACAAGGTGCTATTTCAGTGGCCCGTTTCGTTTGTTCGCTTTATAATAGAACCGTCATAAAAAGCGCCGCGAAATTAAAACGGATTCGTGTAAAATTAGAACAAACTGACTAAAGGACTTTTCAAATCAATTCATGAATTATTAAATTCATTCGGTATGATTTATGAATGTTAAATTTAAGACGAAATCATTTTATTTACAAGGTTTTGAAGAGAAGAGGAAAATTTACCCAATATCGAACAGAAACCGATGTAATAATGCAGATTAGGTGATTAATATTATTCTGTGAAATTGAGATGCACGTCGCGAGTACTTTACGATGAATAAAAAGTCGCTATTTGATTCGACAACGACGAGAATTTTAATCAAAGACGAATGATTCTTTACTGACATTATGAATTCATTTATGTAAGTTTTTTATGAACCGCTCTGTAAACCGGGGCCATAAAACCATTTCCTATACGATATTAATTTCTGATAAATTGAATCATTGTGTCGATTATATTTCATACACTACGACATATATTGATGATCCCGCAATTGTTAAACGATAAAGCTTAATTGAATTCCCAAGCCGAAACTACCTATATGCATAAACCTAGATACAGTCTGATTAATCTTAAAATTTCGATAAACGGTTCAATAAGAGAAAGCAAGCCAGCAAAGTTTAAAGAAAAATTGCTAGAAATGGTCAGTTAAGCCGTTTGATAGGAATTAGAAAAGGGGTATTTTCTTAGACTTCGTCTCTCAGAGAAATCGGACATTCGATGGGAGATGACGATGTTGGTGATGGTTATGATAGGGTGGTTAGGTTACAAACAACCAAGTCATCGGATATAGATGAAGTTTCAAGTTTCATTTCATCATTAGCTATGACCTGCAGTTGGGAACACATGATAAACGTGAAATATATGGAACTCATTGCCGAGCCATCGATCGGCTGAGTAGTCCCGGTATTTAGTAAAGCGTGATAGTGGGCACCGGGCGTCTCTATTCGCCCAAGGCTGGGGCGCCGCGGCCCGCTCCGCCCCGCACCGGGCCTAATATTAGTTAGCCTATTGACAGAGCGCCCGTGCGAGGGCGGTTCAAACAAACAATCGAACAAGACTCGGCTTTTATTGCATTATGCACACATTAGCATACACTCGACGTTTTGTTCCGTTTTCCGATCGTGTGTTGTTGGTTCTCAAAGGAATATAATATGTGAGTAAAAAGGATGGAGTCGAGAGATTCACTTTCGCGTCGTCACAAACAATACATTTGAAAATTATTCGATAAATAATTCTGTAAAATAAACTTTACTAATTTTACTTTGTTTTGCCTTATAAATAATTTCTAGGGAATTTTTCAATAAGTGTTTGACAGGTTACACAGACATAATTGATAGGTTGACAGGTACAGTTTGTATGGGAAAATAAAATTGTAGCTTTTTTGATTTTCCATGCATTTTTTCCATATATTCTCATCGTTTAAACCTTCCCTGGACTGTCAAAACCAAAATTAGCCAATTGGTTCAGCCTTTCTCGAGTTGTAGGCAGAGTAATGAACAGCAATCCATTTTTATATAAATAGAAGAAGAAGAATATAGCTTATACGCGTCGAAGTGTCAAAATAACTATTTTTAAAAGATATTATAAAATTATTGATAAATCATTCTTAGCAGACGTTTTTCTATGACCCAAACTGTTAACCAACCTATCTACGACAACACTAATACGTAATAGTAGCGCTGTACTGGTTTTCTATACCGTTTACCGGTAAAATAGTGTTCATGAGTGAGTTAGAGCACTCTGTACCTCCGCTGCTACAAGCTCTGTTCTAATATACGAAAAGTACAGAGGTCGTTTTAACGCCAGCGTGCTAGTTGGGACGGTGTTACATCAGCTTAGAAGCGCCACCAGGCTCCTAGTAGAGGGCGGCCCTAACACGACAAAAACAGGTAAAGACCCGTCAGATCTGCTAATTGCGTCAGTTATCAGTGGGTCAGGCGTGAGTCGGCAGAAACGCGCACCAAAGCTAATCGCACGAGGAAACAGCGCGCGCTAAATATAGAACGGGCGTTCGCTGGCGCTCGCCTCGAAGCCGGTCGTGTCGAGAGTAAATACATTATGTGGGACGTTTTGTGGCCGCACGTACCCGCTTTGGCGTTTACGCTTTTAGCAAAATCCATTCAATAACTTAAACGTTACGGTAGACCGGCCCAACCTCCCCGATTGCGAAACGCATTTACCCGTCAATTCCCTTGTTTACACGAACCTGTATTACGTTTGATTGTTTGTGACGTAACATCATGTGCGTATACATAAAACTATATCCGTTCGACAATACATACTTGTCAAAAAATTTTATTTAGAAAACACCACTCTAAGAATGTACTTTACCAAATCCATCGATTATTCGTCGCTTTACCTGAAAAAAAAAAACATACAATAACTTTTAAAAATCTTTTGTTTTCGCAAAAGGACAACTAAGTTATCTTATACTACTACTACAGTTGAAAAAAAATTGTTAAAATATTGTACAGTTGATAGATTTGCTGTTTATATCAACATGGGTGGTGCCTACATTTAATTTTGTGCAATGAACTATAGTTAGCAAATGATCATGGCATCATGCAACTGAAATTACGCAGACCAAACTCGTTATATCTACAATGCTATTAATCAGATTAACTGAAAATTGCAAATAATAGTACGCCGAGGTTCAGGCTAGGCGCCTCGTGCGCCAGGCCACCTCAAGTCCGTCGGATCTGTAAAGGCCCCTAAGGCGCAAATTTTGTATACAGTTTCTATTTAAACGCATTGGTGAATTTTCATTGGGTAGGTGAGACATTAGGAGTTAGTTCATATCCAATTTTATTACCATTAATGATAGGTTTAATTTTCGATTTGGCAATACTAATATAGATAATATTGTCATATAATAGATAATTTTCGTGCGCATAGAAACACTTTGCGCACCAGAATACTTATTATTTTTTTTTTATGTTAGAAACTGGCAAACGACCTGGCGGTTCACCTGATGTTAAGTGATAACCGCCGCTAATGGACGTTTGCAACACCCATACACCCATATTTAAATAAAATGGGCCCCGGCTACCTCACTCACCAGACGAAACGCAAAAGTAAAACACTTCTACTTACCGCCGGTCTTCTGTGAGGTTGTGGTACTTACCCTGCCCATTCGTGCAACAGTGTTGTGAGGCCCTACCACCGTAAAGGTAGCTTCTATATTTATAAAGCGAAGGTAGTTTCTAATCTTCCAAGAAAGTAAAAAGAAACGGGCTATTGTGCAATCAATAAAATTCAAACGTTCCTTCCTGTAATCCACACAGGAAAAGCTACATGATGGGGGCGAATGAAATAACTACGAATTTCCTGCATTGTTAGTATGGTGCTAACAACGTGGGAAAATCAAAAGTTAATGGTTCCATAATCGTAAATTACGAACCGCTGACTATACCACATTAACCACGAAACTACAAGATCGAACAAAACGAGCGATTTAAAGTCTCATTAAGTACATGAATAATTCACAACGCAAACTAGCTATCAATTTATCAATGTTTACCTCAATTTTCGTAATGCATCCCAGCTAGAACCAGTGATATTGTGTTAACCGGTTAGGTCAGCGCCGGGCGGGTGAAATAAAGTAATAAGAACCCAGAAAAAAATAAAGAGTCACTAGCGATATTAAGAAACGAACTGCGTTGGCGAATAGGTAACCACTGAAGCAGACAACGATAGAAATATACATAGTCATAATTTCTGGACTCGGTCAACTTTATAGAGGTGATGTGCATTCAGGACAAAATAGCACACGTCGCCGAAGTTGATTAAAGGAAAAATTAAGAATATGAATATTGCTATAGTTTTTAACAATTTTTTTTAAATTTGATTAAGATTTTTCACATTAGTAAAGTTGTTGAATATTATTCATGGAAGATTGCTTGATTGATTGTGAATTACTTAACCTAAATGAAAGAAATATTCGACGACGATCACTTCAGTAGCGATTCTGAGCATGTTGGCATCCACCGGGGGAGAACATATGGAATGAGTATGGATATATTTATCACACATTTATATAACTTTTACAGTCAATATACTAAATGATGTTGAGATAAAATAAGTAGGTGTAAAAGTAACGAAAAACTAATGTTGATGCATGATGCATCAACCAATTCAGAAGTAATGAATGCATTATTCATTCCTTCTGAATTGGTTTATGTAGTCCCGGCACTATTATATATAGGGGACTACTCTATAATTGGTAAACTAACTTCAACCAGTAATTGTTTTGCTACCGTTCGTTGGCTAGAAATAAACAAAGAGATAGAGTGAAAGCCGGACAACGGCATTGGCGCGTAGCCGGTGACACCACGAGATAAAAATAAACACGATGGAATAGGATTTCCGCGTGCAAGGCTCACCGTGTCTATTTTTGTCTATGATAGCTGCTCGTGTCGCCGCGGATCGCGTAAATAACGTAGACGCTATTGTATTGCGCTGCATTTATAGCGAAGTGCTCGAAGGGGGAATTGTATAAAAGATAACTGAATATGATGATATAGCGATTGACAAATTGTGCATACAATTAATATCTTTATATCAATATTCACTAGCCGCCCTCCAACTCAACTTTGATATATTTATCATGGCGTTCAATCAAATAATTGAAAAACTTTTACTTAATTATACACATCACTTTTAAATATATTTTTTTCTATAGTATATTCTTATTATATTGTTTATTTCGATTGAAATGTTTATTTACGACCTTTCCTTTAAGCATTCCTCCTTCTTCTTTATAACAAATTGGGTCAACATTAAAGTGAAATACCCATTTCTCAATTTAGTACGTTTACTACCAAATACTGTATCACCATTTACTATCAGGCAAGATGATAGACAAACAAAAGAAAACACGAAACTTCAACAAATCACATTGCCAATAGGTAATTCAAAGCCAAAAATCCCGGAATACAGGCCCAAGTACAGATAAGCCGATTGCACGAATACGGAGTTATGTTTTAGTTTGACTGTTCGCTGTAGCATATCTGCTTACTCCAAAACAATATCTGATGAATACATACACAAACAAGCGGCGGGAGCGAGTCGCGGCGTGTGAGCATCACGTGCACACCTCGTGTCCGTGATCTTCCAACGTAGCTATTAATAAAACTAGCAGACTTTTAATACCACTGAAATAACGTAATACGAAAATAAACAAACCAGAACTACACAGACGTTTCCGAAACAGTGATCGGTGAACGTGCAATCAATACATCATGATGAGGTGATATCATTACAAACGACGTTTGTATTATATAGAAAGCGATATCCAACACAAATTGTCAGAGCCACACGGTTTCAAGGTGAGGTGCACTGTTCTAGCAAGACTTTACTTTAATAAAACATCATGATATATCTGGTCCGCCGACTTATTTATATTAGTCAACCGGTTTGAATGCATCTATTAAGGCAGCCATTACATTTGCTAATTATGCAATAATATTTATATATTTGTCGTGAATGGTTGGATTGCATAAGCATAAAAGATTTCCGTAGCATTGGACATTGAAGGAAAGGTTACAGTTGCGGTAAAATTCAATCATATTTATTTGACTCCTACTAAAAAGTTAAATAGAAGAAGAAATCAAACCTCTCACAAGTTTGAATGTAGTCAAGAAGTTGTTTTTTTTTTTTTTTTTTTGGGCTGGCTGAGCCACTGTTGGCCTTAGGGGCCTTTACAGATCCAACGGACTTGAGGTGGCCTGGCGCACGAGGCGCCTATCCTGAACCTCGGCGTACTATTATTACGCGTTATGGTGACTAAGCTCGAGGGCTCCCGGGGGAGCTTCGGCTCGGGCCGTCACGCTATTATTATTACCGGTTTGGGAGGCCGCCAAGCTCTTAGGGCGCTTTGGCGGGCGTTCCATGGAGTGCTCCATGGAGTGCATCAGGCTCAAGGGTCCCCGAGAGGGGACCTCAGCTTGGGCTATCACTCAGCACGCGTTTAGCATTCCGATTCGAGGGTGCCCGAGAGGGCCGGACCTCGGCTCGATCGGTAGCTATTATCTGACTGGGGGAATTACTAGAGCTAACATTACTACCACTTCAGAGAGCGTTGGCGCTGGGAGAAGAAGTGGCGGAAGAAACTCCAGCAACGCTTCTATCATTAATAGGGGAAAACCTGCCAGGTACGTGGCGGAACCTAGTATATGTTTGCCGCACTCGCCGGCGAGTGCGGTGTGTGTTGGTGTGTTTCTTGAGTTTTTTGATCCTTTCGATGGCGATAGTCGTCTCATCGTCAGGGAAGTCGAGAACGTGACGCGGTCTTCGGTAATCGCGGCGGAAAATATTTAGCGGCAAGGGCCTGTAGGTGACGGCACCTACGATAAGTGGGTTGGGATGCGCGGCGGCGGAATCGAAATATCGGCGCGACGCCGACTTCAGGAGTTGCGCGATGGTGGGCAATTCTAGATCGACATGTAGGTCGATATTGCGCATGAACCAGGGTGCTCCCGTGGCTCTGCGCAAGAATCGATTTTGAATCACCTGAAGCCGGTGTATTTGCTTCGGAGCAATGTGAGCGAAGACGGGGCTCGCGTACGTCATGATAGGGCGAACTACTGCCTTATATAAGGTCACCTTGTTCCGAAGGGACATTTTTGACGTTTTATTGAGGAGCGGGTACAGGCGACCGAGTACGAAGGCCGCCCGGTTCCTGACCTGGGTCACGTGCTGGGTGAATTTAAGCTGGGAGTCGAGGACGACGCCTAGATATTTGACTTTATAAACCCATGGTACTGGGCTGTCCAAGAGCCTTTCTACCTCTTCGTTCACCTTACGGATGTGTTCGGGGTCGATCGGAAGCAGACTGGGGGAGCATTGAGACTCTAGGCTGTCAGACAGGCATTCGGCCTTCTCTTCGTCCAGCATTGCTGGCGTACCTATCGGGCGGGTCAAGAAGTTGTCTTTACCGTCGGACTTAAAGCCAAAACAGACAATGTTAAACTATCACAAGTAGCCACTGAAGTAAGCTCACATATGCTCCCGCTAATGATATTTATAGGTACACCGTCACTCGTCAGTAGAAATCGATCAGTAATTTCTTACAATAGCCGGACGAGTACACATAACTTCACCTCCACAATAATACAAAATGCAATACAATTCCTGATAAACATAAATATTGTATTTGAAATTTTTTCCATTTGAATCGTTTCTTTATTTCCAAACATTCAAAAATTCTACAATATCTCACCATAAAGTCTGAACAAGCATTTGTTGTTATCAAGAATTCGTCAAATATCTCAATTGTTACATCGTCATTTTCGTCGATTTTATAATTATAATAGCGACTTCGCAGAAGCAGCCATGATATTTGGATTCTATACAAGTTAGCGAGCCTTAATCAAAACCGGACGCGAGAGCGCTCGGCGTGACTAATGTCCAAGAATCTCATTTAAAATTAACTTTAAAAAGGTAAAATGAGTAAAGTTGATTTTAAACCACAAAATACGGTTTATGTTTATGCAATATATGAACCGTGATAGCTTACTGTCAGAGTTTTAAATCTCGGTGCCGGCACCAATAAAATTGTTCCTTGCAATTTTGATTGCTGATATGGTGAAGGAAAACATCATGAGGAAACCTGCATATTTTCGCAATAATATTTAAAAAAAAATGTTTCATAGATGAGAAGACTGCCAATAAGCGGTGGGGTCGCGTGGTGGATTACCCTAATACTCAGGGTGTACAGAGTAAGCGGTTCCAGAGCTATAATAAAAATTGCACAATGACAAATTTTTTCCTTAATTATATTATTATTATATTGAAATTTTTTTTAAAATTTTTCATTCGACTTATATTAAAACCATTGTATTGTCATCGGTCCTAGATAAGTGTAGAAAATTTCAAATTATTATGACATTTTTACGTGGGTTGAAACACCGTTCAAAGTTTTCGTTACAAATATAGATGAAGCTAATTAAAGCGTGTTAAAAAGGTCAGAAGTGAACAGCAAAATTTATTCATACTACTTTTCAATTTCTTTTATTTGAGCGCGAAAACTGAGCGCAAGACAGCGGCGAATGGAGGTTCATTTCATGATGAGCACGCAGGAATTCTTATCACGCGTCATCACAGCCCGACCTTCGTGGAAGAGGAGCGCCCAGGGCGGAGGCGCGGGCGTGCGTCGCGCTAGCGCTATCGCTTCCGGCGCGAGGTTGTCGGCCTTCCGGCCCGCTATCGGTCAGCTGCGCCCGCTGCGGTGACATTGCACCACGACAGCGGCACACCCGTGTGTAAACCTGGCTCCGTTACCTATTAAACGATCCCAAACGCCGCGACTTGTACATCTTGAAAGGACGCGTATTTCATTTTCAGAATTTTTTATACGCCAAGACGAGAGTATCGTTGTTTCAGCTGATCTTAAGCGATTACAGTCCATGGATATATAATTTGAGTTGCAAACGCGTCGCAAGTCTTCAAAAGACTAACGCACATTTAGAATTAAAGGGACCTAATTGAGAAAATGATGATTTTGACTTTATGTCAGGAAACGACTACCTTTTTCGACTCTTATTAAAACAAGGGCCGAATTTGGCGTGAGAAACGGAGAATGGCCCTACCACAGACTAAGACAGGTAAGCGAATTACGCACCTTCTCACATAACAAAAACACTGAACACGGAAGCCACTGAAGTAGACTAGTACGAAGTCACTAAATTACGTCAGTTAATCTCATACGTGGCCAACAACAGATTTAACAGGAAGTACTAGGCGTACTCAGTCACAGTGGTATATCTCATGTCAGCGCCTGATGGCGACAGGAGGTAAAGGAATGGGCAGGTTAAACCGGGTAAGTACCACGACCTCACAGAAGACCGGCATAAAGTAGAAGTGCGTTTCGTATGGTGAGTTGGGTAGCCGGGGCCTACTTTATCTATAGGTGGCAACGCATTTGCAACACTACCACTTTGTTTGCCACTTTCTCACATGAACAAAAAGGTATACGGCAACACTCCTCGACCTCTGGCAGTGTGGAGCTGCTGAATGGGGTGGGATCGGCGCCGCGGTGGCGGGCGGCGATCAATTGGGCGGGACGGATGATTGGCAGCGCCGACCGCAGCGGACACCGGAATGCGGGCCGGACGGCGACCCCGTTGCAAAGGTCGCGGCGCACCAAATGAGGCTGAACACTGAACGCCAGGCAAGCTATCGAATGCCATTGGATCCTTTAAAGATATTATGACAAGATCGTAGAGTTTCTTGCCAGTTCCGCTCTGTTCAGGTCTAATTTAACGACTAATTTAACAGTGGTAGTTTTCTTTAAAGCTAACATTGAATAAACGAAATGTTGACTTTGATATCACGTCAGAACATCCGCGTAATACGATGGATTCACAATTTTGAACTGTCTGTTGGGGACTGACAGTCTTATGACATATTTGGATAGCGTGTGTACAAGTTCTAGTGCACACTTTCAGCAATAACTTCGTGTAAATACTAAAACCATAAAGCGTCCTAGTTTTGTGGCAACGAGGCATAGGTACGGGACATAACGCTATTGCGACACGATCGCGAAAGTAGATCATCTCTAGCGTGTATTATGAGAAGTTAGCAAGCAATGTCATTTAACAGCAGGGGAACTGCCCTGATATTAAATGATAACCGTCGCCTATGGACATTTGCAACACTCCTAGGGTTGCAGATGCGTTGCCACCTTTTAATAAAGTGGGCCCCGGCTACCTCACTCACCAGACGCATTTCTACATCTCGCCGGTCTTCTGTGAGGTCGTGGTACTTACTCGGACGGACCTGCCGTGGTATTGCGTGGCCCTACCACATTCAAAACTGTGGTGGGTTTATCAGTGGGTTAATTTAACCTGACGACCGAAGACGACAGACGAAACTCGGAAGTATAACACTTCCACATCACGCTAGTCTTCTGAGGTCATGGTAGATCCCCGGAGAGACCAAAATCAGGTGAACCAGCTCGCTTGCCACCTTCTGACAATAAAAAGAATTTGGGTATTGGATCGAGCCAATCGGTATAGTGCATCAAATGGACGTCCACGTTGCGAGGGCGCTTGCAGCCGGGCGCGGCGCGGCGACCCTGGCCGCGCCACCGCCGTTGCACAACGCGCACTATTCTGGCGCATCGCCCCGCTCCCGCGGCGGTTGCGAAACGGCACCGCCACGGGTCACGCGCCCGTCGCGCTCCCGTCGCGTTACCGTCACGCGGCGAATAATTGATGGACTCCCGCGACATGCTCCGTCCAGGTACGTATCGCGAAATCACTCCACCGCGTCAAAGGTGACACGCGAAACTAATGATCTGTCCAGTCTCTCTGTCTACCAGGCTGCACGAATTATTCACAGGCTCGACATTATCATTTGAATGATAATTCAAAGCGTTATCGTGTAGGTTGTTCTGTGAAACTATTAGATAATCTTGCAAGCTATGCCGCTGTTAATCAACCAAGAATTGTAGGCATGTCGTGTTATTAAAGATATGTTTTATTAGTTTTGATAGTCCCGATATGTATAAGAACACGCGCTAATCTTATATCTCCATCGAACACGCGTTAAGTCGTTTATAGATATTAGCTTTATTTAAGTACAAAAATGAATTTATTTTATATATAGCCAATATAATATAGCCTCTACCTGTTTCAAATAATTAGCAAAACCGAATACAAAACCAGTCTCGATTTGCCTATAGCATAGCTATTCAAAATATTCGCTAACCATCTAATCAAAACGGAGGTTCAAAGGTCTATCCTATGTTAGTTAATAAAAGCGACGGAGAAAACTAAATCGCAGTAGTGCAGCTAGTAAACTCTCATGAGCCAATCCCGAAGGAATGCGATGACTCCGCCGAAGCTTGGCCCTTGACCGCGTTTGCAGTAGACCGCGGGACGGCGGGCGGTTCGCGTTGCACCTGTCACCCACCAGCACGGTATTTTTAACCGTTCACTAAGATCGCAGTGGCGGCTCTCGGCCAGATACTCGAACGGTCATGTCGAGCGTCGACCTTTGTTTCCACCTCCGCATGGCGTTTAATATATTTTTTTATGGAAAAAGGAGGCAAACTAGCAAGAGGTTCACCTGATGGTAAACTTGCAACATGGGAGGAATCACAATGGCTTTAACGGCCTGAGAGCTAGGACTAGGCAACCTTTTTTGGGATTCCTAAGTCGTATTGGCCCGGAAATACCGCTGGCGACAACTGGTTCCACAAAGTCAGACGCTTGTGCGGGGCGGAAAATTGCACAGTGGTGGACCGCCAAACATCAGAGTGGTGTCGATGATAATTATGTCATAAATAAATATTGTATTTATTTATTAGACGTCCACAAAGCTAGAGTCGCCATCCCATCACCTGACATCGTAAGCCCATGTAAACTTCGAGTGTAACCACGTCCTGCACACGTGGACATAAACCATTAGCAAATAGAAATCGCGAACACGGAGACTTAATATGACACCAGTGGTCTGCGCTATCGTAAGGAAATTAAGTCCATATTTGGTTAAAGCACACACTGCTATGACAGATTGTATGTCGCCAGCAAGATTGTTTATCACGCACAATTATGACAAAGAAACCGTTAACGCACGAAATCCGACCTTAAAGCTTTGCCGCACAGACGGTTATCGCTCGTCACGGGGCCACGTTATAATTTGTAATCTACTCTAACGAAGCGAACACTATCCACTCCAATTTGAACAACAATGTGTCCATAAATTCTATTTTTGTCGTTTACGTACGAGATTTGCTTTGCAGTGATGTAAGACACCCGCTATCACAATTGTGTAGCGATGTATGTATAAATAGACTAGCCAAAGAACAATGCCCACTTCCCATACATTTAAAAACCTGATAATGAAAGTGTATGTATAGTTACAAGGTATAGCAGAAAGACTACCTTTAAGTTAGTAAATTAATATCATTAAAACATGTAGAAAAAGTACGAAAAGATTGTCGCCGCTGTGGGAATCGAACCCACGTCTTCGGCATTCGCGGCCTGACGCTCTAGCCACTGAGCTAAACGGCTGATAGCCACAGCGACGAAAATCTTAAAGCCTTCTTTCTACATTGTTATTTAGCATTTGAAGCAATGCTTGGCGAATCTATTGTTATATCCTTTCCAGCATACAAACAATTTCGAATATCGTTTTACAACGATAATTCGAACGAGAGATGTCGCCATTGCTTTTTATAAATTTTAAAGTTTTTTATAGTGCTAATCTCTGCACCTAAGATTGAACATTAAAACATGTAGAAAAAGTACGAAAAGATTGTCGCCGCTGTGGGAATCGAACCCACGTCTTCGGCATTCGCGGCCTGACGCTCTAGCCACTGAGCTAAACGGCTGATAAGACCGTCAGGCCGCGAATGCCAAAGACGTGGGTTCGATTCCCACAGCGGCGACAATCTTTTCGTACTTTTTCTACATGAATATGTGATGTTAATCATTTGCCAGTATAAAACTTGATACTATTACTCTAGATTCTTTCTCTTTTGTATGATAACATGAATATGTGATGTGAACTTGTTTGTATAATAGCATTTATCTGTCTTTGCTTTTCTGAAGGATTATCAAAAACTGTTCTTTGGCCTGGTTGAGATAATCCTGAAGCTTGAGCAACATCACAGCTTGTTAATTCCTGGTTTATTATTCTCATAAAGAGTTCATTACAAGATTTACAAATGTAATCTTCCTCAGTAATCTGAAATAAAAAAAACATACATTGAGTTTATAATACATATTTTGGATATATAGATCTTTTGAACATTTGTTTGTGTTATGTCACAGGTATATTTTATAGGAGCTTTGTTAGTTTGATTAGGATATGATTGACATTTTTAGACTGAGAATAATAAACATAAATACTCACAATTACTGGCGAATAGCGATGAGTATGAGTCACTCGCAGAACTGTCAAATGTCAAAAAAATCCATTTACGTCAGCCGTGCGAACTTTATTACATGCTGCATTAATAATTTATTATTTTATTTTTAATAAATCTGTACTACTAATAAGAATTGATCTTAATTTTTATACGAATACTGTCAATTACGTGCTTACTCACTTCTCTAAAACGTAAAATCACGTACAAAACTCAGAAAAAGTTGAATATAGTCAAGTAGGTAGTGTTAGAAATGGAACGTCCTATGCAAAGGATTGTTAAGGTGCGTTCAAAACATGGTAATATGTTTACCCTTGAAGTAAAATAAGCGTAAAGAAATATCAAAAAATATTATTTTCCCCGACCTTTTTTTTTTTTTGTATTAATGCAATCTGTTTCTATGAACATTAAGCATTAGGTTAAGTATTTAGAATAGATTGTCTTGCAGGGCAGTGGGTCCAGTGACGTGTGCCCATTGTTTATCATATTTCCTATAAATCTCTAGGGGACTTTCTTTTTAGTCTCTTAAATGTTGGGTTACTTTTCATTAAGTTTGAAGCCAAGGAGTTTGGATGAGAGTCCAATCTGTTCTTGTATGATTCTATTGAGTATTTAATCTCTTCTTGTATTGTTCTGATTTCTAGATCGTGGTGAAGTTGTTGGTTTGTTATGAACCAAGGAGCATTAGTTATTATCCTCAGCATTTTGGACTGGAATCTTTGAAGTATTTCCAGGTTTGAGTTGGCAGCTGTGCCCCAAAGTTGTACTCCGTAAGTCCAGATTGGTTTCAAAAAACATTTGTATAGAAGAAATTTATTTTCCAGTGATAACTGTGATTTTTTGTCCAGTAGCCAGTACATTTTCCTTAGTTGGATTCCCAGTGCTTTTCGTTTTGTAAAGATATGTTTTTTCCAAGTCAGACGACGATCTAAATAAAGCCCAAGGTATCTGGCTTCATTTGCTTGGGGTATCTGTACTCCGTTGAGCCATACAGGGGGACATGTTTCTCGTCGCGTTGTGAAAGTCACTTGTATAGACTTAGATTCGTTTGCTTTTATTCGCCATGTGTTTAACCAATTCGTGATGTTGTTTAGAGAGCGTTGAAGCATGTTACTTGCTTGTGCTGGATCGTCATGGGAAGTTAAGGCTGCTGTGTCGTCAGCAAAAGTGCCAATCACAACGCCGTCTGTCATGGGCAGGTCTGCGGTAAAAATAAGATAGAGAACTGGACCAAGTACACTTCCTTGTGGCACTCCTGCCTGAACTCTATGGAGTTTGGTTATATCCTCTCCTTGCTTAACGTAAAAAAAATCTGTCAGCAAGATATGATTTTAAGAATATGTAATAGTTTGTCGGGAGTAAGTTTTTTATTTTGTGTAATAAACCTTCGTGCCAAACTTTGTCAAAGGCCTGGGTTATATCCAAAAATGCTGCGCAACAGTATTTCTTATTTTCGAAGGCTTTATGGATTTCTTCAACCAGTCTATGCACCTGTTCTTTTGTACCATGATGTTTTCTAAAACCAAATTGGTGGTCTGGAATGATGTTATTTTGTGTTATTACTATATTCAATCGTTTTGAAAACAGTATTTCCATAATTTTTGACAGAATGGGTAGCAAGCTAATTGGTCTGTAGGAGGATACATCTTCAGGAGCTTTGCCAGGTTTAAGGATCATTTTAATTTGCGCTATCTTCCATTGCGGTGGGAAGATGCCTCTGATCAATATGGAGTTGAAAAGGTGTGTTAAAAAAATTATAACTTTTTCAGGTAGTTCACGGAGTATTTTTGCTGTAATTAGGTTGTATCCAGGGGCTTTATTTTGATTTAAATTTTTAATGGTTTCTGTGACCTCACGTATCATGATCTTTTCAATTGGTAAGTCTAGTTGGTAAGGTTCATTTAGGAAGTTAATAATTTCATCACCTTTGGATTCCGATGGGTTATGGGCAGTGTTTGGTACGAAGACATCGGCCAAATGAGAGGCGAAGGATTTACCTTTCTCTAGGTCACTTTTTGCCCAGGAACCGTCCTTTTTGCGTATTGGTGGATTAGAGACGGTAGGTCTTTTAATTCTTTGGGTTGTTTTGCAAAGAGAGTAGTCACTAGTAGTCGTTGCATCTAGATTACGTAAGTGGTTCTGTACGTTTTAATTTTTTTCCATATATAAAAGTTTTTTAAGTTTTGTCGTTAAGTAGTTCAACCGTGTTTTATCTCGGGGAAATCTGGTATTTTGCCATAATTTGCGAGCCTGCCTTTTTTCGGCAACTAGTTCTCTAATAGGTTTTGAGTAGTATGGTTCCGTGCGTTTCTTAACAATAGGAGTACTATCCCAAGCAGCCTTTTGAACACACTCGTTGAAATGTTCGACCGCTGCTGCAATATCCTCTTCGGTTTTAAGAGGCAGATTAGTATTGATTGTAGACTCCACTATGGAACGAAACATATCCCAGTTTGTCCTACGTTCATGTAACCTTGCTGCAGGTTTAACGTATACGAATTCCTGTGCGACCTCGAGTAGAACTACACCATGATCAGATGAGAGGTCTTGAAGAGAGGTACATTTAAAACAATTTGTAGGAATTCCTTTTATGACACTGAAGTCAACTAGGTCAGGGATTCTTTTTGGGTCAGTCGGCCAATAAGTTGGTTTCCCATTCGATATCGTTTCCAGGTGTAGATCAGTTATAGCTGCCTGTAACTGGCGTCCCTTGGGAGTTGTTAGGCGAGAGCCCCATTGAGTGCTCTTAGCATTATAATCTCCACCGGCAATAAACCTTGGTCCTAGCGTTTTGAAAAACTTACGTAGTTTTCTTTTTTGATGGCATGTTTTGGGGGAGAATACAGTGCAGTAACAGTCAAGTGTCCCCGCCAATCCTCGACCACAACGTTTGTGGCTTGTATCTCTGGAGTTTTATATGGCTCAATCTCATGGTGTTTAATATTATTCTTGATTAGTATTGCGGATCCTCCATGGGCTGTGCCATCCGGATGCATTGTTTGGTAAAATTTGTAGTTAAAGATTTTGAGGTAATTCATTTTTGTAAAATGTGTTTCAGATATTAGCAAGATATCAATTTTATTGGTTTTTAAAAATGTCTCCACTTCTAAGACATGGTGAGAGAGCCCGTTGGCATTCCAAAGGGCTATTTTTAATGAGCAGAAGGTTGCAACTTGGTCATGACTTCCATCAGGAGATTTGTTATTGTTATTAATTGTTGCATTAGTTGTGTCATAGTATTCATTATTTCTTTCATGTTGTTGTTGTTTGATTGGACTTGTGGTAATTCATTTGGATTTTCATTGTTAACAGGTGTGATTGTTTATTGGTTATTAACACTTGTTTGTAGGTTGGTTGGTCTTGCTGCCTAAAAGTGTCCACTTTGTTTATTGACTACATTCTTTGCTGATGTTTTGCTGGTTGGGTAGGATATTTAATTTTCTGGAGCTCCTTATATATTGAACAACCTTTATAGTTCGCAGGATGGTTACCATCGCAGAGTACGCATTTAACTGAATCGGATCTTTCTTTCCGTTCACACTTGGACGATGCATGGTCTCCAGCACATTTAATGCATTTGGGCTTCCTGAAACAGTATTCTTTGTTTCACATTCCAAATGTTAGTGACTTTGTGTCCTTGCATTTCTAATTCAGCTTTTATTTCTTCTATGTCAGTGGAGGGGTGGATATTTTTGAGGACTACTTTGAAACTGCGGTCTTGTTTTGGCCTGTAGGTATAAAATTCTGTATTTTTTTAACAATTTTTGTATATAGTTCTGTTGACCTTCTTTTAACATTGTGATTAGTGTAATTACTATAAAATGAAATTAGCTAAATTTTAATATTTATTTCACCTCTATACACAATCAGGTCAAAAATGGGCATTGTTCTTTGAAAACCTCTATTCTTTTAGACGCCCCAAGGTTAATACTGTAAGCATGTATAGGCGTCCTCCTCTGTTTCCAATACGCGAGGTTTCCACTTACATTATTATGACCATACAAATATAATTTTGTGTCAAAAATATATTCTAAAGTATTTACACAAAATTAACATTTGAAGCAAATATAGAAAATGTTTCAGGGAAATACAGGAGTTATGCTCAAAATCGTCAACATTACAATCAAACGTTATTCTTCACACCATTTCATGAGTGTTCCATGTATGGTTGAAATTCAAACAGGAACCCTAAACAGTATCGACAATACCTTACACAGAATAGAAGGGAAATGTACAAAAAATCCCATATGTGTAATGGTATAATAGGAAAGTATTATGCAATTCTAAATGTTCTTGAATTATTCATCACACGACCTGCGGATAAACGTTTGAATGTTAATCATTAATGAATTTTTAAAGTATTTGCTACCGTTACGGTTAAGTTTACATCACTATTTATCATTAGTACTATCAATGACATGGAGAGTTTATGTCGAAAAAAGAAACAATTCAAAGTTACTGGATAGCGCAAAGACATCATCATATTGATTCATCGCATACCACTGACGATCCTATTTTTAACCCGGACTTGTTAGCGTTTCTACGATCCCGCAATCCGAATTTACAATCCACCACTGAAGGAACATACTCAGCCCACGGGACCACGTATGGAAGAATCCAGAGAGTCATGTAGGGTAGAATAAGACTATTATACCGGTATTTTATATTGTAAACTGATATCTTTGAAAAAGAGCAACTGTTGAGTTTCTTGCCGGTCTCTTCTCAACAGAAACTGCTTTCCGAACCCGTGGTACCTTACGAGAACCTCTATGTATAATTTTTTATGTAAAATTTGACGATTCATAAGAACGCGCAAGCGTCTATTTGAATAAAGATTTTTGATTGATTGAAGATATACGAATGTCCAGATGAAGAATGGATGAAGACAGTATATAGTGATGGAGTCTTTCGAGATAAGTGCTCTGACCCCTAAGAGACCTTCACATAATTATCGCACGATTACAGTGGTAGGGCCACGCAACACTGTTGCACAAATGGGCAGGTCCGTCCGGGTAAGTACGACGACCTCACAGAAGACTGGCGTAAAGTAGAAGTTTTACACTTCCGCGTTTCTTCTGGTGAGTGAGGTAGCCGGGGCCCACTTTATTTACAGATGGCAACGCATTTGCAGCCCTACGGGTGTTTCGAATGTCCATGAGCGGCGGTTATCACTTAACATCAGGTGAACCGCCAGCTCGTTTGCCATTTTCTCAAATAAAAAATAAAAACGAGAAAATACAGACAGAGAGGATCGTCAGACGGAAAGAGTGACCCCGTCAGACGTGGGACGAGGGAATCGAGCAAAGTGCGTCGCGTGCACAAGTCGCACTGTAGGTCACTAGCCTACGCGCGCGAGTCTCCCCGTGGCAATAACCGGGCGCGGCCTCACGCGGTCGCAGCGCGGCGCATACAAATCAATCGTTGCACCAACGGTCGCGTTTACGCGAGGGTACACCGTGAAGCCAACGGCTCCATAGCAATGCTCCTCCACCGTCATTGCTTATGCATAACGAACGTTTCGTAACGTTTCTTGTTACGGTAACAACCGAGACATCGTTTGGACAAATTGACGTTCGTAGGTTTTACTTTTTTTTATGTGAGAATGTGGCAAGTGAGCTGGCGATTCACCTGATGTTCAGTGATACCTGCCGTACATTTGCAACACCCGATTTGCAGATGACTTGCCTTACCTTGTAATAAAGTTAGCCCCGGGTACCTCACTCATCAGAGGAAACGCAGAAGTATAACACATCTAGTTCACGCCGGTTTTCTGTGGGATCGTGGTATTTAACCGGACGGAACTACCCATTCGTGTAACAGCGAAGACTGATGTGTGGACTTTCCACAGTCTAACTTTTTTACTAAAAAAGTTTTCTACGTTAAATGTGATCATAAACATTGACCGTATTGGTTGCATGTAATCTTTTGTAACTCAAAACGTACTTCGAATATCTAATTCACTGTACGTTTTATTTTGAAGAATTCACTGGTGTAATTTTGATATCAAAGGTGCAATGCCGATGAAATTAAAATGGGAATGAGATCACTTGAAAACTTCCCCTTTCAAACAAATAAGAAAAAGAATTTTCCGAATAGATTTTCGAAAGGACGCGGTTCTAAGGTAACGAAAATAATAAAAAAAAAACACCTTTTTGAAGTCGGTTGACAAAAAACAGCGAATGTATGATTTACGTCATTGTTATCGATTTAAACGAAACAATAAAAATTATTAAAGTGAACATAACACGAGACATAACGCAGTCGATAAACAGAAAAGAATGCGGAGCATGAAAGTCGTACGCCTCGTTTCCGGCGAACGGGGTTGGCAAGCGATCGCACCGGCGCACCGGAAGTTGAGTTACGCCACGCCACTGTTTTGCGATTGCAATGAGTGCCCTACACATTTAGGAAGTAGGACTCCTCCTACTTCACTACCTCAGTCTACGTTCAACAGCCCTGTGGCGGCAACAGTAGAGCAATGGGCACAGTTTAATGTAAAAGAGACACGCGGTATGGGACGAACAGACTTCCCGGTCGTAATATCATTTTCAGAACACACAAAGGTAACGCATAATTATAATATGGAAGCAGGGCTAAATAATACACGCAAATGGACGCAACTGAACAATATACAAAACGGAGAATCGGTGATAAACTGCGGGCTCACTACAGGATTGATTTTCCGTTTCCCTTAGGCGAGAACTACTCGAATAGCTTTTTGTGCAACTGTTTTACTTCAACCCCACAAAAAAAGGGGTTCACTGACATATTACCGAAATGTTCAACTCGTATACATAAAGCCATTTCCTTCACCGATTGAATGTCATGCATGAAAATCGGTCGACTTTTAGCAACAAACCTACTAAGGCTAGTGATCGATGCATCAACGCAGTCAATGTTGACACACGCGCCAACTCAGATGTAGAAGCCAATCGCACAGACCGAGGCCGGTTGGAGCCGGGTGCGATTCGAGCGCGGCGTTTCTATTTCGGCGGGTGGCTTAACGCCGTTGCACATCTAAATCGGTGGCGTTACATTTTTACGGCCGTCCGCGTCCGTCCGCCGCCCCGTCCGTCCGTACGCCGCGCTATTCTGGTTAGTCTATAAACGGCGAGCTCCGGCCCGTTTATTATTAGAGATGGCCAAACGGTTCGCACCTGATTGGAAGGCGGCCAAGCGCGCTCCGGTGCGGCCGCCTCGCGCGCCCTCTCTCCATTCATCGATCCCTCTAATTGTTCCACCATTGCGCTCGTCCGCGGCCACATAGTCGAGGAATGCACCGCCGCTAATTGCGAAAGCGCACGCCTTCCGGATAATATAATAAGGATGACTGAGCCACATTGAATTAATTGGTGGTGGACCGACGCATTGATTGACATGTTAATCGATTCGTGTTAGCATATGTTTTAATTACAAACGACAACGTCACGCCTATTGTTTTATTGATAAATTGAATGTTTGCCGCCGTTACAATTTTAGAAAGACTTCTTGCAGTGTTCCAATACTTCTCTTGAGATAACTTTTGTATTCTCTTCTTATTTATAACTACAAGTACAACCTCAAAAATCAAGCAGCGGCTTGCAACGAGGGGTATATAAAATCGATTAATTATATTGGATTCTGATTAGACGGAGAATAAAAACCAAATTGACTTGATTAAATCTTTCGTTATCAAGTGACCAGTTGTACTGTAACGATAATCTCCTCCGGCAGTTAGGCAAACGTCACGAATGATTGATCAATTTATTTTTGATAATTGGTTATAGATTGGTCGAATTAAATTGGATTAATTTATCAGAGGTGTGGATAAACAGGCTTAACGACGTAACACAACAGAAGCGGAGGCCTTTTCTAATAATCACATCAAAATACAACTTACTACATAGTTATGTCATATTCTTGTTCTATTGGCTCCTCTTCGAAAAGACATTCAAACCTTCCTGCAACTTATCCAGAACATTTTTTACATTTGCCGATCGCAACTGATTATGTTGAAGAGTAGCAGTCTCCTGTAAGATTCGCTAGAGGCGATAGTGTATTTTCATTGCGATGTTTGGACTCATCTATAACAACAACACGCGCCGCAGTTACGTGAGCCGGTGGAAATCTTTCTGCGGACTATCGTAGAGTTAGTTATTTATAGCCGACATTCGTCGATCAACGTTGGCTGAACTGACGCGGTGAAAACGAACGCGAAATGGGCGAACCGTGTAAAAGTTTTGCAATTTCACCGATCGATGGCGGTGAATATAAACCAATATTGGGAGTCGGGAACTGGTTTGGTAACCAAACAATCATGTACCTCTAATGGAACGTCAATTTCGATAGGTTCATTGGTTTGGAGGAGGCTATCTAGCTCTCTTCTAGGTCGCAGCAGTCTTTGGGATTTATAACCAACCCATGAGACAGTAGATACTAAGTCAAACAATCGACGGCCGCTCTTGTGGATTGCATACCGTGGACGAAGTCACAATATCGATTGTTCGTGTCACAAATTACTATTGACAGGTATGAGGAAATTGTATTTGCAGTGTGCATTTAATTGTGTGTAATTGCGGGCTATGAAAACTTATCGAGGCGGATGTCAGCAATTACAGGCTAAATAAAGAGTTAATTGTATATGCGTCATATTTTTTATTTTACCTTATTTCCATCTAGTCAAATTACGACAGCTGAGATGAACGTCAAATATTACATTTGTTCTGCCCTGATATCTGGCAGCACAGCTTTACGTTCGGAGTCAAGAAATTTGTGACTGTATGAAAGTATGAAATTTATTTAATTTTTTTTACTGTGGTTATGCCACGCAACAGTGTTCGCTGTTGCACCAATGGGCAGATCCGTCCGGGTTAGTACCACGACCTCACAGAAGACCGGCGTGAAGTAGAAGTGTTACACTTCTGTGTTTCGTCTGGTGAGTGAGGTAACCGGAACCCGCTTTATTAACAGGTGGCAACGCACCTGCAACCCTACGGATGTTGCAAATGTCCATAGGCGGCGGTTATCACTTAACATCGGGTGAACCGCCAGCACGTTTGCCACTTTCTTACATAAAAACGATTCTTAAAGTAGGTACCGGTATGCTTCACATTCGAGTATACAAACTGACGACTTATCGACTCATCGCGGAGCAATTGGGCTCGTTCGCTCGCTCACGAATAATGCCATCAAATTGGTAGCTATCAATTGGCACGTCGACGCTCGACAGCTGTCAAAATGGAGCACGCCAATCCAACCCTTGGCCCCGTAACCATACGGAACAGATTAAGCCGTGCAGCGCAAACCTTGCTTATCTAACGAGATTCGTCCGTCTCATTGCTCCATTTGTGACACGCCGATGCAAAAACATCATATACTTCTTCCAATGGGTTTACAAATTTGTTCTCTATCTCGTCGATAAGCTGAAAGAAGGTATTTAATTGATAGTAATAATAGAGCCCTTCATTCTTCTTGTGCAAATATTATGTCGGTGACAAGTATTGTATTCTTTATTCTTGAATCATTATTATATGTTCTAAATATGCTTTATTTATATTCGCCCACGTAATTTCCTGGCTTATTGTTAGTTTGACAATCACAATCATCATTTTTATTTAAAAAAAATTCATTAATCAATCTGTCCATACATCGAAAAGTGCTGAATGAGTATAGCTAAATTTTGTTATTATCATCGATCTCTTGATAAATCGAAATATCGGGTGACAATGAAAACACACAGGTGTAACGATCGGTTAGTTGTCAAAATTATTTCATGTTATTTAACAGATTATTGGGTATTTCAATATTAAACGGATGACGTTAATGGCGGTGGCTTGGCAAACATGCGACGGCAGTGGACCATCTCCGGTTGGCGCTGGTTAGAGCGAGAGAAGTGTTTTCAAGTCGGCCTTCTTACTTCGACAGCTAGAAGGGGCGTCTGCTTGAATCGAGCATCGTCATCATCATGACGATAGCAATTGTTTGCTCACCAAATACGACGTACGCGTCAGCTGAACGTATTTATAGATTAAATTCTTGTACAAATATTAAGAGCTAGCTTTTCGCCCGCGGCTTCGCTCGCGGTGAAGCCCTTTCTTTATCTATTTTTTCTTTTTATATCTTTCTTTAAAATATATGTATATTTTAAAGTTTTTTCCAATTAAAAAATAGCCTATGTCCTTTCTCAGGCTCTAAAATAGTTTAGGTTTCCGATTTAAATAAATTTTGGTACACAGATAGCTGTGTACCAAAATTTAAATCGGTTCAGTAGTTTTGGCGTGAAAGTGAGACAGACAGAGTTACTTTCGCATTTATAATATTAAGTATGGATTATTTTGACACACGCGCATCGACCGACCACAATCTAACCGTCTGCATAATTGTCCCGGAACAGTCAAAGTGATCGGTGACTGTAGTTTACGATTATGATTTTATTAAAATTTTAATTATTGTTTTAAAAAAATCTCGAGTTTCACATAACTTTTTCGTCAATGACCTACAAGGCTAATGTTTGGCTTGGAAAGTTAAAGTTGATATAAATAAGAAGAGATAAAAAATAATACAAACCTTTATATTCCCTTTATGAAATATGAATACAACTACCAAGTCCATAGAACTTTCCGAAATTTCAGAGATCAGCTGTTCCGTTTGTAAATTCAAGCACGGAACCACTTTTTATCACATCAAAACATGATGAATGTAAGATATATAATAATACTTTTAATATATAAGCAGCTGCTTTATGTGGGAATCGAACCCACGACCCCGGCTGCATAAGCCAATACCTTGGCAACTGCGTTACGGAGTCATTGCGATCACAATTTAAGTTTTTTTTTTATATATCCGATATCTCACTTAAGCTTCGATATACTGTGTTAGAGTTAAACAGTATTAATGAACAGCAGTCTCTTAACTGAACGCTGTAATCGTCAATGCATTATGATGGATCGTAGTGCGAGAGCCGTAGATCCAGTGGCGGGCGGCAGGTGGTGGTGCGGGCCGGAGGGTTTCGGCGTGGCGACCTCTGCCACCGACCCATTAGCGCTTCCTGCCCGCGGCCGCGACGCAATTACAACGGGCCGCGGGGGCCGCTATAAATACCCGCCCGCTGGACAGCGTGGTACACCACCGTGTCCGGTCGCCACTGGTTACATCCGAACCACAGGATCGGACGAGCGGTTTCATACAAATGGAACTTGTGGCCCTGTTTCGGCGACCGGACACCACCGTGTCCGGTCGCCACTGGTTACATCCGAACCACAGGATCGGACGAGCGGTTTCATACAAATGGAACTTGTGGCCCTGTTTCTAAAGCTATGAATCAACATAGGCGTATTGTCTCCAGGTAAAGTTCAACCACAACAACGTCAAATAAGAAGATTCTACTTATTTCACACATCCGTTTTTTTTGGTTGGTTTAACCAATTTTAAGTGGACATGTTAGGTTTACCACAGATAGTTTAGATACCTCAAAGGGAAAGAATACCAATTGAGCAAATTTTGTTCAGAGAAAATTTTAATTGCAACATTAAGAACTGCGATATTCATAAGCCTATATTTGTATTAGAACGTAGCGGCAGAGTATGCATTGCACTCTTTTAGGGCCCCAGAGTGCTGGACTTAATATAAACAGTCGTCACGGTCACTATCAAATTTAACGGAGATTCAATGCAGTACAGAGAAGGCACCGAAGTGGGCCGGGCCCGTGGTCCGCTTCTGCTTTGGGCCACCTTCGCCAAACTGTCACAACAACTCAATAGCGCCGGCCCAAATCCGTAACACAAACAAATCGTTTCACTTTGTTTCAGTACGTATTATGACAAATATATAAAAATGGACTGCTGTTCGTTAGTCTCGCTAAAACTCGAGAACGGCTGGACCGATTTGGCTAATTTTAGGGAAGGTAAACGATGAGAACTTATGGAAAAATTGCATTGCATTCGAAATAGCAATAATTTTACTTTCCCATACAAACTGTACCTGTCAACTATGTCTGTGTAACTTGTCAAACACTATGCGTACTGTTTACGTGCTAAGGTCTAATTTTAACTGGCATTTGACGAAAGAAACTACGTACGTGTTAAGACGGTTTACTTCATACTAATTGGTTCATTACAAACTTCAATCAGTCTATACGTACGTACGTTCCGATTCCTCTAGAAATATATTTATACGGTGGTAGGGCCAAGCAGCCTCGGCTGTTTCACGAACGGGCAGGCCCGTCCGGGTAAGTACCACGACCTCACAGAAGACCAGCGTAAAGTGGAAGTATGACAAATACTTTAGCGTTTCGTCTGGTGAGTGAGGTAGCCGGAGCCCAATTTTCAAAATGTTGTCAACTCATCTGTAACCCTCAGGTGTAGCAGATGTCCATGGGCGGCGGTATTCACTTAACATCAGGTGACCCGTCTGCTCGTTTGGCAACTTTTCGCATAAAAAAATAAAATTAAATAAATAATTATTTATATGGCATGTATAACAAATAAAATATGAAAACCGTGCATACATAGTTCATAAATTGAACGTCCTTGGATGCAGATAGTTTCATCCTACATTGAATCTTTAAAAATAGAATTGGTAATGAGCTATTACGTCATCAGGTGTTGAACCGAATAATGGCCGTCAGCCGTTCCAGCATCATTCTTTCACCGCCCAAAACAAGAAGGCATTCAGGGCATTCGGGCTGACCTCTCGAACGCGCGCCGAATGAGAGGTCAAGGGTGATTGGTTTCCAACTTTTGATTTTATTGACTTATTCCAATGCTGTTGAAATTCAATTTCAGTGACTCATGTCGAAGTGGAACTTTTGAACTAGAGCCTGCTTGTGTTGAAAGTTGGCAAGCGAGCAGGCGGTTCACCCGACGTGTTCGGCTGCGTTGCCAACATTAAAGAAATTGGCTCCAGTGACTGAGGTGACCAGACGAAAAGCGAGAGTATACTTCACGCTGGTTTTCTGCGAGGTTGTGGTCTCTCCCGGAGGAGCCCGCCCATTCGTGGCCTAAACTACTGCGTGTTCGTATCAAACCTATATTAGGCTGTATATTCGTGTTTGTCCAAATGACAAAAAGTGTTTTATAATTTTTGCGATCTACTCGTTTGCTGAGTCGTGATAAGCTCAGAGTCCGGACGCTCGCCTTTAATTCAATATACTCGATCCGACCCGATCCCCGGTGCCGGCACCAAATAAGTTTTTAACTTAAGTGCTGACTTATCACGTGCTCCGCGGTGAAGGAAAACATCGTGAGGAAACCTGCATATTTTCGAAATAATAACAAAAAAAATATTTCGAAGATATGTGCAGTCCGCCAATCCTCAGTGCGGCCGCGTGGTGAACTACGCTCTGATACCCTCTGTATAGAGGAAGCCTTTGCCCAGCAGTGGGACATGTATAGGCTGTTACTTTACTTTTTACTCGTTTGCCACGACTTCGAAACTGTCTACTCCACTCCACTCCTCCGAAAGGATTGTAGTCGCGATAGCGCATGCTAGTCTAATTAATTAGCTAATTTCAAAACAGACGATAGTCATTCCTTTAAGCGTATTACGATAAAGCACCATTTGCAGATATTTATATAACTGATAAGATAACAATAATATATTTAAAGATATTTAACACACATACATAAACCTGTAAGTGTAGTCAGAGGTAGTCTCTTTCCGCAACACGTCTCTTTTGCCTCTTGCACCTTCTTACATGGAATACTTTTTAGGACACCGCCAATGTGGCAAATACACGTTTGCCTACGGCCTGACCACATCGACCATTTATATCTGCCACATGCCCGGTCTATGAGTTGTAAGAGTAGCGAAATTAAACGTAAACAACAACAAAATTGGGCGACACCATTTATCTTATAAGGTAACACCATTTAACGGCAGGGCACTAGCTTTCCATTTACGGAGGCATTGGAGAGCGGTCCCACGCATGACGCATACAGCCCCGACGCGGATTTGTTTACTACGAACATTTATAGAAACTCGTTTATCTCCCAGGTATTCAAGCGGTTCTCCTTCAACGCCCGACGCGTGGCACTTTATACAAAAAAACCCCGGCCAAGTGCGAAACGGACTCGCGCACCAAGGGTTCCGTACCATTATCTATACAAACGGTAAAAACATCATGTATGTTGTATGAGAACCCCACTTAAATATTTTTTATTCTGTTTTTGTTGTTATATCGGCAACAGAAATACATCACCTGTGAAATTTTCAACTGTCTTACTATCACGGTTGACGAGAAACAGCCTGGTGACAAACGGACAGAGAGCACAATGTTTCGTGCAATGATGTTTTAATAAAGATGACGCATGTCCATATTGCGCGGCGTTAAAAAAGTTTTCACCCGCACGGCGACATGCATATACATACGAAATATGAAAACGACTTTTTAATCTAAATCTAATATAAAAGATAAAGATTTGCTTGCAGTAGCATTACGTCTCGACTTAAGTACAAAAAAGCATTTCGAAACCAAAACGACCCCTTCACAAAATGTATTCGTGATTACGCAACAAATACCAAGTGGTTATGTGTATACGGTGAATGCAAGTTCATGATAACGGTTGAAAAACATCGTACGTTCTCCACAATAATTGGATCCCACACACCGCCGCAGTTACATTAGCTGGAAAACAACAGTCGATTGTAACAAAGCACATTGCATCCATGATAATCAAACGACGTCGACGTCAACTTAAGGTTAGCGTGGGCTTTGTGGGCAACGTGGGCAAAGGAGCCCTTCGCAATCACAACAAAAGACGAACAAACAGTTACTTCTTTCCATTAGTATTGTTGGCGGTCAACATTTATGTACACCCTCCCACGCACCCTTGCATCCGATCCTTTTCTTTATGTGAAAAGTTGCCAAGGGAGCAGACTGTTCGCCTGATGTTGAGTGAATACTGCCGCCCATGGACATCTGCTAAACCCGAGGGCTCCAGATATGTTGACAACCTTTTGAAAATTGGGCTCCGGCCACCCCACGGGCGCCGTGACCTTACGAAAGGTCACTCACTATGATTACTCTCAAGAAAAACGACAGAGACAGAGCCGACAGTGTAAATACTGATACTGTAGATGTATCGAGGGTAATAATGGCAAAAGTCATTCATTCAAATTATTAAAAAAATATATATATTCAGGTATTGTGGATCAGTACTTATTACAGTAAAAGTCGTCAGTTTGAAAAAAAAAGAAGTTAAAATAAGTATGCGAAACAGGGGCATTATATCAATCATTAAAAAATTCCACCAATTACTCCGTTTCAAGAACGCAACGGGCCCTCGATAAAACTCATTGCTTCAGCGACTTTCGACAAAAACAGTCTCAATAACACTGAATAAAAACGGGCGACGCAGAAACCGACTTCCTTTTTCCGAGCGGCCGCGATACGGAAGCATAAGGCACAAGTTTACGGCTCGCTGCCGCCGAACGAATTGCCGTTGATGGTATAAAAAAGATAAAATAAATTACATCAAACCTTGACCGTCAACGCCAGCTCGTGGCGTCCTACAAAAGCTATTAAACAAGATACAAGATGCGAACTTTTTTTTTTAACTATTAAAAGATAGAAATAGATTATGGATAAAAGACCCTGAGCTCCGTTTACTGAGACGGTATCGTGAAACAAACTCTTTACTCGCTTCTTAGATTCGAATTTAGATTGTGTGTCAATTTCACCAATCCCCGACACTACTAACTGAATTTATAGGTATAATTGAAGCAAATGTAATAATTTCATTTCAGAGCAAATCTGAATGAAAGGCACGCCAAAGTGACGCCGGAACGGGGCCAAGTTCCCGAAGCGAATACATCCAGCACAACTGACGTAAGCATCCGACGACGCCGTCGCGAGCTTCGCTGATGTGACGCTCAAAAAAATATGTCCGAGCGGACAATATCAAGGTTGGCACCGTTTCACATTTCAATAATAACATTAAATAGGCCAAATAATACGCGAGTTACAATAAGCTGTACCGTGGCCATGGACTCTGTAAAGGGTTCGAAACGTCAGGAATTAAATTCAAAATTAAACGCGATAAAATCCGTAAATTGTTTTTGTTTAACATACAATAAGCTAGTCAAGGAAAACGGTTTTAACCAGGTAGGTAAACGACGGAATTGCTACAGAATGATCACAATAATACATATTCAATTAAAAAATAACACAATTCATTTTTACTACTTAACTACGTCGACTTACTGATCCATCCACTGGGTCAGAAAAGACTATCAATTAACACTCTTCCAATCGGAACCGCCTTCCAAAAAGCCAAAAAAACAGGGTTCATCAGTTCCCTACTTTCATTCCTTTAGTAATCTCAAGAGTACAAACGTCTCTCGTCGACCGCTCTGACAAACTGCGAAAGAAAAATATAAAACAAACTCGCAAGTATCAAACGCGCTAATTATTGGCGAGTTGGAAGCGATCCACGGCGCCGTTGCTCGCCGGACGTCAACACGGCCCACGCTAATTGAAGAAGAACGCCGAAACACGTTCTGTGCGAAATAAAAACATACACACAAAGAATAAAATCCGCGCAAACACAACTACAACAAGAACGACTTCAATCTAAAGGGCGGCGAGCGAAACGCCATCACCACACAACAAGCGGTGACATCAAACGAGTCAAAAACATTAAAACAAGCGACACAAAGACGACAATTGCGAGAAACGAGTCTTTATTGTATGAATTCGTCGGAAGTCGGTTAAATAAGCGACTTTTCAAATAAGTGAGGATATGATTGTGTGAAATACCGCAACCAGTTCGCGTGAATGTACCATGCAACTTTTGATGAATTAACCCAAAAACATAACGTCAGGTACCGCGGTGAGGTCGCGTTGGTTGTGACGTCGCCCACCTAAATGTCACCGACAGGAAAATATTACTCTTGTATCGTTTAATTCAATGCTGTGATTCACGGTCCAATCCCCTGGAAATAATATACAGGCACCGACCCTCAATCGCGCCTCGCCTTAACCGCATTGACGTCACTGACGTTGCGCAGTCACAACGCGATTAAACCCTAGTTGTTGCTTAATGAACGAAGTCAATGCTTCACAAGTTTGGAGAGATGTGAGAAATATATTCCGATCCTATGCCTGTTTGTGCAACAGCAGTAGCGTAGCAAAACAAGTAACAAATATTCTCTTTGGTCAGTCTACGTGAAATGAAAGTGTACAACTTATACGTTCCATGCGATAAGTGGGATAGGCCACCCTCTTAAATGTACAATCCTGCCAATTATGAAGACTTAAAAACGGCGACGGTAAAAACTGTCTGCAATCCTGGTCAACCTGGTCGCTTGCCACCTTGGGGATCGACCGGCAGTCTTGTTTGCCGAAAAGAGCGTCGAACTATACAGAAAGCTGGCGCAAAGACTTGAGGGTCTTTGCATGGTACATAGAGCGGGATGCGAAAACATCAATAGATATAGCTTCCAGAGAGAGCTGGATCCGCTCGCGGCATGCATCGCGTTTTTCTTTCCGCGTTACGTCAGCGGTTGACGAGCGACAGTTCCGCAACCGAAATAAAACGCGGCGGCCAGACGGCGACCGTTATGCTTGCTATCTTTGCGATGTTTCTGCATGCCTTCATAATCCTCCTTCTTTGTTTGAGCTCGGGTAACTTACACCCGACTACGGTTCGGTTATTTTATGGTGTTTATCATTCCAGTCGTTTCATATGAGCACATTCAGTTCGACCGGATGTAAGTATGCGAAATGCGCAAAATACCGTGCTTCATATTACATCCAAAATAAAAGAATGCCGAAGAGTTACGTTTTAGTTCTAGTTAAATTCAAGTTCTGGATAATCGGCACCTGTGGATCAGCTCTCCAGGTGCACGCCATTATCCTTATTCTTTATCTCGTAACACTTGCCGTCTCTTTAAAAAATCAGATTAGCATATTCCCCAATGCAATCAATCATTGGGGTGTAAGATTTATACGTCTTACACCAAATTCTAGTCAAAGTGAGTGCATCGCGTGATGCGGCACAGATGCAGGTCTGGCTGCATTGTGCGAGTTCCGGGAGGAGGTCGGCGACCGGAGCCCGCAGCGCCGGCACGTCTACGGGCCCTGCGCAGAATTCCAGGCCGGACAACTGGTTTCGAGTAACGGACACCACCAGCACCCGCGGAAAACAGTTCCAATAGGGCCTACCGCCCTCGCGCTACTTTTTCAGTGAGAAAAATGCTGCATAAAGTATTGACCTTAGGATTAATCAAATAGCCTTAGCATTGTTATGTTTTCCAAAACTATTTGACAACTTCTTAAAAATCTTAATAAGTGGATCGAGTTACATTTCAGTGATATGTTAAAATGGGATTGCTAAATTTACCTCTTTTTTAATTAATAACCCAAAACAAAGATGAAGTAGATAGTTGACAATATTAAACCACTTCATTCTGACTGAAATAAAAGTTTTTTTTATAGATTTCCGTTATGTTACAAATGTTTTTACTCTACAGATTTTATAAAAGTAAAATTAACATTCCATGGGGTATTCAACTTGTAAAAATCTAACCTCGATATGATACAATGACGTGGTTATGAACTTATTAAGAAACCAAGATGATATGACCTGTTATTGTAGTCACTTTCGAAAATAGTTCAACCAAATATGACGTACAGCATAAAGCATGAGTTCTGTTAATAGTAGACAGATAAATAATTATTGCATCGGAAGACGCATATATATACACTCAAATGGGGGTATTTGCATAAGCGTTCGACTTCATTGGCTGCGGCTGGAATTAATTATATGTTCGCGCGGGCCAGTCTCGATAGCGTCCGACGCGAATGTTGTTCAAGTCAACTAAATGAGCGTGTTATCGGCGGCATGCAAGTTATCTTGGCCGTCGATACGGGTGCGAGCGCAGTGAATGCGCGATGTCGCACAGGGTACACATCTAGGACCGCTATAACTAATGTATATGCTGATTGATTGTGTAACGATTTTTGCATTTACTGTAATGTTTTTACGGTAACGTTTATTTGGATATTTAGCACATTTGTGACAAGAATACACGACATCCGTGTACACAATTTAGGATTAATTTCTATTATACATATATATAATTTTTGATGTTATTATGTATAATTTTTGATGTAAAATTTGACGATTCATAAGAACGCGCAATCGTCTATTTGAATAAATATATTTTTGATTTAATTTATTTGCTATAAATTTTGTCCAATCACGGTATGGTAATAATGGAAACGTACGGTTTTTTTTTGATTGACAAGCATGTAATTTCAAAATGTTTAATTAAAGTCACAGTCAAAGTGTTATAACAAGTTGCCTCAAGGTTAAAGTTTGCTAAATAAGTAAAAGATCAACCATTACGTAAGTCAAAGTAAGTTTATATTTATTTGTATTGACAATGGATTATCAGGTTACTTACAATTTCAAGTAGTTACGTGAATTATTATTACTTAACACAAGGTTTTTAGGACCTATTAATTATTTATAAGGAAAACTGCCGATATCTTAAAAAAACCATTAACCAGAAGCGATTTATTAAATTTCAAAGCGACGGGTGCTTTAAGTTGACTAAAAAGGATTCACAAAAAGAAGAACGATTGTGAAATTAGGCAATGACTTCAAACCTCATTCCTTTTTCTGCAGCCCTGGTCCCAAAGCAGGTAGGGTCAACGCAACATCTCCTTCACTTCCTCTTTTCTTTACCAACCCTCATTTAAATACTCACCTCTTGCACAGACATTTCATTCTTCACACGGTCCATCAAAATCTTTCTCGGTCTTTTCCCAGTCTAACACCCTCCAACCACATACTCAATCAACTGCATTCATTTGAATAAATAACCTTCGTAATGCCATGTAATGTCTTCGTAATGTCATATAACATATTAATATGTAAGCAATTATTTAAATATGTTTGACAAAGCATAACTTACAGCTGTAACTCTGCTTTACAAAGTGTTTTCTAAGACCAGTTTCCACATGTGCGTCTACCGATATGCCTGTCACTTAATCGGCATTGACAGAAAGAACGAAACCACGTTGAATGAAACGCGATTCGACGGTAGCTAGCGCCTAACAAATGAATTGTCATCGACGTCCGTGTAGTAGGCCATATCATTGGCGACACCGTCGGCCTTGTGCGGCTTGTTTTTGAGCGTTGTAAACACCTCAAACGCGTACGGGCCATTCATGAGAGCCCACCCGGTAGACGCGCGTAAGTTTGTACGGGCTCGTTCACTACCGTGACGTCTGCGTGTGCTCTCCCCAATGGCCCGCGGTGCGAGCAATCGCGTCACGTCACGCAACCGGCGCCCGACGCGACGCCCGCACCTCGGCCATCAATGGACAACACGCCGGTGCCGATACGAGTGCACTTATCGACAATTTCGGAGGCGTGCGTTTATCGACGGTGAAACGGAAAGTTTCGTCGATAACGCGGCTCGTACCTAGTGATTGGAAGAAAATGACGCTTCACTTGGCGGCGGCGCCGGCGAGAACCTGAGGCGATACATTTAACGGCGACCGAGCGCATAGCGCAAGCGATTCGCGTCGGTGGCGAGCGAAGAAAATGATAAGACGGCGAACACGGATACGACATGCACACAGGGGGACCTGTGCGCGTTCGTACGACGGACGCACACAGGCGCGCGACGAAAATAGCTACACCGATAGCGCAAACACACCAACACACGCCTACACGCTGTACGTGAACTGTAATAAAAACAACATATGCATAAAGATTGCGCTATGAATAAGATACAAATTGAAATGGAATCGTACAAGTTGTTTATACATCGGGCAACCGGGGCGGGCCTACGCCGCCACCAGGGTACGTCGAGAACGTGAAAGAGAAAGGCGACGTGTTTATGTATCACATGCAAAAACTGGGTCCCGGCCGCGCGGCGGCATTTTCGAGATCCGTGCGCGGCGAGGGTCGAGCCTCCGGATACCGGTTCCGTCTGGCACCGATAAACGACCCCGCGAGGGGATCCAGAATCCGTGGTAGCAGGACGGGCTCACCTAGATTCATGACGTACATGGCCTGGGAGCGCTCGAGCCGCTGCGCGTGCTCCACGGCCTGGTACACTCCGGAATCCACCTTAGGCACTGAAACGGACCCAATCACAAAATGGAAACACTGCGCGGAACGCAAACATCTTATGTGGACACTGGCACTGGCGACGAGCGCCGCGGCGAAGCACTGACACTTAACCGATACGCGCGACACGACTATCTCGGCTCGCGGTCGGCCACTGACTGGTGCGCCGCGTGCGCATCAACTTCACGCGCGAACCGCCCACCGAAAAGCGCTTCCAGCGGCCTCAAGCCGCGGCAATTTCCCACTCACGCCTCTTGGCACCCGCCGCGCGATTTTCCGAGAAGCGAACCTCATCACACGAGAGAACGCTGCGGAGATACGTTGGTGGCTAGCGCGATGCCGAGGCAGAAGGAAGTCCACGTACCCGCGTAATTGACTTTGTTATTGTAACAACAGTACAAACGAGAGGAAAAGGTCGAGCCTTTGACGCTTGACCTGGCTGAGTAAACAACGGAAAACGATATATATTCATAGAAACAATAAGAGGACAAACAATAAGAAATAAACAATTACAATACTTTCCTCAATATCAAAAGGACTACTTGATAAAAATCATATACCTACAACAATTATGTTATATACACAGCTATTGAAAATGATGCTTAATAGTTTTGTGACGTCATTTTACCATTTGAGCACATCAGATATTAGCAATTTAAGGCTTTAAGTTAATTTCAATTGTAAACTTTTAAAACCTCAAATGCACACGTGTTAACAAAATTTGTGCATCAGCATACAAAACAATGAGAATAGGGTTCGATATTCTATATTGAAACATTATTGGCTCAAAACCTCCTGGAGACTTAAAATGCTTCGTGGTTACGTGACGATCCTCATGGAGACGTGAGCGTCGAAGAAATAACAATGGTGTTGCAAAAGGCACCGACAGGAAATCGCACCGCGACGTCATACCGAGAACCAGTTATTGAATTAACACAATTAATTAATTTAAAAACATTCAAACCTGCTCGGCTATCAACATGAACAGTATAACATTAAATAAAGAAACTCTTGTAATTATGAGGACAATTTGTCATTTAACAGAGCTTATCAAAGCCATTTAGAAAAGCCAAAAGTAACCAATTTATTGGTACGCTGTTATTGGAGTACCGCAGCCTACCAAAATAAACTGGCGTCCACCATAATGAAAAAGGTTCTTTCTTTTTACTTCAACTCATAACTCATAGGAATTTCTTAGAGATACCAAGAAAGACAGAATTGTGTAATGGAAACTATAACTCGGTTACCGTTATAAATTCTCGTGTAGTTCTCATAAAATTAAGATAAAGTGGGGGAGGTGGATAACGGAATGTAAAATTTTAAAATTTTCTGTTCGTTTTAATATAATATACAATAGGCAATACATTATTCAAGCCACAATTTTATAGGGTACTCTGAAATAACCTATACTATTTGCACGTTGCGTAATAAGGGATCTAACATCACAGATAATGAACCCATCATCGTAGACAAGACTTAAACGTGATAGTGATTTTTGTGGTACGAAATTCTCAAAATGAAAATTTTATGATGCATCCGAATCGCCAAATGACCAAGCCACCTCTGCCTCCCAAATATAATCTCGCATACGATACATGCGGAGATTCGTGCATCATTTAAATCGAGTGCATGGATATTTCATTGGCATCATAAAACGAACACCGTATCGTCTTTACAATAAACTCCACAGTTATCGCGCCTCCGTAATGAGCTTCGCGCCGATGTTATATTTAGAACGTGACCTTGCCTTTTAAACGCAAATTAATTCAAGGCGACGACGCGGAGGCCGGCCGCTGGCAAAGGGCCGCCAGCGAGAGCTCCATTAGGCTCCCTTTGTCTCGGCAATTCACTACCTAGCGCGAGTATCTAAGCCTGTGAAGCGTAGGCGGGCAGTGCGCCAAGTGCAACAACTTGATGGCCGTTCATTATTTGTCCGGGTAAGGACCTACCACTAAAATATTCTACTTTCAATCTTTATATTATCAAGGGGAGAAATAAATAAAATTTTGATAAATACCTTATTGTTCTTCCATATACTATAATTCTTTATACTGTACTGGAAAAATGTGATTCTTTATTTTTCTCAGAAACTGTTGGCAACCCTAAAAGTATTATGAGCGGGGCCGGCCCCGCTCATAAGACGAAAGTCACTTTCTTTAAAGTTTGTCAGCGCGTCTGCAAGCTATCGGGTGTTTAGACATTCATGGGATGTATTCAGTTAAGATATGTAACCGAACTCAACAGCTAGAGCTACGTTACTACGTTGCACACCCAATATCGCTCTGGTAATAATCTAATTGAATATGGCATATTCCACACAACACAACAGTAATTAAAGAGGCATAAAGTTGCGTTCGAAAACGATGTGTTCACTATTATTATTCATAAGCAGTATACAGTATATATCCTGTGTACAAAGCATATGGTCAACTGGTTTGAATCCATATTTTAACGTAACGGCAGTTAAGCTGTCTTGTCTGTTGGCAACCCAACGTGTTTTTAGATCACCCCTCTCCATCTTAGTGAACAAACCTATTTATGGTTTGACCATAATTTCAAAAACTACTATTCTTAAAGTATGATCTAGGTTTAAATTTGTACTAAATGGCTTTGTTAATGTAATAAGTCATACATTATTGTGTTCTCACTGTTAAAAGATTCACCAAATAAACTTTTAGGTCGTTTTTAACAGAGTCGTTAACAAGACTACACGCGAGCAAACCTGTTACAGCAAAAACTTAAAAATCAAAAACAAATAGTTGTGCAATCGAAATTAATGAATGAAATTCTCTAATTATGTAGCGGCTACAACAGGCGGCGCGTCTTATATAAGACCTTTGAGGTCAGACCGCGCCCGACTCAAGAGGCGTCAGAAAACCAGTTGCTAAATCTTTCCTGCGACGTCAGGCGTCGGTCATGATAAAAAAATAACGGGTTGGCGTCGACTTCCAAGAAGCAACTGTACAGTTAATAATTACATGTAATCTGCGTCAGGTTGTATTACCTACAAAAAGTCTTCTTAACTTTTTCTTAACTCAGTTTGACATTCGCCCCCCCCCCCCCCCTCCACCCCGTAATTTTTGGTTGGAACACACAGCAGCTCCGGTTATACATATGTATATACCCGACCGGCGTGAAGTGGTGGTATGTGGGTGCTAATGGTGTTGCAAATGTCCATGGGCGGCGGTCAAAAAATAGATTGAACTCCAATTTATTAATCGTCCTAACGTTTTTTATGAGTTCTTTTGTAATAAGTAAAGCTTCTAAAGGTCACGGACAAACAGTGAATTTAAGTAACATCATAAGTTCTCAACAAAACAACGCAAACCTATTCTAATACTAAGGGGGCCAGGAGAGTTTTTTCTGGGAACTCTGCCAAAACCTTCATCCACGGCCAACTCCTCAGTTACGGCTAACTTTCTATAACTAAACATAATTTTACATAAATAACTCACCCCCCTTCACCGTGTACACACAGAAACACAAGTTTTTGCAAGTAATTACTCAAGAATTTCCAAAAAAAAAAAAAAACAAACAATTACACTCAAGTGAATTATTGTGTCGGTACATTAAGAAATAATTTTAAAGTACAATCGTAAGCAACAACCCGTAGGTCTGCACATTACGCGCCTTCAGACTCAAATGCCCAAACACTAATCTTTATCTTCTAATACCTATTTAAAATTCTCGTGTCACGGTGTTTGTAATTAAACTCCTCCGAAACGGCTCGACTGATTTTCGAGAAATTTTGTGTGTACATCGATTAGGTCTGCGAATCGGACAACATCTATTTCTAATCCCCCTAAATGTTAAGGGTGGTCCACCCCTAAATTTGATTTTATTTTTTTAGACTATTTTTTTATGATACGGCATACAAAAATACATATAACCTTAAATTTTCACCCCTTTACGATCAACCCCTATTTTTATTTTTTAATTATAAACTAATTTTTTTGGCAAGAATTTTTTTTATTTTGTTACGACTTAGAATAAAAAATTTCATATTTTTATTTTCACCCTTATACGTTCTACCCCTTTTTTTATTCTATCCACAGATCCGCCATAGGGTTGGAAGATGACAATCGAAAATAATAATTATAGGACGATAAATTCTTATTCAGAGTTTATAATTTCAATTTACTTTAATTATGACTTTTTTTTTTCAATTCAATTTGATCTCCCGCCCTCCCCGGTCCATAACTGATCAACTATCAATCGATCAGTTATACTCGCCAGGTGTCTACCGTTGTCACCATTCATACAGCAAACATCGGAGTATGGCTTAGGACGAAGCCGGTCTCCTTTCTTTACTCACTATACATTTTTCAGACATCTTTTTTTGTTTTATTTGTGTATCAATCGTAGCAGTGGCTGTTATAAGTATTATTTAAATTTTTCTGTGCAACTCTCATGTTAATTTTACTCTCATCGTAAATTTATCATTAATTTCCAGTGCAATAATTATTTATTCGCAATTTAATAATAACTGATAAAGACAGTTTTAACTCTAAGTTAATTAAGTGATCTCATGTAAAAGATAAACTCGTGTTGTAAGCGTTAATGGCTCTCGCCAACAACCGCCATTACCGTACTTAACATCTTTTGGAAATAATTTTAAATCAATTAAAATGTGTAGAAAACGAAACGTGTACGTGTTTCACTACATAGTATAAAACAAAGTCGTCCCGCTGTCTACCTGTCCCTATATATGCTTAGATCGATTTTAATGACTTTTTTTGTGTCTTCAAGTGGATTCGAGAACGATTTAGATTCACAATTCAGCCCACTACGCTTTATTTTTTTTTAGTTTATAAGTTGTTGTCGGATTTAAGTCGTGCGTACATGACAAAATCAAAGTCAAAGGACAAAATGTTTAAGGACAAAGTCTGTTGGGTCCGCTACGACTCAATAAAATTGAACTTCTACGTTGTACATTGAAAATTAAAAAAAGCGTGTTGTACTTAGGATTCGAACTCTCGACTCGCATTTCCTTAATGAAACCTCCGAGCCACTACACCACCAAGTAGCCTAGCTAAATGTGTGGAATTCCCCTATATACTAATGAGTTCATTATAAGTTGTAATATATGCACTAACATTTTAAAGATTGTTGTACTTATTGACGGAAACAGTACGGTGACACATTTTTACCTATACAAATGATACCTAGGAGAAAATATTTAAACCGTGTTTAAATTAGAAACTAACTTGTTGTCAAAACTACTGTTGTGAAAGCGGGCCGAGTTAACTGTACTCAAAAAACGGGTCTGTGTATCCGGTCAAAACTCAAAATTCTAAATAGGTTTTTTCGAGCGGTCATGAGTCACAGTCAACACCAGTCCAAATCAACGGTACATATGTATTTAGAATAGATCGGAGACGAAAGAGTGATATAAAAATATAGTAACAATAAAATTTTACATAAAACAACGTTAAACAATAGATTAATGCGCATGTATTGCAAAAGTCGCAAATGGCAATAGTATAAATCCATCCTTCATTACTTACGACGTAATAAAGACCATAATGGACCAGTGATTAGAATGTAGGACTTTACACCGCACTCTTCTTGAAGGTTTCCAGGTCGTAACGGTTCGGAAAGAGCGCCGGCGGCGGCTGGACCCCCACAGTGGGGCACAAATCGACAGAAGTGGAAAAGTACAACGCACCGGGCTCCGTTATGGAATAACGAACGGGCAAGAAACGCAGCCCTGACGCTGCGGGCCTCTATTTCCATTGTCCAAGTCATCGGACGCGGAAGCGGCGGCGCCGGCGCTCAGTCGCCGCCCGCCCAGACGGGCTGATCTAATCGCTTATTTATACTACGCGTAACCGTGCGTAAGGCGGCCCCGACACTCGTGCCCCCGACGCTTTTGCGAACGTTTTCATTTTCGCAATACGATCGCGCCACTCATCGACTGTGAAATCGGTGTCGTCTTACGCGCTGTCGAATTAAATTATGCGGGTTGCTTTAAAGTATCTCGGGACCGAAGTTAATTTACCTTTTTATTGATGTGAAACTTTGTCAAGCGAGCAGGCGGTTCGAGTTATGTGAACACTAATAAAACACCCGATGGTTTACTGATGCGTTGACAACATTTAAAATTAGTCCCCAGTTACCTCACTCACCAGACGAAATGCGAAAGCTTCAATACTTCCACTTCTTGTCTTATGTTAGTTTTATTTATATGTTGCTGGATTTTCATCGGGGCGCCATTTGGATGGAATTACCTTCGCGCTCCGTTGTCCAAAACAATATTTAAAGTCGTTATTAAGATAATTTTTTTAATGAAAGGGCTTTATCTCTATGCGATCACATTCAAAATATCACGGCGTCGTAAGTTTTAATTGCTTTTTTTAAGCGGAATACACGGAGATATGTTAATTTCGTAATCTTTAATAATATCATGCGGCAACTTAAAATATTCTGAATACTACTTAAAATATGTTATAATAACAACGCAATTGAAATAAAACCGTAACTGATTATGGGTTTAATGACACCAAAACTATTTATCTCCCGTGCCTATGTGTCTTGTTAAGCTTTGCGACAATTTCGCCACGGAATCAAGCGTGGAATTGCAATTTTCGCGCTGAAGTACGAATAACAGCTACAGATAATTAAGCCTACGGTTGGTGCAGATATGCCGCAAGCCATAAATTTCATCATTTTCAAATCGTAAATAATTGTGGCATGGAGCCACAATTATTCAACACATTAAAATGTCGGTGCCGTTCAGAACATTCTTGTTGTTAAGCTTGCATGCCAAATTATAAAAATTAATTACACTGAGTGCAAGTATACTTTCACAACAATCTCGTGGAAGTAAATTTTTCTTTTCGTGGTGTATGCAAGTGACACTTCTCGACCAATTTGTCATCACAGCATATCGTCTTACGTAACGGACGATAAGCTCGTCACATACTTGACGGTCAAGTGTCTAACGTTGCAATCGTATACATATATGAACTACAAACGTATTGCAATAACATTATTACAACTGTACACTGTGGCATTATCTATAAGTGTAATAAAATATCACATATTTAAAACGCTTTGAAAACTGCCAAGCAAAATGTATTTGTTAAAATATTATCTTTCTTTGTGTTTCTATTAGAAACTATTAATCGTGAAGTTTTATGCCGCATACTGGACAGTGTTAAAAAATTGTTCCGCTTTACACTATATATGACATAGTTATATAAATGAATGTGACAGATGATATAGAACGTGTGATAGGGAAAGGAATAGCAGTCTATAGAGTTACAATCTAATTAAACCAATGCAATTATTCCTTTCCTCTGTTTCGGTGCGCTAGTGTCTATATCTACCTCTTATTCGTACATATATATTGACGCATATTTATCCGCATCTATTTGTTTCATTCATCGGTGAAGAACATAAAGGAGGTGCATACATCTAACTTATCTAACGATTGTTAACCATTTTTTTTAATAACGAAAAACAAAACCGCCTTCAAATATTTCGCTCTGTATTCATTTATAATTGATTTTGAGGAGTTCCCTAAATATCTCCTGAGCCCAAGATCCAATACCAATGAAATTAATATGGGACCAACCACATGGGAACCACCAGCTTTCGAATAAAAAATTAATCATCAAAATCGGTTCACCCAGTCGAAAGTTCTGAGGTAACAAATATAAAAAAATACAGTCGAATTGAAAACCTTCTCTTGAAGTCATAGTCGTTATTAACATAAAAGGCCCAAGGGGCAATGAGAACGCGTCAAGTCAGGACAAGGGCTGTGTGAGAAGTGAGTAAGTCACGTCGGGAGGCGACGGTGGCGCCCGCTTCGAGTCTATCCCGGCGAGACCCGCCTCCACCGTACTTCTGTATTCTCGAGGACTCGAACAGAAGCACAAGGTAATGGGTCATTCACATAGCTCACGGAATATCGAGGTAATACTGCATTGTTTAACTGTGGTAGAACAACGCAACAGTATTTGCCATTGCACGAATATGCAGGTCCATCCATAAAGTATCCTCACCCTACTCTACAACTACCCAAGTGATAGTAAATCGTATCGATCGCCTTAGCGCAGCGGAGTCACCCCCTGTCGTGAGTAATTGGCGGCCGGCGGCTGGGCGGCCGGCGCCCGTCTCGCTTCCCGACGGCCAGCGTTCGTACCGGAATCGGCCGGCGCCATTGTCCCTCGCCTGGGCACGGATTAATTCCGGCCGCGAGTGCACTTGTTTACGACCGGCACTAGGGATGCCGGAATGAAGATATATATCGATATTTAAAAAATATCAATATCGAAATTTTATTGTTTGGGCCCTGGCGTCAAAAAATACGTATGCCAAGTATTAAATATTTCAATGCATGGACTCTGGGCCGGATTCGTATTTAAAAGAATTTCGTTTTTGATACGATTTCGATATTGAATATTTTATATCGAAATATCGGATCAAAATATATCCAAATGTATAAAGAAAAAATCGATATAGCGATATTTTTCGGCATCCCTAACTGACACCACACTTCGCCCGTGTGGCTGTATTCAAAATAACTTCGACGTGTTTATATAACGTGCCTTATATAAAAAATTCCAAATTTCATTGGAATTCATTCAGTCTTTGTGGCCCAAAGTTTAAACAAACAATACAACAGTATTAATTTCTCATTTGTAAAATCGCGAGAACAATAGAATATCATTTCCTATAGCATATTTGTCCATGTGAAAAAAGTTGCTTGAGACGGAGGCTGTTAATTCATAAGTTATTAATTTATATATATCATATAACAAAGTTACGCTGTTATGCCGTTATAATAATCAAATTATAGTACGTCAATTTTATAAATAACATAGCAATGGTTTCTTTTCATTAACAATATTAATAGATATTAGATATCAACGGGCAACGTTAAGGGTTCGCTTATCATCGAAATTTATGTCACGAAACCAGATCTTTACTTCAAATTTAACAAATGATCGTTCTATTTGAGCTTTCCATAATGATGACTTCTCAATTTTGAATTACACTTTTCAACCGGTTATTCATGTATCATTAGAATTTTGAACCAAATACATATGTTGTGTTTGGGAGTCTTCTTATCCTATGACTTGCTTCTGATCAAGTGGCCATTTTCTTAAACATCGCATGCCTCATTATATTTCTCGAATCACATGAATTAATACATATAATAAGAGCTCCCTTTTGATTTTTACGCCACCAAGCCCTGTTTAATAGATACAGTTAGCAACTTGATTCATGTAATGATATTTAAAAGAAAATCTCGGCGCCATCATCGACAAAAAAAATATTTATTTTTAATTGGTGATCAGCAACTATCTATTGATCTACCACATGCAAGGGGCATGTGGTAGATCAATAGATAGTTGCTGAGAGAAAACACCAAGATAAAATCCGTGTATACAATAAACAGCAACAAAAAGTAGGTATTTCTAAATTGATTAGTCCAGATTATGAATGTACTTTACTCCATTATAAGATTCAATTTTCGTACTCGTATACAGCAAGATTTAATTCTAACGTGCCTGGTGAAAGTAATCGTCGTAAATTATTTATTTACGAACAACAGTACAAATATTACTGCGGTAGGGCCACGCGATAATCTTCGTTGTTGCACGAATGGTTAGGTCGGGGTAAGCACCACGACCTCACAAAAGACCGGCGCTAAGTGAAAGTGGTATACTTCTGTGTTTCGTCTGGTGAGTGGGTGACCACACCCGGGGCCCACTACATTAAAAGGTGGCATCAGATGCATCTGCAACCTTACGGGTGTTGCAAATGTCCATGGGCGGAGGTTATCACTTAACATCAGCCGAACTTCCAACTGGCTTACCAACTTTCTAACATAAAAAAATAGTATGAATCGGAGCAACCGTGCTCAGACTTTAACTGTACACATATTACCTCCAAATTAAAATGTTCTTATGAATAGATTAACATGCCTCTGGAAAAAACTTCAAAATTTTCCATAATTGCCTTAAGTACACATTTAATACAAACATTATTCAAGACACAGCGGTGTAGTAACATAGGTTATTGTGTTGTAACACAGACGGATATGCTTTCATACAATCTTTGGCCAAAGTTTTAAAGACTTAAAATTAATAGCTCATATATACCTAACTAATAAATTAAACCTAACCAGTAAAAATTACGAATTTTAACAGTCCGACAGGAACGCTGAGTTATTATGTAGGCTATATAAGACATTTGGTAAATACTTAAGTAAGTACTCCGCTGGCTCAGCGAGCCGAACTGGGTCTTGGCCTCTCTATAGGAGTTGGCGCCAACGCGCCCTGACTTGTGCGATCTCCTGCCAGTTTTGTGCGTTCAGTGCGCGAAGGTCCTTCGCCACTTCATCCTTCCAGCGGTATCTGGGCGGCGCAACCGGCCGTCGGCCTCCAGGTCGTCCATTATAGGCTCTCTTCACCGCCCTTTCTGCCGGCATTCGTTCCACGTGACCGAGCCAGCGGAGTCCCGCGGATTTGATCTCGCCCATAATGATCATAAAACAAATCTTCTATCTCCTAGTTCTTTTATATCCCACAGGTGCCGTCCTGTGGCGCGGGCTCCAAAATCTTATGAAATATTTTTCGTTCTCTTCCCTTAGTATCAGTGTCCAAGTTTCGCAGCGATACATTAGGATGGGTCTTATGGGGGTAAATATGTATATCAAAGCCATAGGTGCTCTATGACTAATATTATAATTTTTTGTTTGGTCAAATCTTAGGTCTTCAAATCATAGTTTTGGCGAACCGATAGGCGTAGTGGGTAGTAAACCTGCCTTTTGCGCCAGAGGGTGTGGGTTCGATTACCACTAATGGGATAATATTGTGTGATGAACATAGTGTTTTTCTAGTGTTTGGGTGCTTATACATGTATAATATCTATTTAATTTCAAAAGAAAAGTATGTTTTAGTATGTTTATCAGTTACCTAGTACCTATAGTACAAGCGTTCGTTCGTATGGGGCTAGAGACCGCTGTGTAAGAATGTGTCCGAAATGGGTAATTAATCAAAATGGTTCTGTTTATATTAAAAAATAAGAATCGTCAGTTAGATAATTTTTAAAAACGCAGCTTCAGTTATACCTTTGTAGGTATCATGTCCAACTAAGGTAATTTAATATTTCTGTTAATGTAATCAATCATATCACATGAATTATTTAATGATCTGGAAACATTCTCAAAACTCAAACGCACTATAATTAACGAAGTGACAGTGATAAGGTCAGCAGCTGTCGCTGTCAGGAGATTAAAAATGTAGCGATGGGAACACGATTACAGCGGAATGGATTTCGTGACGAAAATCGATTTTGAATTTCCTTTCTTTAAGAATTTTATTTCATTCGCATTTTCTAAACCATATTTCGACCTAGACTATAGTAGATTTTGGCCCAAGGATCCACGTATCCTCCGGAGCTGACGGTTCACCTGATGTTAAGTGAAAACCGCCGCCCATGGACATTTGCAACACCCGTATGGTTGCAGATGCGTTGCCACCTTTTAATAAATTGGGCCCCGGCTACCTCAATGACCATACGAAACGCAGAAGTATAACACTTCCACCTATATATAACACAACAATATATTTATTTATTTATTTGCAATAAAAAGGTACATAACGTTCTTAAATCTAATACATAAGTTCACTTGTACTGACTCTCTGATAGGCGTGTAAATCTTAATTCGTTTTATTTCAATTTAGAAACAAGCCTACCACAAAATAGAGCTATGTAATACAGTGGCGAATAAATTTAATTAACTCATATTTGTTAAAGTTAATTACAGCGTTAATTAACATGACATGCGGTATCAACAAAGTTTCGAAATCGCCCTCAATCGGGATAAATCAATTATAATAACAGGTGGATTGTACGCGGCAGTAGATTGTGTTACTTTCCTACAAATACTGCTCATTACAACAAATTTTAACGCCCCATCGACACAGTTGCCATCGCCGACCTCGTGGTCGAAGAGTTGACCTCGTCAAGACAGTGATTTCTGCTGACATTAAGCGAAAAATGGCATTCTGGTGTTCGCCACTGGAGCACCTACAAATCGGAAGCTCAAGGCCCAAGCATTTTTGATGTGAGCGAGCTGGGTGTGGTTCATCTGATGTTAGATGATAACCGCCGCGCATGAACATCTAAAACATCTGACGGGCTGCAGATGCGTTATAAACTTTTAATAAGGTGGGACCCCGCCACCTCACTCACCGGGCGAAACGCAGAGGCGTAATACTTCCACTTATCCACTTAACCACGCCGGTATTCTGTGAGGTCGTGGTGTTCCCCGGACGAACCTGCGCATTCGTGCAACAGCCAGGGCCGGATTTAGGGGAGGGCAAGCGGAGCAACAGTCCCGGGGCCTCCACAACAGAGACTTCGGGAAAAAAATTTCAAATTTAGACTAGTAAACAATAGTAAACAACTTTTCCTATCATATTTTTTTTCACGTTTTACTTTTACCTACAGTACTTTGTACAAACATGATTACATTCAATATTAATAGAAATAGATAGAAAATAATTTGGGGCCAAGGGGGCCTCCACTTCTTTGTTGGCCCGAGGCCTCCAGACGCCTAAATCTGGCCCTGGCAACAGCGAAGACTAGTGCGTGGCCCTGCCACAGCTCAAACAATCGGAATCGAATTCGATAAGCACAAAGCAACATCCCACTAAAAACCGCGGTGCGGGCAGGTGTCGTCCCGCGCTAATCGCCGCTGACTCACGTCCTGGGAAATCCCGACACCGCCGTGCGTCAAACGAGCCCCGAATATACGCGGAGTGACCGCAATACAGCCGCTCTTCCTAGGCATGGGCAAAAATATCAATATACATCGTCGATATTCGATATTTATCGACTATCGGATTCGTGTATATTTCGATATAATTTTAAAGCAACTCTGGTTTCATGTTTAGTGCTAATATCATGCTCTTAGCGTGCTCCTCACGCATCGGTAACTTAAAAAAAGCTCTTTTTAACTGTTTTCTTCATATTATATCGTTATTTTAAGAATTTTTAATAGTTTGAAAATATGTATAAACAATCATCGATATCGCTCGATAATTATTGATACTTTTTAAAATGTCGACATAATATCAATATTTGTTTTTACTTGCCCATACCTAGCTCTTCCGCGAAAATAGCGGCGATTCACTCCCTCAATGTCCCCTAGACGATATACGCCGCCGTCGGCCAGGTACCGCACTACGCACTAAGTGCGCTTTTAGACAAAGCCGAACGAACGTGTCATACATGAGACCGACTTTATCTATAGCACTGCCGTCAAACAATCCGAAGACATTAGAAAGCTTAGTCTAAAACCGTAGGGATTCGTTTCGAGGAGTAGAGATATGAAGCTGTGTCTCTCGTTTTAAAAACCGATGAAATTGTTGATTTGCAGATTTCGTTTTAGTTTGTAGTTTGTTGATTGTCGATTTTGAAAATTTTATGTAAATCTAACACTCATAAGCCCGGTTTCTGAAACACTGATCGTAGAAATTATCTAATCAGGTTAGATCATCATAAGGTCATTCTGAACAATTCAGAAAATTTATCCATCCTTTTGGCAACTTGAATGACATTAATTGACAGGCCATTTGAGAGCTGATTAGTTAACTTCTACGATGATCAGTGTGTCAGAAACCGTGCGTTAGTCTTGTAATTTAGAAAACCGCGGTGCGACAAACACAATCTATATGTTCTATATTATAAAGAGGAAAGATTTAATTGTTTGTATGTATTGAATAGGCTCCGAAACTACTGAACCGATTTGAAAAATTCTTTCACTGTTGGGAAGCTACATCATTCCCGCTCGATATCAGCTATATTATATTTTCAAAGAAATAGGGATCCTTACTAAAACGTCAATAATGTAACCCAAAGTGTACAAAAATTACCTAAAATATTCTTTACATCGCGTGCGCTGCGAAAACTATTGATGATAGAATTAAATAATGTACTACGAATTTGCAGAACACATCATTATTTCCAAAAAATTGTCGCGCGAGCATATGTCTAACTATTATAGTTATGCCACAATAAGTGTTCTTTTATTTTAAAATTTTGATTGAAATGCCGCCGCTAGAAAAGGCTCTTTATTTGTATCTTGGTATAAATCCTTATAAAAATAAATTACTTCATATTAAAGACTGTTTCAATAGCTTTATATTACTTTTCGAAATATTAAATTCGGACATTCCATTCGAAAGATATCACAAGTTTAAAAATGTTAGTATTTATTTTTATTTAAAACCGTGCGAGTCCCACTCGCACTTGGCCGGTTTTTATTCAATACATTGTCGATATGATGGCAAAAAGATATCAGAAAGATTGAATTACATAATTATGATCACGTGATCACGACCACCAGAGACTGAGGGCTGGTGAAACATTCATCTTAGAGACGCCTTAAATCAAGACAAATATAAATATCAAATATCGGTCAACGCGTAATCTGCAACGTCAAATTCATTTACGGGTTCTCCGAGTTATCTACATTAAAAAACCAAAGATGCGATGATTTATGTCCGAAGCTATGGGAGACCAGACTTATTTTTCACTTTTACGTGTAACCCCGAATGTCCCGTAATTAAAGTGGAACCATTATCTGGTCAGCGGTCTTTCGATCTTCATGACGCAATTTCAAGGATATTTCATTAAAAGATGAAGAAATTCATAAAATTATTCACCAAAGACGAAATTCGTAAGGCTTTGTGTGTGTGTATGATAACTTTTTATTAAATACGGCGGCGGGCCGCTAGTAGCAAATATATTCAAAAATACGGTCTGGCAGTCACAGCAAAGTTATCTACACATTTAACATATTTTGCTAATCGCTTGTCGATTATGTGAACTCTAGTTCTAAACACGATGCAATGTGATCTCTAAGATACCGTCGTAATCTGTTAAGGAGAAACCAGCACAGACCAGTGTTTGAAGCGCGATGGAAAATATTTACTCATCCAATTAGCCAAGATTGCAGCGGCTCGGATGGGGGCGGCAGCTTCAAGGCGCGGGAGTGGTGTAATAGCGGGGGAGGTGAACTACGCGCCAATATCGGCGCATGGTTTCGCGGAACGGCCGGACGGTGACTGTAGGTTACCATTATCGCCGCCCGACGATAGTCAGCCTCACGCGACCGATGCACGCTAACCTAACGCGGGTTTCGAACTCGGGACACGTCACTGAGGATGCGTCACGTCCGTGGTTGTCGATAGTGAGGTGTATTATTTTCCCACCACAACCTTTCGGTAATAACAACAAAACAAAAGATTTCGAAAATATGTTAAGTCCACCAATCCGCAGAGGGGACGCGTGGATGGTTATGCCCTGATTCCCCGTGTGTACAAGATTATTTTTCCCAGCAGTGGGACATGTACAGGCTGTGACTATGTGCCTTTTACAAACTTTTCGCCTTAGTTATCTTAGCACGTCTGTGGTGTGTTGACAAATTCGCGGCAGACGAAAATTTATTAAAATATGAACAAAGACATTTTTATTTTTTGACAAACTACATCTAAATCTATACATTTTCACTTGCTGTCTAAGCATTCTTAAAATATTCCAAATCAAGAGAATAAGCCAAATGGCACAATCATTTGAAACCAAAATGCCAAATTTGAGCTATGGATTCAATAAAGATGTGAACGCAATCATTGTGCTGATGTAACACTTTCTTTCTGTGTAATCCTGGGTATTTCTTTTTTTATTTCTTCACTGATGATTATAAATATTGATTTATTGGTTCACCATTATATAATGTTGCCATGTTGACACCAAAAATCCGATGCCCTAAAATTCAAAAAATTCCCTTAGCCTTGGAGTCGGTTCACCATATGTTTACCACTGGTAGAATTGTCATTTTGGATCTGGGATATAATTGTGAACCCATTTTAATCAGTTTTCATCCGTTGCCTTTAATCTGTTAAAAAAATCGGATGAAAATGTAAAGTGAGTCACGAGAAATTTTGAGCCTAATTAGTTCTAAATCTACGAACCGAATCTCTTATCCTTTAAACGAGCAATTCTTGTATATATATATATATAATCGGAATCTCGGAAACGGCTCCAGCGATTTTCATGAAATTTAGTATGTGCGTAGATTCGGGGGCGAAAAATCGATCTAGCCAGGCTTCATTTTTAGAAAATGTCCTTTTATCCCTGTTTTCAGGGAATGCAAAATATAATTCGAATATGACGGTAAATTTCGCCGCAAGAGAAAATTTCATAATAGCTCGGTCGGTAATCGGGCGGCCCCAAAACAGACGGCCGTGGTTCGCGTCACGATCATTTACACAATTTATTTTTTTACTTTTTTTTCGATTCCAGATCATTGCTTTCTTTATTTTGAATTTTTTGTCGATTTGTTATTTTGTTATTTTTTTCCCTTTTTTTTAAAGTTCTTTCTTTAGTGAAAAACATCAGTTCATATTTTCTTATTATTACGTCGGTAAGATCGAAAAATATTATGCATATTTCATTACTCAGTAATTTGTATCTAAATGTAATTTCCAAAATACACGATTTACCAAAAAATAAACAAACCGAGCAAGGCTCGGTCCTCCGGGTACTTAGTTCTAATCTACGAATGAGAACCTTATTAAACACAAGTTCATTGGCTACGCTGTTTTATGTTGGTTCATACGAAATGTTCATACAGCGTTAATCATGTAAGCATTCTCCTGTATAAATTCTAACCATTAAACACGCACCCAGCGTTACCCGGAAGGAGCAGATCTTGGTAGTGGCGAACAATTTACGTATTTTAAGTTTCAACTTAAGTGCGAGACTAGCACTAGAATAAATTTTAAATTCTACTTGATTGTTAATCTCTGGACTGCCAATATGAGATTTCACTTTGCCGATGTCTTCTACGGCGTAGATATGGCAGGATGGTCATAGCTCCAGCCGTCCTGCCATCTTTTGTGCACTTTGAATTCTGCTTACTACTCTATCTACTTTTATCTACTTTTCACAGTGATATATGTTGGAGTAGATTCATTAACGTTGTTTTCAAGTCAGCATTGATCTATTCGAGTGGTGTTTGTAATCAAGTGTTCGATGACCACACGTGGTACAAATTTCTCTATTTTATAAAATCAAAGCAACATGCTCTGACTGAGCTGGCTTTAATTTAAACCGCAAATGATACCGCAACAAAAGCTCACACTGTGATCATAATCCAATTAACATAATGACAGTAGTGAACTAAAAATATTGCATGTGCGTTGTAAACTTTTAAATCCAACTCGTATTATAAAGAAATGGATATTTCGATCGGACTATAAACGATGTAACAATGAATAAACAAATAAATTGGGGTTTCAACCATTAAAAGTTTAATTATAATCTGGTAAAGTTATGTCCACGTTGTCTGTTCGTCTACAAACGTCAGACCATATATGGACACCGTCAAGGCGAGAGCAAATATGTTTTTACCGAGCTAATGCTCTCACTATCAACGAAATGTTTTAATCACAAATACACTTTCCAAAAGCTATGGGAACCCAACATATATTTATTTGAATAACATTGAACCAGTTTAACGCAACATTCCATAAATTGGTTCTCGGCATTTATTCTAATTATATTTAATTTTACTCTGAACAAGAAAGCATAATTATGTTAGGGGTATACGTGGCTTTAAATGATTTCATCATTTGAATGGCGTACATGTTCCTTATATTTACAACGGAATACAAAGTTTAATTGCGCTTGATAAAGCTTATTTTTCTAACGATACGCACGCGGCTTGCCAGCACTAAGCACTTACACTACAAAGGAAAGAAAAAGGTACTATTAACTTTGTCTTAATTTTCCTCTTTCCCTTGTTGAAAAACATTAAATGAACAATGATCGAACAATTCGTTTTCCGTAACGTTTCTTCTAGAATGGTAAACACTATCAGGGACAAGACTACCGTGTAAACTTTACCTTTAGCCGTCACAGTTGATGGGTCTAGCGACATAATGTTTTCCTCGGGATCACTTAGTTACTGCACAAACACCAAAATTGGTCTATTTGACTAAGTCAGGGGCGCCTGACTGGATATCATCAGGGACGCGATATAAAGTATGATAGGTCATTCGCACCAGTGATGGAGATTTGCGAAAGCTATGTTCATCTCGTCGAGGATCGCGCACCAACTGATTGGTGGATCGGAACAAGTCGCAGAAGGGTCACATGACGGACGGTAAGCGGGGCGTCCGCACTCCGCGACTGACGGGCCCCGACTGAGCCCCGAACGCCGGTGTTGCGGCCAAGAATCCGGTGGGGGAAGGAAACACAGCCTCCGCGGCAATTACAATTATGTAAGCGAGGGTTGTAGACATTTTTACGCGAACACGGTCAGAAAACACGATGCGGACATGGGTATACCGGAGGCCCTTGAGAAGAAGCAAACCCTCAGGACCTCAGGAGCTAGAGCGATGGTACTACCGGCTTCGCTTGGGCCTATTCTCTCACTCGTCCTCCATGATTTCTGCAATGAGTTGGGCATTGAGCAAGTGATGTTGAGTTGAGCAGGTGATGACTTCAATTTAAGCACTAAGCAGTTAGGCGTCATGATATAATATTTTAAGTCCTGTCTCCTCGGACCTGCTATTCGGATAGATATTATACAGGAAAAAACGCGTTATTCATCCATACTAATATTATAAATGCGAAAGTAACTCTGTCTGTCTATCTCGCTTTCACGCCAAAACTACAGAACCGATTTAAATGAAATTTGTTACACAAATAGTCTAGAGCCTGAGAAAGGAGATAGGCCATTTCTTAATTGGAAAAAAGTGTTGTAAAGAGTTGAAAGGTGAAAGGAAGATGTTTATTTAACTACATTTTATACTGTAAAAATATTTTGTATCTGGATTGAGGACACATATAGGTATAACATAATCAAATATTACTAAAATCGGAAACATCAACTTTTTTTACCTGTCCGCTTCGCGTGGAATGCCCCCTATGTAAAGTTGACAATTACAGTAAATAATATGGTTCTTATAGTTTAAACCATATGGTTAGTTAGTTAGTTTCAAGTTTATGTAGGTTAGGAGGTTTAGCCATAATGGATGAGCGCACTGAGAGGGGGAGGCACTGCATGTTGGCACGGGTGTCAGCAGCCCGCACTCACCCCCGCCCCTCGCTGACAGGGTGTGAGGGCGGGAGCACCACCCTATAAACTATCGACAACACAAACAATATAAAACATCGATGAGGCCAGCATGCTTGTTGATAAGCGAGAGGATTTTCCAGAGCTTCGCACAAAATGCTTTTTCGATTAAACCTCAAATCGAACTATTGTTTTTTTTAAGGAGCGAGTAACGAAGGGGCAATAGGCCCCTGCTTATGGTGTGATGTGACCATCAGTAAGAGCGGCTGTGGCGAGTTATGCCATATGCGATAAAGACACGAATATCGACACATCATCTGTTCAGCTATGTTAGACGATCGTACAGTAGTTCACCGCACCACCCCCAGCCACTTGCGACCCCTCCGCGATCCAGCGAGAAACGTGACCTGTGTTCAAGTGTCGTAAATGAGTCGGCATTGAAACGCCGCGAATTGCGTTAGCCGAATTGTGTTGCCCAATTCTTTCTTCGTTGAAACCTTTCATTTGTTTGGCAACATTCAAAAGTTTACAAATGGATTGGCACTCCAGTCATTAAATATATGGAAAGCAACTTGCACGAAAGTCGCCTTATAAACGAGATTAGAGGCAAACAACGCATACCCTTAAACAGCAAATCTTACTCTTAACTTCAGCTGCTATGGGAGTCGGATATACTACTACTGAATACTACTTTAGTATACTTATCCTACTAATATTGACATGTGATGAGTGAGGCTATGATGACCGTGGCAGCCCGCTTTAAAGGGTTGGCAACGCAGATAAATCCGCAACACGCAACAAGTGAGTTGCGGATTTATCGCGATTATATTAAACTTAAATTCCCAAAGTTCAGTTTGGAATAATAATTTTGTGTCCGATTAAAAATAAAAAGCTCAATGAATTCTATTGTGCTTTCGTGGTGGTATGTTTGGGCTAGGTTTTATTTTATTTTTAAATAGATAATCTCAACCTGACCCTCTTCTCTATTGAAATTTCGATGGATTTTAATTTCAAGAGACAATTTCAATCGCAAGTGTCATCAAATGGTATTTAATCGGTCTGGCCATCTAAAGTGTGCTGACGGACGCAAAATTACTATAACTTTTATGGTTTATGTAAGCTATATGTTCTTTCGGGCGATCTTTTATTGCCCCCTTTTGTTTCACAGACAGGTTTCACTGCGTCAATGATTGTCCCACAAACATCATTCCCATACTTATGGGTAAAGTCAGGTATCCGACAATATATCGAATCAATAGGCAGACAGAATAAAAAAGGCTTGTTTGGAGTAGATTTTAAGGGATATGCTTTAGCGTCCTAAGTCGCATGTCTATTTTGGTTAGGATTTGCAAAGAGTCTCTAAAACCCGGATTAATGATAACCTACATAACTGTTATGAAAAACTAAAGTTATGTTTAATAATTAATGTGTTTCTCCGATATAACTAAGGGAAAAGGTGTGGAAATAAGTGTAACTCCGAAGGGAATAAGAAGCGCCAAAAGAATATCAATCATTTATCAAGAAAATAACTTTATTAATTTAAAACGAACCTATGTCCAAACGACAAGAGGCAGCGATATTCTTCAATAATACTTATATTCTTCAATAAAGACATTCTTTTATTATATTTGTGCTTTAAAATCACAGAAAGGTACGTATTTGCCCAAATAAAAACTTGATATGTATAAACATAATGTGATATCTGATCTCAAAGAGCTTCATAAACTTTAAAATCTTCAAAACTTCATAAACTTTAAAATCTGCGTTATTAATAACATCGTTAATTAAGCAATAAGCGAAGGAAGTATAAAAGTAAAAGAAAAACATTTGATTGCCGCCATAGCTGTTATTTTTTTGCTTACACGCTTTACAATTGAACATTGGACCGCGCGGATGGCAAGGTCAAGGGGTGTCGTGGAAATAGCCGCGCATACAGACAAAGCGCCGTAAAGCCATGATAGCTCAATGCCCGGGCACTCGCTTTTAATCCATTACACTCGAACGAACCGAGTTCAGATCCCGGTGCCATACCAATGAAATTATTAATTTTAAGTGCTGACTTATGACATGCTCAGCGGTGAACGGAAACATACTGAGGAATCTTGTATATTGTTCTTTGTATATATTTCCAAAAAAATACGAAGACATGTGAAGTCTTCCAACACACGTGGTTTCGCGTGGTGGATTATGATCTAATGCTCTCTGTACAGAGAAGGCCTTTGCCAAGCAGTGGCATGTGTATAGGCAGATACTTTACTTTTTATATGCAAAGGGCGCTTATTATGGCAAGTTATTCGTAAATATATCTCGTGGCCACTAAATAATACTAATCGTCAATGGACATGAGAAATAATCATTAATATTATAAATCGCTAATTTATAATATTAATGTTACCAAAGAGTTCTTGGAATATATCTAATATCTTATTCTTCCTAAATTTAGGAAGACAAAAAAAATACCATAGAACATTTTTAAGAATTGGTGAATTTTAGTGGGTTTTGAATTTCTTTAGGAGAATATTTTTTGGACAGTTGGTAACACTGACATAACTTACTTCATTACCGCACAGTTCACATAATATAACGCCAATCAACTCCATAATAAGAATCGGAAGATCGAGTGCATCTATCATATATCGAGAGCCCGAGAGCGCCCAGCGACGCTTCCAAGAAGAGGGGGGGGGGGGGTTTCCACCACGTCCCCCGCCACCCAGAGCCACCCCCTCGTTTGCCGCCCCAGCCGAAGGGGCTGGTGCCTTGCGTGGGCGTGTGTTGACAAACCGTGTTCCCGGGTCTATTTCTGGCGCTCGGTGCCCCGCCCACGCCCCCCCCTACCCCCTTAAAAGCAACCTTGACCTTCACCGTATCCAAACGTCCGCAGTCACAACAAGCGTGGCTCACTAAGAGCTACCGTCACGTCTGTCTACCGTGGACTTTTCAGTGCTCATAAGGATAGAACCTAGGACCAGACGTGCCACTATGTTGGCTGCCGAATTATTCGCGAAGGTTTCACCTGCCCGCAATTATTCGAGCAGTATCGATAGTACATTCATTTCATATGAACAAAACCCATCGACTCAATTTTGGTGTCTGAGAACACGCAGTCATTATAGAGATCTCCCGCTAAATGTCACGTGTTTGTGTTTACAAATTTATTTAACCGATGCTTGCTTACGCAAACCGCGGAATTGAAAATTTTCTCCTCACATAGTATAACTTATAAAACTTTGAGTACCTCATCTGCAGTTAGTGACGTATACACGATTTACATTGCATTTACAACTCCTAACAAGCGATATAGTCTCAATCAGATATTATTTTATGTATGCATTTTAATATACAGATTACATATACAGATTTTTTTTAATATACAGATGACATATATGGCTATAAGGAAGAAAATTACCCGATTTGGCGTGGGTCCAAAGTGTTTTAACTTACTTTTGGTGTCAAAAGGACGTACTTCTCACAAGTTCAAATATTTGCTACAAAAACTGACACCGGAATCGCATTTTCAAAATTTTATAGGTTTCATAAACAATTTTTATTTAGGTGTTTATTTGCCGATACGCCATGTATTCGTCACAGAATCTCCCGTTCAAATCAGCAATGCTATTTCTGAAAAACAACCAGACAAACAATCAGATAGAGAGACAGACAAATTTTTTTTATAAATATGTTTATTTTTTGTATAAATACCTATATCGTTTTTGGGTATTAATTATAAAGCTTTTATATTTACCTATATCGTTTTTGTGTATTAGCTAATAAACTTTTAATAGTTACGTTAAAAAAAAACTTATTTTTTATTTACTCGTAGAGATTAATAATCAATTGTTATAAGTTAATTAAATAGTTGAAGATCATAGAAAAAACTTTTATCTATTTAAAACCAATCGGTATAGAACATTCCGAGATTTGCGATTGGGCACAAACGAACATTACATTTATGTCTTTTATAGATTAACATAACAACCAAGTACTTATTCTCGATCAACAGATTGTTTTGGTCGTAAGGCTCTCGCCATAACAAAATAATGAACTAAATACTGCTAATTTTTACAGACAATTATGTACATTAATTACTTAACAATACACTTATCATCGACCGCATTCGACGTGCTCCAACACCAATCGATTCCAATCGAACCTACAAAATGGCCCGCAGTGGCGGTTGCCAACCCTAACCAATTAGATATTTGTGTAGCCGTTAAACTTGCATAATGTATTTGCAAAGTTATAATATTTACATTCCCTAAATTGTGACCCAGTAAATTTAAGACAACTTAATTATACCCGTGTGAAGCCCAGACAAGCTAATGTTGTTACCTATATTAAAACTTTAATTCGTTGTTGACATAATGTATTTAATGATTATTATACTTTTTTATATTTTGTTGCCATGTATTTAATGTCGATTCTGTAATAAAAAAAATTAATAACGAAATTAACTGTCCATTAAGAGCATACTAATTGAAGAATGTTACGTATTTTACAAAGATAGTATTGTTTTAGTTAAGTCGTACACTTAGTCGACGTTTCCTTTGACGAATGGTTAGACTCGTCCGGTGGAGAACTGCCGCATATGAGATCGGCGTAAAGTAATAATGTATCCAATAAAAAAGGTTGCCAACGTATATGCAAGCCTGCAGGTGTTCTGATGTCCATAATCACAGTCACCTTCTCACTTGAATAAATAAAAACATAAATGTAGCGACATAACGCCAATACTTCAAGGCTATAATGAATAGTCCTACGCAATGCGGAGGGCCATATCAAGATCTTGGGCTCCGGCCATCTCTCAAGTTTTTGCGTTCGATAAAGCTTCAATAGTCTACGGACTGAAATCTGGTTGAAGTAGTCAAGTACGTACTAACACAGTAGGGTTCTATGAGTGCACACCCCGAGGTGGTTGGTACCGCGGCACGTGCACGGGCGGCAAGGTCGGGCGGACGACGACTCATGGGGCCCACGCGGGCTGGGGTTGGTGGTTGGGTCGGGTGGCTAGATGGGGCGAGGGAGCCGAGGGCGGAGCGCCCGGGCTGCCGCTATTTATACGGAAATCAATAGCGGCCCGGCCGTGGCCTTGGGCGCATCGATCGGGCCGCGGGGCCGAGCCCCCGACGCGCCCTCGCACCGTCGCCCGTGCGCCATCAAATCAAAACAACTGGGAGCCCTCATATCGCATAAGGAAGATGTGAGACCTGAAGGACGCCAGCAGGTTGAAATGTTATTCCGCCGGCCGTTTATTATCCAACTCGCCAAATGTCGAGTTTACAATACTCGTTTTAAAAAGTAAACTTGAGATTCAACACGTCGATAGTGGTCGTACAACTCTTGTTTTTGATTTATTTCGTTAAAGAATATCATTTATTATGAACAGCCATTGCACTCGGAAAGATGACCTGCTATAATTAGATTCAGTATCGGAGACTACTGCGACAAGGCAGATACAAAATTAATATATTGCATAAATAAATACTAAAAACGTTACCGATTTCTTTATGACGATGTATAAGAAATATTAAGTTCGAGCCATTCCGGCTTACCTGTCCACGTGTGACTAAGTGACGGCAAAGCAACGAACCGACCCTGAATTGCGGTAATGAACTTCAGTTGCGTCCGTTTGAAAAGCAATTCTGAGCGTCACATATTCAAGCTACCATGTTGAATTGTACCGGTATTTCTAGCTCTAGTAGAGGCTGTTACAAATCTATACAGTTTTAAAGGAATTTTCCATTGCCTGTGTCACGTCAATATCGGGGCTCCTTTAGATGGCATAAGCACCTAACTAGCTAATAGCTTAACTAATAACATTGAATTAAACAAACGTAAAAACTATGTGTCTAATGAAATTTTAAAATATCACGACTCTTAGGGCACCAGCAACTCGGAAGGGTACCCAACTTAGTTTTACCCGTATTAAATGATATGAATATATATTTCAGTTGCTTTAGTTTTTTTCAGGTCAAAAAGAATGCCTTAACTTAAAGCAATGATGTTTAATTATATAGATGACGCATGCCCATACTGCGCGTCGCTTAAAAATTGTTTCGCTTTACATTATATGACGTATATAAGTGAATGTGACAGATGATATAGAAAGTGTTATATGGAAATAGATAGAAGTCTATAGAATTGAAAATCAAATTGAGGCACTCAAATCACACCAATTTGGATTTCTCAAATCACAGATTTCGGTGCGCTAGTGTCTTATCTTGATATAATATAATAACATTGTCTGAAAGTAATCTAAACGGGCGAAACGATTTTTTTGGATGTGTGAAAAGTTGCCAAGCGAGCAGACGGTTCACCTGATGTTAAGTGAATACCGCCGCCCATGGACATCTGCTACACCCGAGAGTTCCAGACAGTTGAAAACCTTTTGAAAAATGGGCTCCGGCCACCTCACTCACCAGACGAAACGCGAAAGTTTTTCCACTTTACGCCGGTCTTCTGTGAGGTCGTGATACTTACCCGGACGAGCCTGCCCATTCGTGCAACAGCCGAGGCTGCTGCGTGGCCCTAACACCGTATAAATTTTAACAATGACAGCTTATGTCAAATTCAAAATCGTAACCGAAAGGCGGGCATTACGAAAACTAGTCGTTTCCGTGAGGCAATAGCCAAATTATTCCACTACTTAATCTACTCCTTTTTTTTCTTGAAATAGCTGCACTTATAGGAATCATACTACGTTATATGGATTTAAAAATTAACATCAAAGAAATGATATTACTTCATAGCGACACCATCTCATTACATAATGCGTAAATGTACATAAATATAAAGATTCTGCGTCACTCTCAGCACCAGAGGCTAGTGTGAGTGCTTGCCGACAAAATCCCGGCGTTTTCATTTTCCCATTTCGTTTGTCTCTGTCGGCACAGTCGCAAAGCAACAGACATCGGTGCCCGCGGGTCGTGGGATCGATTCCCACTTGAGACGAGTTTTTGTAAATATCTTCAGATAACTGTTAATTAACCGAATATGGATGTTTGTGCTGCACATTTTCGTGCCAATCAACATTGAGATTTTTTGGGATTTTTTTTTAAAACAATGGTCTAACTTTTGTCAACTTGGGACATAGGCTTGTAAAATGTGGATGGCCCTTACAACAGCAAGCCTAAAATCTTGCGAGTTAAAATTAAAGGCAATTGTATTACCTAATTATGATTACATTATAACACAAAATCACATATTGATACTGTGTTATCTACAACTTTAATTAAGGCAAAATGTGGTTAAGCGAATCTAATGCAATACTTGACAATGTCATTTGTGTGATATGAATAAGACAAAAACAAAAATTACACACACTGGAGAAGAATGAAACAAAACTATAGTTCCAATGTAATTAAAAGATTAGGGATCTGTAAGTTAAATAACTAGTTTTATACATAGATGAATTAATAACGACTTACCTGAATGAGAGGATGAGTGGCCGGGGTCATCGGCCATTTTCAGGTAACAGCCAGTTTTCTGAAAAGCAAAGAATGTATCTTATATTAAATTATTTGTATTCTTTTCTGTTATAGACAAGGAAAATGGATGTATAATAAACACAAAAACAAAAATTCAAGAGAGTAGTTTGACCTTTCTTTAGATATGATTACAACAATTAACAAATCTTACCATGTACCTTTATGTAACAAGTCTTGTACAAGATGATGTATATGTCTGATATATATTAACAACATTTGAAAATGATAATGTTAGAAACTAGAATACATAAATTGGTAAAAAAAATGGTATTTACCAATTTTATATTTGACACAAAGTTGCAATAGAACATGAAACAAAAAATTGAGTACAGCATTACAACAGTTAATTTTTACATATAATTGTAACAATTACTTTAAATTTGACATTACCTAAGTCAGATAAAAACAATTGCTGTTTTTTAAACAGAAAAGCAAATTAAAGATGATATTTTATAAATATCTAAAGTAATATGTATTTTAATTATTGAGTTGTGTAAGTTGAAATATCTAAGAGTGATAAACATTATCTAGCTAGATTTTATTTTCTTTCGGAAAAGATGTAAATTTAAATTTATATGATTAATTTTGACATTAGTTTTCTAATACTATCTTAATTTATATGCAAATATATTTTAGCAATATGAAAACTCAATATAATCCAATTCAAGAGATTATTCTAGTTTCTAGTTTTTTCAGGCTGTAGTGTATACAGATAAAATTGACAAAATTTAGGTATTTGTTGTATTAATCCTCTAAAGAAATTTAATACTTTATTATATCATTCAGTTGCAGTAAAAACTTTGTAAGTAATTGTGTTTAATGTTGGTAACCTCCAAAAGGATGCAATCATAATTAAGAAACTAGCTTTTACCACTATTGTTAGTGGTGGCTATGGTGTTTAGATGCAACTTGGATCGTTAATTTCGATATGAAAACAAAAAACTCTCAACTTAATCTTAAAGAATAAGCATTTTTATGTATTAATATTTTTATATAACCATGATAGCTGTGTCCAGGTGCTCGCCTTTTATTCAATACATATATGCTATGTATTATACATATATGCCCAGTGCCAGAACCAATGAAGTTTTTAACTTTAACTGCTGACTTATCACATGCTCCGCGGTGAAGGAAAACATTGTGAGGAAACCTGTATATTTTCGAAATAAACAAAAAAAATATTTCGAAGATATGTGAAGTCCGCCAATCCGCAGTGGGACCGCGTGGTGGACTATGCCCTGATACGCTCTGTATAGAGAAGGCCTTTGCCTAGCAGTGGGACTTGTATAGGCTGTTACTTTAGTTTACTTTTATGTATTATCATCAATGTCACTGATAATACTTTCAGAATATGACTGCCTTCTATAAGATTAAAATAAGCATTTATCTCCGGAAATTTTAGTTTAAAATACTTCACTTTTTATGTAAACATGTTATGGAAATTTAGAAAACCAATTAATAATATATTAATACCAATATATGTGAATAAATACAATAGAATTACATGTACCTACGAATTTTAAGGTATTTACAACTACAAGTTACAGGATACCCTGAAAGAGAACTTTATGAAAATATTAACCCGATGGTCGCCAGCTGGGCTTGTAGGAAAATAATAATTTACACCAAACACTTTATATTGTTATTTTACACAATTACACTTTTCTTTATCACTTATTTGTAACATCACTGCATTTGTCCATTCATTTTTTTCACCTATCTCTGTGGACAATTTCTTCAAAACACGTCTAAAGTATGTTTTGACCAGATTTTGACATATAAAGTTAAGTGGGTTCACGGTACTCGGAATAATTGAATACATAGAGTTTATTGAGTATAGTAAGTGACCCATTTCTTCGACTCCTTATTCGCTAATAAGAATCTTATACGAAATGTCAATTCAAATGACCAATCACAGAAATACGCTTAACGTAAGACGAGAACAAGTTGCTCGAAAACAATACAATATAAAAACAATTTAAAAAAAAGGTTAGTCCATTACATTAATTAAAAAAAATTAAGTACCTATGTATTTATTTTGCCTAAACAGTAATTTTAAAAAATCCACTCAAAAGCCAAAATACAGAATCATATGCCAATACATATTAGACATTGAGCCTTAAACAATTACGATAAAAAATACGTTTTGAAAATAATCAAATTGATAATATGGCCACAGTTTTTTATTTTTAAATAAATTAAAAAAAATTAGAACTTGTACAGTTTATCCGTTTAGCTTAGTGGTTCAAGTGCCTGGGTACATATCTGAAAGCTGCTGGTTCGATTACCGCAGTGGCCAGAAACACTTCACTTTTCTTCTTTCAACAATTGCAACGGCACTTGATCTTTTTACACTTTCATTACAATTGTTTACTTTTCCATTTCATCAATTTCTTGCGATCATCAAACGAACGTATGTAATTTCGCTATTAAATCACAATTACAACACGATTGAATGGATAGGATTAATGAATTTCAGATATGGCAGATTAGACTGACGATTCAAAAAAGTGGCAGAATTTGGCAGATTTCAAGGAAATCTTTATTAATTTTAAATATTTTTATAATATTCTGTCGTATTGTTTGCTTTCATTATTATTTCGTAACAAATTATTTTCTGATGTAGCAACTTTCGTGCCACATTCCGAGATTTCCCGATTATTGTATTTTAATTTAAGTACGTCATATGATTATTAACGGTAACGAATTAGCAATAAGGTTTATTTTGTTATAAATACAACTGATTGAGGTTCATGCCTTATTCATTATTCTCTTTTGGCGTTTCGTGTGTGTAGTTGTCTTCCGTGCATGATGAAGAGAAAATACAAGCGCTCGTATCGACGTGAAGGGAACAGGATCCTTTGCTTTCTCCTGAATTTCCAAAACTAAGGAAGATATTGCATTTTACAAAACTTGCGATTGTAAACTAGTCATAACTACATCAACGTTTGCAGTTGTTACCCAATAATATTCCAAAAGAGAATTTCCAGTAAAAATATTTTTTTTATATTAATTTTTAAATATTTCAAACTTTGCAAACGCTCTTTTAAGTTTGCCTATGTCAAATAGGGTAAATAGAGGGTAACATCCTAAAAGGTGGGCGAAATTTCTGAAACCTAGAAATCCCCAAAGGCGCTGCATTCCACCAAGCAGACACAGTGCAACCGATGGAGACAGCTCGTTGTGGAATTGAATATGAGTCACGATCGTCAGCAGTGAGGAAACGAACAAAAAATAATGTCTATTTCATTAATTATACTCTGTTTTCTCCAAACAATACTAATATGATGGCATATTTTTGTCATTTTTTGGAGACGAGTTTGGTAGATTTTTTGCTAGTTCGGGCAGATTTTTGAGATGGTCACCATGGCGGAGATCTGGTGTTAAGTAATACAAGTTTTAACTTGTACCAAACAAGCACCAAGTCCAAACTATATTCGTTATTTAATAATATATTTTTAATGTTTGCTGTGGTTGTATTGTTCGTGGGGAATAAATACCTCATTTTTCATTTAAGTTGACCCTATTACTTCCTCTAGATAGGTTTCACTATCGATGACATCCAAGTGGAGTTTGAAACGTTTCATCAGAAGGGCCCGAGGATCTTGTCCCCCGTCTCTTAGTCGTTGTTCATCTTTCGTTAATAGAATTTCTGGAGTTGCAGTGAAGTTAATGCCTACGTGGGTCCCATTAACAGCAAAGTACACTAAAAAAACCTACTATCTCATATATAAAATTCTCGTGTCACAATGTTAGTTTCTCTACTCCTCCGAAACGGCTTTACTGATTTTTACCAAATTTTATATGCATATTAAGTAGGTCTGAGAATCGGCTACTATCTATTTTTCATACCCTTAAGTGATAAGGGTTGTTCACCCTTAACATTTTTTTTTAATTTTGGAAAAAAAATTGTTTTTATTTTTTTATGATACAGCATACAAAAATACATACAACCCTAAATTTTCGCGGGCAGCAGCTAGTATTGGATAACATCTGAAATTCTCAACACCATCTTTTGTATATACCTTTATTACACTGTACATACAGTACATTCTGTTATTGTTTATCATTCTACGTTTTATATTTGTCAAGTTGACTGTAAAACACAGATTATACATACTGTCAAATAACACAAAAAGTGTTAATGAGTCAATTGGATAACAAAACAAATACAGTGAAAATAGAAATTGCATAATGTTTTCCTCATTTTTTAGCAAACGGAGATCGTCTCCGGTGAAGGATGAAACACCTCCAATACCTGGGCCCAAACCTGACGACGGTTTTGTAATAGTTGATCCATCTTCCCCGGGAAATAGCTTATACCCGAGGAACCATACCTCAATAGTCCTCTGCAAAGTAACTGGGTTTAATACTCCTTGTATTAAACCCAGTTACAACTTTTTCCAGTTTCAACAAACCATTACATGAACATTATTTTATTACATATAAAAATATTTTTATAATATTATAACAAAACTGTAAATAGTGATTTGTTTTTGTTCACTTCCAATAATAATTAACAAAAAAAAACTCAAATATTATGTATTATCCTTCAGATGTTCCAATGTAAATAAAGAGAAGACAATTTATTTCTAATCATTTATTCACTACAGAGTTCAATATGTTGGCTCAATATAACTTCTTGTTGAAAGTATATTCAACCATTGATAACAAATAATTAAATGTCATATATGGCCATGTATCAAATATTATGGTTAGGATTAAAAACTGTCATTTTTAATTAAAATATATAAATATGTGCTCTATCTACTATGCAAATGATATGTTTTAAGTCAATATTGTTATCAATCATTATGTAATATATAACAACAACAATAAATTAGCTTTTCTTTATTTTATTTTAAGTTTTCTTCAATTTAGAGGTAAAAAATGAGTTTGACAACAAAATTTTATGATAACTCACACAAAAATATTTGTAACTCAGAGTTAAATAGCATTATGCGACAAAACACGAATTTTTCAGGAAAAGCAATAAAGCATGGAATGAATCATTGAATACATTAATAATTATGATGTCATATACGATTGGATATTTTATTAATTAAGCATAATAGGACTTAATGATGAAACTGAGGTATAGATATGTCAAGCTGTGTAGTACTGAACAGAATATAATACATGTATTGTATATAATAAGTGTAAAAACTTGAATTATTTGTAATTAGTAATTGATCACAGGCCGCTAAAAAGATTAGGATTCCATATTTTGTGCATGACTAATTACAAAATAATGCATGTATACATCTATACTCCTATATATTTTAATGAAGAATTGCTTGTTTATTACTCCTATTTAAAGACAATATGATTGTTCATTTTGCAGTACCCTAAAATTTGTCAGTATCATCTATTACATAGTTGACTTCAGCCATTATACATTGTTTCCATTAATTATGCTAAAATAGTCCCTGTGATAAAATTAAAGATGCAAGTTAAAGATAAACTTATCCTGATATACTCTGTACCTATTTGAAAAAAAATAATATGTCCCTAATTTAATATATCCAAAGTAGCATGTTTTGAATTTCAATTCATTAAAAAAATTTTCCTCTATTGAAATGTTTCGTATTATTTTTATAATAACTCATAAAATTGCATATGAACTCATCTGTAAAATGGGATATGGGATATCTTATTGTTTTACTTGAGAACAGGTATTAATGTCAAAAGATTAAAATGTTATCTAAAAACATAATCTGAAAGAGGAAAACTAATGGAGTAAATTTGTTTGCTTGTACACACTAATAATATATTTTATTCTATCTGTAAATAATCACTCAAAATAGCTGTATAATATTTAGATAAGGTCAAGTAAAAATAAAATGTTATAAAATAAAACTTTTATTCATTGGAAACCCACACAATAATTTAAATGATAAACAAAATTATTATTACTGTTTAAGATACATATGGACACAGTTTTATTTTTTATGTTACACACATATAATAATATTGAATTTAAAACTCTTCAAGCATTAGACCTCTGTTAAGGAATTTTATCTAATTGCTTACATTAATAAGGTAAAATAATTACCTAGAAATATGTTCCAATAAGAAAAATACTAATACAGCATAATCAAATGTTGCATCTGTTCTCGCTTGAAATTTTTTAAAAATTCTATGATACATTGTTGTACTTAATTGGTGCCAATATTTCTGAATAATATGAATCACTATTTACAAATAATATTTCATGGACATATATATGTATAAAGTGTATTAAAACCATGTTTCATGTAAAGTTGATGATATTAAGACAATAACAGATTGCAGACTACACTTGCAATAAGTGTACATTATCAATTATGTTTAATCAAATAATTAAAATATTTTTCTTCAACAATTCATTGAATTTTAATTGTCAGTCCATCGTATTAGTATTGTAGTACCCAAATATATATATTTAAATCTTTGCTTATTGATGTGAGAAAAGGTATGCTAAGAATGATAAGTTGATAAGATTTACCATTTTATCTTAGTTAATAAATAAAACAACTAAAAAAATTGGCCCCTCCAAGGCATACTCAGAATGTTTCCTCAAAAATATCCAATTTCAAAACAAAATTTAACTTGTCTGCAACAACTTTTCAATAACCAGTATTTCAATCACACAAACTTCTAAAAACTTTCACAAATGCCAACTTAGAAAGATTAAAAAAATAAATTATAAAATACCTGAACAATTATGAACTTTAAGTTTTATATAGACTGTATTTGGTATACTTTAATAATATGAGGTAAATTACATTTTATTTTACTATACAAAAAGTAGATAAATCAGAAGCAATGTCTATTAAACTCCATAGCCCTTACAACAAGGCTCTACTTCACAAAAACATCTGAGTAGTGAGATATCAGCGCAATGTGCCTTTTGTACCTCCACTGCTGATCAAGAATGTATTTGTAAAAACACCAATAAATTTCAAATTTCTATGTGGAATTTAAATGATTGCAGCTAGGCCACATATAAATGCAACAATAAAGACGAATGGCAACCATGTCTTCAAGAAAGCGCCAAAACTGTAAAAGATTAATATAATTAATGTAAAATAATTCAAGTAACCCTAGTTCAATTTCTGGTGCCGGCGCCAATGAATTGTCAATTGCAATTTTAAGTGGAGACTTGTCAGCAGTGAAAGAAGATGTTGTGTAGAAATATGCATTATTTCAAAATAATAATAATAAAAAAATATTTGGAAGAGATGTGAATTCTGCCAAACCACGGTGGGGTTGCATGGTTGGTGGTGCCCACCAGTGGAATATACTTATAAGTAGGCTGTTCATTTACTATATTTATGCTAATAAATGGTGTATAGTGCATTTTGACAAATAGACATTGACATAAATAGATTGCTAACAGAAGACAAAAGCTTAATGGCACAAGATTGATTCATTTGGCAATTACTAGGAGGTCTATGTCCAACAGAGGCATGATTCCCCCAGCAGTGAAACATTTTGAAATGTTAGATATTCTGTTGTTCTTTGCCTAATTGTACATAATATAACTTTGACATTTGTTACTTAAAGAAACCAAGAGATCAAATATATATTAAGGCCAGTTCTTTATATTAGACCAAATATTGACCTTAATATGGTTAGTGCTATATGTGGATGAAAGATGATATCATTCACCCAAAAACAACTCCAACAAGTATCAGTTTCTTTGGTTCTAACTAGACTAGAACCAGAAATTAAAATCATATGAGTATGTTTAAGTACAATTATACCAGCATACCAATATTGGTACCAGCAATAGGAGCAGGCTTGACAGTACACAAAGTTACTATTCACACATTTCATAACATTTAAGCAAAAGATACTTACCTAACATACTTTGAATATGGAATCATGTAGAATGCTAATTTAACCATATTCCAATTTTTACAGCCACCATAATTCATAATATTCAGAGCAGTCGCCACATGGGAATGGCAATTATCATAAAATATTATGTGCTGAAAAAAGTTCATAATAGTAATGAGTGATAATAATAAATATTATGAAATAAATTATAAATGCTAATTTAGAAAAAATCTTTTTTTTTTTTTCTATATTCATTACATGGTTTGTATATTTATAACACTTACCATTCTTTTCTTATAAATCTCTGATGCCTCAGCAACAGCTGCGTCCCAACCGGCCTGACCATTTGTGGCTCTTTGGGGAGACAGCTGCCAGTATTTGGTGGGGTTACCAAATGCCATAAGGTCCTCTGATACAAAATATGGTCCTGCAAAATCTCTTATCACACCACTTGAAGTGCAAATGCCCATATGACCAAGAAATGGGAACATCCATCTAGAAACAACAGAATAAAAACAGTTTCAAAGTACATCACAAAAAAGTTTCAATCCATTTGATGTATTTTATATAACTTTTTTTTTTGTTGCGGTACATATTTAACGATTTCAAAATTTGGCGGCACAACAAAACTACTGAAAAAATGAAATTAAAACAGATATTTCACTTTTTTTTTTGTTGCGGACTACATTTCAAAATTTGGCGGCACACAAAGAATAAAAATAGTTTATGACAAAAATAGTTTATGACAAAAATTTTAAATATACGAAATAAACTAATATATACTACGAATAATATATACGCTATAAACTAATATATACGCGAAGAAATACAGATACAGTGTGCGTGTGCAGCAAGTCAGCACATAAGCTCGGGATTCCCCGTGAGATGTGTACACAGCGCACATGTTCAATCCAGTAGCATTTAGTAGTGCGATAAGAACAAAAAAAATTATTTGGAAAACCATGTAAAAGCGAAAACGTGTAAAACAAGTACCGTGTAAATTGGGGGATAGGTTTACTGCAAAGTTAATAAGTTTACAAATTTATAAATTGACACTACATGCAAATAAATTAATATTAAACCGAATCACATACATTTGCCAATTTTAACGAAAGAAGAGGTGCAGTAACTACTATGCAACACCTTGTGAATCCCAACTATCACTAAAACAACACGTTTTGTACACAGAAGTGGGAAGTGTGCGCCGACTTGAGACATATTCCTATTGCTAAGCACGCCGCAGACAAAAAGCTATTATAATATTACCATATCATTAAGTTATTAATAATACCATACCAACTCATAACCAACATGCAAGTTTTATAAAAAAAAAATATACCCACTCTAAGCAAAAATCTATGTACCTACAATCTCTGCATTTTTGTTACAATTGTTGAACAGAAAATTTCTTTTATATATAAGGTTTCACTTTTATTTCTACTCTTATCTTAAGCACGATATACCATATGGCTGCTACAGTAACGTTTGTTAATATACTTACGTTAAAACTGGAATTGGTGTCCAAACGATGCAATAAGGATATCTACATTTTTCATGATCTATGGGATCCATCAAAACAGCTTGTTCGCGATCAGTAAGTTCTAAAGGACTACCTGGGCTTTGATCACCATTCATATTTGTGTATAAAATTTACACGATCTTTATATCCATGCTAATTCTGGCAAAGCGCATTTGGAAAATAACACGCAGTTAACACTGATATTTGTTTCCAAACTACACAAGAGATAATTATAGAAGCAAGCCCTTCGGCATTAAACGATTACGAATATTCAGTATATAATAAATTAGTTAACAATTTTTATTTCCTGCTATGATATTTTAATTTTTCAATTGACAAGTTAATGTTTTATTTAGTGAATGACAGTCTGACAGTTCATCAATATTAAAAAAAGGACCTGTTTTTATTAATCGTTCAGCCGGCATAGGATACTCATTGCCCATTTAATTATCAAAAGTAGCTCTATCTAAATATTCTATTAAGTTTATTTTGAAACCTATTGCAAAAAGAAGGAGGTTACAGGTTATCAATTCCGATGATCATATGTTTTTTTTTAATTATGTTCAGGCATAACTCCGTCATGACTATACAGGGAGACTTTTCTAAGTGTATCCATTGTTTTTATTAAATTCTAGAAATAAATAATGTTATATAAAAATATCCCTTTCCAGTTTTGTAACTGGAAAGGGTACTCGCGAACAAATTTTGAACGTACGTATTCTCATTGAGAAATGTCGTGAATTTAACAAAGCTCTGGTCTTGTGCTTTGTCGACTATGCCAAGGCGTTCGATTGTGTCCAGTGGCGGACGATGTTCGATGTGTTGGTAGAGATGGGTGTTCCTGAACATCTTACCTACCTTATATAGAATCTGTACCTTGATAGCTCAAGCTTCGTGAAATTGGAAAACCAGAAGTCTAAGAGCTTCCACCCAGAACGAGGCGTACGCCAGGGCTGCATTCTGTCACCAAAAATATTTAATTTGTACGGGGAATATATCATGAGGAAAGCACTGGAAGGCTGGGACGGCGGTGTTACAGTCGGTGGTCGAAGGATCTGTAACTTAAGGTATGTAGATGATACGACAGTAGTTGTATCGAGTGAAGTGGAAATGGCGGCACTTCTAAAGAGAATTGAAGTCGAGAGTGCAAAAGTAGGTCTTAAAATCAACCATTCTAAAACTAAAATAATGGTGGTAGACCGAGCATAAAACACTGCCAGTCTCCGATGCAATCAATGGATATGAAAAAGTCAGGCAATTTGTCTACCTTGGGTCGCTGGTATCCAACGATGGCAGCTGCACTGATGAAATTCGTCGTAGAGCCGGTATGGCCAAAAGTGCTATGACTAGACTCGAAAAGATATGGAAGAACCGTGGTATTCGACGTGCAACTAAAATGCGCTTGGTACGAGCATTGGTCATCCCTATTTTTATGTACGGTGCCGAAGCATGGAGCATAAGAAGCCGTGATAGCAGTAAAATCGATGCGTTCGAAATGTGGTGTTGGCGTAGGATGCTCCGTATTCCTTGGACTGCCAGGAGAACCAACGACTCCATACTTAAAGACCTCAACATCACGAAGCGGCTTTCTTCAATTTGCCGTGAACGGGCCCTCTGCTTTTTTGGACACATTATGCGATCTTCAAGGCACAGTTTAGAAAGGCAGATAATTAATGGCCAGATGAACGGCAGACGTGCTCAAGGCAGGGCACCGACAAGATGGGTTGATGTAGTGAAGAACGCGGTGGGCGGCAGCATGCAACGCGCGGTTCACACCGCCTACGACCGCACACAGTGGAGGAGAACATCATGTGCTCTCGATCCTCAGCATTGAGCGACCGAGCAAGAAGAGAGATATAAAAATGATACATATTTAAAATTACTCGTAATTAATTTAATACATTCATTTGAACTTATCTCCAAAGTGCGTGATTTATGGGTAACTCATTTAATTTACGCGCGATCATTAATAACTAACAGGCACACAAGTTCGTTTCAAAAGTATACGACGCATTTATGAATGACTACCGCATTGTCAACAAGTTCTATTTTGTTGGAAAGGAATGGCAATTTTTTTTGAAAAAAAATTTTTTTGTTTTTATTTCAATAAACGATTATACTACCGAGTTTGAACCTTCTGTGTGAATTTGGCCATCTTTAGAAAAGCCACTCTATATAGACGGATTTCCAAAATTCTTTTTTGTTCGAAATGTTATTAGTTAGTTATTACGAAATGTTCCCATTTATATTTCGTAAAATTTCGGAGATAGACAACGAACTCTTCAAAACATGAAAGCACATCAACCACGATTGCTGCAGTCGCGTAAATATGCATTGTTATGCGCAATCACACAACATGATGTCCAGCGTTCCACAACAGCGCGATTTTTATGGCATTTCTTGCCTCGCACAACCACTCTGTGGAACCAACTGCCGCCTGCGGTCTTTCCGAACCGTTACGACCTGGGAACCTTCAAAAAGAAGCATACTCTTTCTTAAAAGGCCGGCAACGCATTTGTGAGCCCTCGGGTGTTGCAGGTGTTCATGGGCGGCGGTAATCACTTACCATCAGGTGAGCCTCCTGCTCGTTTGCCCCTTTTCTCCATAAAAAAAAAGAAACATAACATCATGTCTGTAGACTCGAAAAGATTAAGCAGATTTAATCAGTATCTCAGTAGCTCAGATCAGTATCTCAGTAGCTCAGAGATCAGCTCAGAGATCAGTAGCTCAGATCGCGAAAATAGTAAATACGCTATTTTGCGTGCATTGTAAGCGTCTTATTGTCTGACAGTGGGATAAATTCGTACTGCGCCTCCATCGGCAAAATTCTCTATCAACAGTGTTCCTTGAAGTTTGCAAAGCAATTTTTTTGGGGTTTATAAAATTTTGTTTACTTATAGACTTTAATAAAAATCATATATCTTTATACATTATTATTTGCTCATAATTATGAATACAAGTAGTACTTACCTTCAATCAATCTCGATTGTTGTACTGTCTATTTCATTGTGTATGAGTATATATATGATTATATGATGACTCCATGGCGCAGTGGCCAAGGTATAGGCTTCGACGTTGGCGGTCATGGGTTCGATTCCCACATGGGACAACTATTTGTGTGGCCCACAGATAGTTGTTTCATATCTGGGTTAGTTCGCGTGAAATTTATGTTTGTAAAACGTCCTTACAACACAGGATAATGTTATCCTAGAGTAAGGGCAATGTTTTTCAAAAGACAACAAAGACATCACAGACTAACTAGAGATGCTTACGCATATAAGAAACGCATGAAAGACATAATTGAGTTATAATGATTTATGGGATTTAAAAAAAAATATTATAATTAAAATATGTAGAAAATATTATAATATTAAAAATAAAAGCGACAAAGATTGTGTTGTGATGCTGGAAATACTAAATATTGCTTTTTAACTAATTCATTCAAATTATTAGTTGAGAGTTTTATGGGTTTTGAAATTACTCCTAGGTGGACAAAATTTCAAGTTTTGGCAGCACTGAGTTGTTTACTTGTAGACTATACAGACAATTTGACACGGATGCCAGCTTAGGAGTTTTCTTTCTAAATTTAGGAAGAAAAAATTTACAATGGAAGTTTTTTAGGAGGAGAAATTTTTTGGGAATATTTTTAGGAATAAAATTTTATTCACATTTTTGAAAAAAAAACTACACAATTTTAAACACGATATATAATATAATGGTATTGGCAGCATTGTATATAACAGTGACTAGTGTTGGCTGCATTGGCTTATGTAATATTTTAAATTGTTCCGCCTTAAAATATGCAGCTAAGTGGGAAAAAAAACAATGAATTTAAAGGCATATTTAATTCAGATCTTTTATGATTGAATGATGCTTATTCCCATTGTTTATTGTCTGATTCTTAAAAATATTGAAAATGATTATATCGTTACAATAAAATGTATTTAATTTGTATAATGTTTTTCAAGTCAATGAAAAATTTTCAAGGTCAGGTATATTAATTTTAAAATAAAACAGTTTTGGTTACCAAGATAATTATTCTACCTTGTTAGATAATTTAACTGACTTGTGACGTGTGACTGTAACGTGACTTTTTCATTTAGGAAGTGTTTTTTTGAAAACAGTGCATTTTAGGAGGTTTTTAAATTTCTTTAGGAGTTTTTTTTTCAACAGTTGGTAACACTGCAATTTGACAATGACAAATTTGACAAGAAGGTGATGTGAATTGTTTGGCGCTATAAAATGTACTGTGGCATAATTAAAAGTTTGCGTTTATTTTGATCTCAAGCTAAATAAATCGAAAAAATGCCTGCCTTTCTGAAATATATTGATATGGAAAATTTTAAGTCTTACCGCGGTCATCATCGAATAGGGCCGCTGAAATCTTTTACTGCCGTCGTTGGACCGAATGGATCAGGTACAAACAAAATTGTAGTGTGTAAACAATATTACAATATTGGATAAACAGGAATGTGCTTCTGAATACTGTTCTGTTCAAACAGTATAGGTTTACGATATAGTTTTTTTGTTCAATATTAAAGTTCTAAATAACTAATGTACAATATATATAAAAGGCGAGGTACAAAAATATAAAAAGTGCGGTTTAAAAATGACGAGTATAATATGTGTACTGACATATTAAAGCACTGTTTAACACAATCACAATATTTCTGTTGTAGGAAAATCAAATTTTATGGATGCAGTGAGTTTTGTAATGGGTGAAAAAACATCTCTGCTGCGAGTGAAGCGGCTCAGTGATTTAATCCATGGCGCTTCGATAAATAAGCCTGTGTCTAGAAGGTTTTGAAAAATCATGATATTTATTATGTTTATGCACTGCTTCTTTACATAAAAGTTACTATTTACTTCATTCTATACTGCATTTGCATCTGTTTACTAAACATGAAGTTTTGCTTTATAAGTTTCCATAATTGGCAGTTTTGAATTGAATCTAATTCAAATTTCCAAACCTTTTTAATACATTTTTATTTACTGTGCATGTATACAACTTTGTATTTTAGACAGTGGATAATAATCTTATATGCCTATGTTTTAACAGTGCTTCTGTGACAGCCACATTTATATTGGAAGATATGACTGAGAAACAATTTCAGCGGTCTGTCATTGGTCAGTCATCAGATCACAAGATAGATGGGCAGGTGAGATTTTATTAAGAATTGAAATAAAGAATTTTCAGGGTGAAGGATGAAAGTTATTCATTGAGAAACAATTTATATTTTTATATTTTAGTCAGTGTCAGTGAGCCATTACCTTAGTGAACTGGAGAAGTTGGGCATCAATGTGAAGGCAAAGAATTTCTTGGTTTTCCAAGGGGCAGTCGAGTCAATTGCTATGAAGAACCCTAAGGAGAGAACTGCTCTGTTTGAAGAAATTAGTGGGTAAGTCAAATATTTAATGTATGAAAATATATATAAAAAGGGAAATATATATATAATACATATAATACACCCATAAAGGTGATTATCATGTTAAAACTGTTTTTGTTTACTATATTCAGGTGTTGTATTTGTTATAGTATTCCTAAATAAAAGAAACTCCAGCAATTTATTAAACCACATGTTACTCTAACTGATATTTTTAGTTCTGGAGTTTTAAAAGAACAGTATGAAGCATGCCGTGCAGAAGTAAATAGAGCCGATGAAGAAGCTCAATTCTCATATCAGAAAAAGAAAGGAGTCGCAGCTGAGAGGAAAGAAGCAAAATTTGAAAAAGAGGAAGCTGAAAAGTACACACGCCTAAAACAGGAGCTGGTCAGTAGTACAGAAAATATTTGCCATCACTAATTTTGCATAATTTTTGTAAGAAAAGTTGTTTCTAATATTGCATTTGTTATAGCAAGAGCAAAAGGTGGAACTACAGCTATTCCATCTGTATCACAATGAGAGGGAAATACAATCGCATGAAGAAGATTTACAGCACAAACAAAATGAATTGACAAAGATTGAAAAGAAGCGGCAGAAGGCAGAAGATGCTCTTAAAGAGAAAAAGAAAGAAGCCGGCACTGTGCAAAGAGAGCTTGCTAAGATAGAACAGGATATCAGGGAAGTGGTATGTGTATATAAATATAATTTTTTTCCAGTTTTCCTACCTTTTATTTTGATCGAAAAGATGATTATGAACACAAATTAATGATGATAAATACGCTTACAACATAAGACAGTTTTGGAATAAAGATATGAGCTTTGCTATAAGAAATTTTCAGAGATTTATTTATTTCTTACATTTATACTAAGCTTCTTATTGTAAGGAAACTACTTACTTCTTAGATTTTACCATGTTGAACATTGCATTTGCAACTTCCTGTATTCCGAAATATTTTGCATCATTCATGATTGTAGAAAATTGTTTTTATTGATATATTTCTGCTATTATTGCAAAGAATACACATCTTTCAAATAATTTAACATTGTGTTATATGCAGGAAGCTGAAGTGTCTAAAAAGCGGCCAACCTTCATCAAAGCAAAGGAACGTGTTACACATACTCAAAAAAAGTTGGAAAGTGCTCTTAAAACTCTGGAACAGGCCCGCAAGGCCCATGAGGCTCATCAGACTGACATAAGGAAACTTGAGGATGAGCTGCGTCAAGTGGAAGAGCAGAAAGCAGCTTGGGAACAAACAATTCTAGGAACTGGGCACACCGGGAGGGCAGATGTACATCTAGAAGAGGCACAAGTGAGTTTTTCTTCATACCATATACCTTAACATAAAGCATTAATAAACAAGTAGTAACTCATATATAAATGAAACGTTCACTGCCATGAGGCCAGAATAAAAAGTAAAATGAAGTCACAATGTATGATGGATGATCCAAAAGTGATACTAACTAATATAAACCAAGTTTCAAAAATGTGATCCAATAATCTTCCCTAGCGACCTTGACTCCTGAATTTCTTTGGCCTTGGCAAAGAGTCTTTTGATTGATTTCTGGATCAAAATAATGGATGGACAAACAATTTTCCCCATCTGCCTGGAACTTTCTTTTTCTCGTTGGTTGTTTTATGTTTATTGTTTATTTAAATAAATAAATACTTTAAATACTCTGTGGTACAGTTGCCAACGTATTTTATGGCTTTGGCGTCGGGGGTTGTGGGTTCGATTCTCACACTGGATAACTATTTGTGTGTCCCACTGATCTGGGTGTCTGTCCGCGTGAAATATATGTATGTCCTTACAACACAGGATAATTGTTATTCTAAAGTATGGGGAATGTTTTAAAAAAAAAAAAAGAATTATCTTTGTCTACTGAAACTGTATCCCACTGATGAAAGTTTCATTTGGAGAATAAGTTATTCACCCGTTAACTATGGATGTACCTACGTGTTATTTGTACGGCATCGTCCCCTCCGCCAGATCCGCGAGTACGAGGAGCTGAAGATGGAGGCGTCGCGGCAGGCGGCACGCTACCTGCAGGAGCTGGACTCCGTGAACAGGGAGCAGAAGGCCGACCAGGACCGGCTCGACAACGAGATGCGGCGCAAGGGCGAAGTGGAAAACAAGCATCGACAGAAGGTACACTCTCCATTGAATGCTTTTGTGGCGATATACTTTTGTGTTTGTATACCTTAGAAGGTAATAATGACGAGTGTTTGGTGTAAGTTTGGTGAAATATGACTGTATCACAGTTGAACAATATCTTATCCATCCCGAAAGGATTCAAAGATTCAAAAGCTAATTGTGTTTATGGAGTGCATTGAATATTTGTTTAACATCATGGTGTACTTAACCTTGAACAGGGCCACGAAAGAAACGAAGCAATGAAGAGAGTGGAAAAGCTGAACGAGCACATCAAGAGCTCGGAGCAGGCGCTGGAGGAGCAGAGGCGGCTGCGGGCGGAGCTGCAGGCGGACGTGGGCGAGTGCCGCGGGCGGGCGGCCGAGCTGCAGGCGCAGCTGGAGGAGGTGGCGGCGCAGCTGGGCGACGCGCGCGTCGACAAGCACGAGGAGGCGCGCCGCCGCAAGAAGCAGGAGATCGTCGAGAGCTTCAAGCGCGAGATCCCCGGCGTCTACGACCGCATGATCAACATGTGCCAGCCCACGCACAAGCGCTACAACGTGGCCATCACCAAGGTGCTCGGCAAGTACATGGAGGCCATCGTGGTGGACACCGAGAAGACGGCGCGCCGCTGCATCCAGGTGCTCAAGGAGCGCATGCTGGAGCCCGAGACCTTCCTGCCGCTCGACTACATCCAGGCCAAGCCGCTGCGCGAGCGCCTGCGGTGGGTTCCTTAGAAAGTCCGTCTTCTGAAGCGAGGTAGTAGTCCCGGCTTCTGTATTGAACAATTGTCCGTCGCAGCGACATCCGCGAGCCGAAGAACGTGAAGCTGCTGTTCGACGTGCTGCGCTTCGAGCCGCCGGCCATCCACCGCGCCGTGCTGTTCGTCACCAACAACGCGCTCGTCTGCGAGACGCCCGAGGACGCCTCGCGCGTCGCCTACGACCTCGACCGCACCAAGAACAGCCGCTACGACGTCGGTGCCGCTATAGATATCCGAAACGATCTGCCGCGAGCCCCGTTTGGGAATCGAACCCGAGGCCCCCGGCGCCGCGGTGTCATCCAAAGGCCTTTGACCAAATTTACATGTACAGAACCTGCTTTTGAACGTATGCTTCTTGGGTTTGGATTATTAGTACTATGTGCATACACAATGGGATATAATATAGCTTGTATTAATATCAGAATAGTGTATTCTGAATGTACTGTAGTCTGTAATTACTCAAATCAAATCATTTATTCGTCAAAGTAAGAAATATACATCATCATCTATCAAAAGTAAGTACTACTATAAGTAGAAAGTTAAGAAAGTTTGCTTTCACAGGCGTTGGCTTTAGACGGGACGTTCTACCAGAAGTCGGGCATCATCTCCGGCGGCTCCTTGGACCTGGCGCGCAAAGCCAAGCGCTGGGACGAAAAGCATCTCTCGCAACTTAAAGCGAAGAAGGTTCTTTGAACTCTTATAATATCCCACTAATGTTTGTGTTCACCATTATTCCTTGAATTTTTTATACGAACTATTTATAGTATTTTGTTTATTCAATATTTCAACTATGTACACATATTATTTCAATTATTGTGAGGTTTCTTATAACAACTTAAAAAAAATAATTTCTGTCAATTGCCTAAGATAGACACTATTTAGCCATGAAGTTAAAAGTACTAGGATTAATATTTACTTTCAGTGTTAGTCTGTGCACGCGAGATGAAACTTATGTGAATTTTACCGCGCCCAGACTAGCTGGTAACGGTACTAAGCTGAACGGTCGACGAGTGACGGCGCTAAAATGTCGACATGTCGTTTATTGCATTTTTAGCAATGCTCACGCGGGAACGGTGTTCGCAGGAGAAGCTGACCGAGGAGCTGCGCGAGTCGATGAAGAAGTCGCGCAAGGAGTCGGAGCTGACGACGGTGGACTCGCAGATCCGCGGCCTCGAGTCGCGGCTCAAGTACGCGCTCACCGACCGCGACGCCACGGTGCGGCTGCTCCCTAAGCATTCTCTCTTCTAACTCGATGTACTCGAGCAAAATGTGTCCCGTTCTGGCACCGATGAAATTGCTCCTTTTAAGTGCTGAAAAATCATATACCTGCCGGCCTAGCGATGGGACATATTATATATGCTGTTACTTTACTTTTGCATTTTATATAATATGTGTCTAAAAACTTCACATTTCTTACAATTTTTTATTTTCAATTCAAATTTATAACTTCTGCCATTACCAATCTTAAATAATATTGTATGTAAAATTAATTATTTGTCTTATTTTGATTTCAGCTGAAACAAATAAAAGCATTAGATGCTGAATTAGCAGAGTTAGAGAGAAAGATTGATATGTTTGGGGTGAGTACAGTTACTTTTAATTTATGTTATAGCAATGTTTTTTTACCAACTCTAACAAAATGTGTAGTCTTCATACAATACAAAATTTGATACTGTAATTTATGTTTATATTTATAATTGGAACTCATTCTGAGTAATGTGACAATAACCTCACGTGAATGACGTCCGTCAGCCGCAAGTGGAGGAGATCGAGCGCACGATCCGCGCGCGCGACGCCAAGATCCAGGAGGTGAAGGAGAACATGAACAACGTCGAGGACGTCGTCTTCCGCGGCTTCTGCAGGGACATCGGCGTCGCCAACATACGGTCGGCCCACGACTCTGGCTAACTCGCCTCGCCTCCGGCCAATCGGTGTCCGGTAACATCCGCTCGCTTCGCAGGCAGTACGAGGAGCGGGAGCTGCGCGCGCAGCAGGAGCGCGCCAAGCGGCGCATGGAGTTCGAGGCGCAGATGGACCGCATCGCGTCCAACCTCGAGTTCGAGAGGTCGCGCGACACGCAGAGTGGGTATCCAGCACGCAGAGTGGCGGCGGTCGAGTCCCGCCTCGAGCGTGCCCTCCCCTGTCCGCAGAGAACGTGACGCGCTGGGAGCGCACCGTGCAGGATGCGGAGGACGAGCTGGAGGCGGGGCGCCAGGCCGAGGCCAAGCAGCGGCAGGACATCGACCGCGAGCTGCGCCGCGTCGACGCGCTCAAGGCCGACCGCTCCGAGGCCAAGCAGCGCCAGCAGCGCGCCGACGACGACGTCGCCGCCGTCTGTGCCCTCTCCCACTCTCCCTCTCTCTCTCTCTCTCTCTCTTGTCACTTTTCTCATTAAAAAAAGTTATTTCCGACACCGACTTGAATAAACCCTTATACGTCGTCCCTCTCACTTCAAGGCCGTGTTTTCTACGTTCGCTGGATTTCGACCCATCCTTTAAGCCTGTAACTCTCACCACTACTAGTCTAACGGACACACGTCGCTTCTGTTGTACAGGCGCGGAAGGATGTCGCCAACATCCAGAAAGAGATCCAGGCGGTCCAGAAACAGATTGCGAACCTCGAGTCGCGCATAGAAAGCAAGCGCAGCGACCGGCACAACATACTTCGCCAATGCAAGGTAGAGGAGCATCATAATGTGCTTTTTATCCAGCTTGATTTATTAAATCCTGCTCGAAGGACCAAGTATCCGAAAATATATATTATTGTTTTGGTGTTCGAAAATAGCAGTGAGTCCTATTTTTAGGGTTCCGTACCCAAAGCGTCTGTCACCAGGTTGTATCTCATGAACTGTGATAGTTAGACAGTTGAAGTTTACACAAATTATGTATTTCTGTTGCTGCTATTGTGTGTAAGTACTCAAATTTTTAAGTAGAGCTCCTATACAACAGATATGATTTTTTTTTAATTTTAAACAGATAATGGTACGGAACCTTTCGTGTGCAAGTCCGACTCGCACTTGGCCCAAATTGTCCGACTCGCACTTGGTTTTTCAATGGGTAACCCTATGTCGTTTCAGATCGACGACATCATAATTCCCCTGCTCGAGGGCAGCCTGGACGACACCGCCGACGGAGAGTCCGAGCAGTCCTCGATGTCCACCACGCAGCAGTACCGGCGCGACTCCAGGCAAGTCGTTTCCCAGCTTTATCTACGAGGAGACGTGGCAAGGGCAAATGACTAGATGACTCTGTGGCGTAGTTGCCGAGGTATTGGCTTCTAGTTGGGCAGGTCCGTCCGGATAAGTAGCACGACCTCACAGAAGACCAGTGTAAAGTGTTATACTTCTGCGTTTCATCTGGTCTGGCCCCGGAGGCCCTTATCACTTCAAAAAAAAAGTTTGTTTGCCCGCTTGTTTGCCACTTTTTCACAACACGAGACAACTATTTGGGTGACCCACGGATAACTGTGTCGTTGGGACTTACTCCAACCCCTTTCACTTCAAAACACCATACAAGGCTACAATCTGGCCAATTGAATTGTTTTAAAATTCGTCAGATTGAAATACAGCTGATTCCAGGATCCGCGTGGACTACCGCTCGTTACCGGATTCCCTAAAAGAGCTGGAGGAGTCCGACGAGATAAAGCGTAAGGCTGACAAGCTGCAGAAGGCCATCAACTCTTTACAGAACACCGTGGACAAGATACAGGCACCCAACATGCGGGTGAGCCAAGATCTTTTTTTATTTCACTTTTATGTCTTTATTCTCACTCAAACTGTACATTAGCAAAAAATGAACCACTTTGACGTATTTCCAGGTTATTCGTAATACTTTGGGCACCATTGGCTCGGCCTTATAATTTTTTTTATGTGTGACATCATCCATAGCAATATTATAAATGCGAAAGGAACTCTGTCTGTCTGTCTCGCTATCACTCCAAAACTACTGAACCAATTTAAATGAAATTAGGTAGACAAATAGTCTAGAGCATGAGAGAGGACAAAGGTTATTTTTTTAATTGGAAAAAAGTGATTTAGAGGGTGGAAAGATATTTATTGAAGGGCTTCAACGGGAGCGAAGCCGCGGGCGAAAAGCTAGTTTCCAATAATGCATGCGATGACTTCAACTGATAACAAAGTATTTATTTGTTATGTGCAAACTGGCTATAAATAATTAATTGTCCTAATGCGTCTTAAAAATTAAAACATATGTATTGTTAATTATATATATAACATATAAATGGATGTTACCTTGACCATAGTTTTGTTTTAGACAGTATTCTATAATTATTCTCTTAGTTAGTATCTTCTCATATATTCTTTCAGGCGATGCAAAAGTTAAACGAAGTGAGGGAGAAAGTAAACGCGACTAACGAGGCGTTCGTGGCGGCGCGGAAACGGGCACACAAGGCCAAACTGGCCTTCGAAAAGGTAAAGGTTTTGGAAAAACATTCCGGAGGAAATTGTCGAAATCGTTGAATTAAAGAGTTAAGAAGATAAGTAGATAGAGATATCTTGTCAATTTATAAAGTTATTACAGGTTGTTTTGTGTTCAAATCATAATTAACGTAAAATCGTTTTAATTTACTGAATATCCAATGTAAACATTTGAAAAATTGTTGTTTTCAGGTTAAAAAAGAGCGACACGACAAATTCATAGACTGCTTCGAGCATGTTGCCAATGAAATAGACGCCATTTACAAGGTAGGCACCTTTCTTGTCATTGTCAACGGGACTAGTTTAGGGCTTTTATTAACCATTTTATTTAGTTTCAGTCAGTTCACATCCAGAGAAGAAACTGTGAGATTTTATGGTCCATATTTGTATAATAATAAACATTTATTGGTTCAAATACTATAAATGATGACATATAAAATTACGGCAGACTCATTTCAGATCATGAACACTGTAAAGGGTTCGAACCGTCGGGAATTAAAACAAAAAAAAATGAACGCGATAAATCCATAAACATAGTTTAATTTACTAATGTGTAATCGCGTTAATACAAGAAATTATTACATATTAAATTAGTAAAATTTGGGGGCACCATGTTAAAATTCGGGATACATCCTCGAAATGACACATGTGACGTTCCAGGCGTTGGCGATGAACCAGTCGGCGCAGGCGTTCCTCGGCCCCGAGAACCCGGAGGAGCCCTACCTGGACGGCATCAACTACAACTGCGTGGCGCCCGGGAAGCGGTTCCAGCCCATGTCCAACCTCTCCGGTGGGGAGAAGACCGTGGCCGCCTTGGCGCTGCTTTTCGCCATACACAGGTACATGACTGTGTCCGGTTCGAAGGACCAAAATCGTAAATATAAAGATCGTTTTACTTTGATTTTTTTTAATTTATTTGTATAAATAAATTAAAAAAATTACAAACTTATTAAACTGATACAAACATAAACTCATAAGAGTTTTACCGTGTAACAGTATCATTAATCGTGTATACATAGTTACTACCATAAAGCACAATTCACCATTTAACAAGGCTAATATTAAGACGATGATAATTTGAAAAATAGTAAATAATAATAATAATTTTGCAATTGAAAATTTATATAAGTTATTCCTTAGCTTGATATATAAAAAAGGTTTATTTTTTATGAAATATAATAGATGACTTAAATTTTTATAGCACTAATAGCTGTACTTAAGATGAAAAATTAAAATTTGTAGAAAAGGTAGGTAAGTATAAATTTCATATAGCATTGGCGACATCTCTCGTTCGCATTATCGTTGTACAACGATAATGATCCTCTGATGAAATGCGAATTAAAAAAAATATAGATACAATACGTGCTTGTTAACGCTACAGCTACCAGCCGGCGCCGTTCTTCCTTCTGGACGAGATCGACGCCGCCCTGGACAACACCAACATCGGCAAGGTGGCCTCCTACATCCGCTCCAAGAAGGGCAGCCTGCAGACCATCGTCATCTCGCTCAAGGAGGAGTTCTACGGTTGCGCGGACGCCCTCATCGGCATCTGCTCCGAGGTGCCGCCGCCGATCTTATCCATACTATATCCAGTTTATAGGAGAGCTCGTGCTTCGTTTTATTTTATACACCTAATGCGTTTTCATGCTTATTATTCAACCTTGATTTTAAGTCACGTTTACTCGATGCAAATTATTTCTATTTGGGAGAAACAAAATCTAACCTTCATATATAAAAATTTCCACATAAAAAAAACTATTTTTATTATTTTTATACATTTATTCTATACGGATATATTTTTTATAATGTATAATTTTATGTGCATTCCTTTATTTGTCTTGCATGTTCATTTACTATTTGCCTACCTATCGGCAGAGATAAAAATTATAATTTTTGATAGTAAAAAGATATAATTTTGGATAATAAAAAGATATAAAATGGTTAACTGCCATATCACACCTGTGTACATAATATATGCATGGGCTATGCCGTCTTACTATTTTAAGTACTACATTTTAAATCTTCCAAATATTACATAGAATAAAACTTAATTTTATATCTTTTATACACTTCAATTTTATATTTTTTTAATGAAGTGGAAATTCTTTTTTACAGCCGGCGGATTGTCTGGTCAGCGACGTGTACACGCTAAGCCTGGAGCAGTACGATGACTGAACTGAGAATTATTCCGCCACTTTATCGCTAATTAATATTTAAGATATGACTTAAGATGCTGTTTTATTTCAACACCCAAGCTAACCAATTTAGTAAAGCAGCAATTTCCACAGTGGGCTCTATGAAAAGTTAATCATTACTACTACAGTGTTAAATATAGGTTGATACGCGGGACATTGACATACAAATATGGATCTCGTATATCAAGTTCCGTATTTTTTTAAATCTACGTAACACAATGTGGTACTTTATTTCGTAACGTCACTTTAGTTTATTAATGTCGATTTCCCGTGTATCATCGTATATTTAACAAACTGTAGTTTGTCAAATTTTCAATTAAGTAATTTTGGTCGAATGTTAAATAGATTTCATTCACTCATCATCATCATCATCCCGCCCTTATCCCACCTAGATGGGATTAGCACAACATAGTAGTAGATTTTTTTACGACCCTCCTGACGTCACGTTGAAAACAAACACCCGGATCCAGAAAAATCATCTGTGGGTTACACAAAATATTTGTCCCAGGTGGGAATCGAAACCATGACACCCAGCACTGAAGCCAATAGCTTAGCAACTGCACCTCCCAATGTTCATAGGCTGTGCACTTAACACCAGTGAACTGCCAGTTAAATTGCCACTTTCTAACAAAAATAAAATATTCATAATTTCAGTCTTTCAGTGTACAAAACACTGCGACATATAGGTTTCTCCCACAGTCTGATACGAAACACGGTCCTGAACTATTAATCCACAGGTTGTCACTTTATCAAGAGGGCAGTAGATCAATGTTACGATTTTATTTGTTATTACTTCCAAAATATGAAGGTTTCCTCATGATATTTTCCTTCACCACTGAGCATGTGATAATCAGCAGTTAACAATTTCATTGGTAGTATAGTAATGATAGTGAGTTTTTTATTGAATTAAATGCAAGTGCTCGGACACTGAGCTACCACCGCTGAACAATATATGTAATACATAAAACTAAAGTTGATTTTGTTAGTAAAATTCAATTAGATTCAAAGCAACTGATTTTGACGAGTTTACCTACTCCATGGACTGTATTTAGTGATAGTCAATAGTTATAGAATAATTTAAAACAGTTGCATAATTTTGCTACATACCTAAGAGCATTGTCCCAGATAAAGATATAATCAGGTTTCCTAATTATTTTAATTTTGAAATAAAACTTGTTTATGCATTTTTCATATTTAATTATTGTTTTGATTCCCAACATTAATCATGAGACAGGATGAGATGTACTTATATTATATGAAAAATCTTGCTTACTATTATTTATAATTCTTATCTATTTAATGAATTGGAGCTCCAATATTGTGATAATTTATGGTCTTCAGCTTTTAAAATATTTATAACTTTAGCAATTGCATGCACATAATTAAAACATTGTTTTATCCATTAAAACCTAATTGCAAAAATTGGGACAAATAAGAAAGAAAAATCCCAAAAATTGTTTAATTGGTAATTTTTAAATTTTACAACATAAATTGCATAATGTTAAAAAATAAATATTGTGTAATTTTGATGAAAAATTCTGCTTAAAGCAGCTTTAGTCAAGTAAATAATTATGGAAATAAAAAAAACATTTAAGAAATAATATTTCTTTACTTATGTATACACAAATAATGGAGTGTCCTTGATCAACAAACATACTTAACACTATCCATGTAGCAAATAAATTGAAATTATCACATAAAATGTTATGTAACATAGCCTATAGAGTGCACTGCACTGTGCATTTTATGACATACTGTCAATGAGTGAAGCACGCATGGTTGATGTGATTGCTGTCGGTTTAGCGTCATTCAGTTTGAAAACACTCTCAATTACGGAAATTTCTGTTGAGGTGGTGTCCATACCACAAAAAGCACTCCAGTCATTGACAACCATTCCTGCTGCCACCACTTCACTGCCCCTGTTCACTGTGCCGGCCACAAGTGGTACTTGCAGTAAAGATGACAGCTCATCTTGGTCCTGTATTGTGGTTTTAGGATGGACTAAGCCACCTCTGTTGCTTAGTGCGATGTAAGAGCCGACGAGGACGTTCCCTGCGACTGTCTGTCGGAATACTTCTACGTTAAGTGTGTCTGCCAGAATTTCTTCAGTGTCGCGGTCAAGATCTGGATGCACTAGAGCTACGTAATCATTGCACGCTATTACATTTCCAAGGGCGCTGAGTCTCTCCTCTACCCGTTGCACTTTGACGCTGTCTGGTAGACTGTTGCGGATGTGTTGAAGTTCCGTGTCGGTGGTGGAAGACGGCACCAGCAGGCCGTTCTTATTGGCTACGGTCATACGGCCGATGATACGGCATCCCGCGATACTTACATGCACAACAGGCACCGCATCCGCCAATTCAGCTTCGAACACGCTGTAGAAGTTTTCTGAGCCGCCGATCGCGACCATACAATATGAATTTGTTAATTTACTGAACACTCCCACTTCATTATTATTTTCGAATTGAACGCGGACCGCCATGCCTGTTGGGTTTGTTTGTATCCACCGATGAGTTTTGAAAAATTTCACAAGACTGCTTAAGCTTCACGTGGAGAAGGAATAAAAACAGTTTATATATGTCAGTTTTGGCAGTTTTTATGTCAAGACTAGTAACGCCATATTGCGCAATCAGCTGCGATCACATTAAATATTTTCCCTATTTTCAATTTAAATATGCTAAAAATTAATTAATTGATTTCTAACTTTTTAAGTGGTAATTGGAATTGAGTATAAAATTTGGAGAATACATACGCTGACATGAAGTACCATATATTTTTGTGTATTTTCATTATGGAATAACACACAATATATGCGTACACAAATGTCTTTAACAGTGACAATCATGACAATTATTTTGTAATCTATTTGCTTTATTAAACGTTTAGCCCAAAATTAAACTGAGCCCCAGAAAAATGAATAATGAGTAAAATTTTCACGTTAAATAATTTAATTGAAAACAGGAGCACGTCAAGATTTTCAAAGGATGCGATACCAAATTTGAGACGTGCAATCGTAGCTCAAACTGAATATCAACTAAATATTCAGCAAGCTTTACAAAACGTTAACTTCAAGTTTCACAGACGATGCAGTTACAGCAATTTAATAAGAGTAACGTTCTTCTTTAATCTGCTGCAATTTTTTTATATACCTATATAGAGTGAATGAAGTAAAAGTGAGGAAAGGGATCAAAAAGTGATACATATAATTAGATTCACGAAACGTTCAGTAAATATGGCCTTAAAACACTTCTAGGGCACTTAAAATTTTAATGCTCTCTATGATATATTTAAAGTGTATTTATTTCTGTTCTTGAGGATCGTGGTTCCATATTCAAAAAGCATGTTCACCGGAAAAGAATGAACAACAAGAGAGAGAGAAAGAGATAAATAATATTAGTGATAAGATAGGTGAACTAAAGTTGCAACGAATATTCATCTGTTTGGTATCGGGCCTAATCTGTTACTTTTATCCTATACAGCCGAATATAGATTCTTATTTGAGATGTTCTGTTGAAGTCAAATGTTTAGTAAAATAAAAACCCTATAATGTAGCCACGGAAAATTAATAACTCAGTTATTAAAAAAAGAGATTTTAAATGGCGGTGATTGATAGCTATACCTATGATATGCAAATAATTTTTTTTTGCATTAAATTCCGTTCAAAATTTTAATTGTATGACGCCGGCCTTAAAAGCTAATATGTATAATTTAACACTAGGTCAGTAAGTCAAATGACAAGTTGATATTAAAGAAGTACTATGGACTTGATAGTAGACCTTTACAGCAATAAACTAGAATATTTCTGATATTTAAATTTTTATGTTGCATTAAAATTTGTAGAAAAAAAGGCGAAAAGTTGTTCGCCGCAGCGGTAATCGAAGCTTCCTCTTCCGGATTCACGCCCATAGGCTTTCAATAGATACCCTTTCTCTTGGGAGTGGCAGGATACTGCCCAATATGCTTCCTAAAATTAACAAAAAAAAATAGAATAATTTTACACTTTACAATTATCGTAAAATGGAAAATTATAAGTATATCCACGTGAAGTTCTTGATTTTTATTGCTTAGTTTGTAAGACCATGGAGAGCCGTGATATCTCAGTGTCCGGGCGCTCGCCTTTATTTCAATATATACTCGAGCAACCTGAGTTCGATCCCCGGTGCCGGCACCAATGAAGTTTTTAACTTTAAGTGCTGAATTATCACGTGCTCCGCGGTGAAGGAAAACATCGTGAGGAAACCTGCATATTTTCGAAATAATAACAAAAAAAAAATGTATTTCAAAATATGTGAAGTCCGCCAATCCGCAGTGGGGCCGCGTGGTGGACTATGCCCTGATACCCTCTGTATACTTTTGTAAGACCATCATTTTAAAAGTCATAATCGATTACTATTCGTTGGACTATGCACAATTTAACTTTAACAGAAATGTATGATATGTATTTGTAACAGCACATAAAAAACCCGCAGCGCGATAGCAGATGAGCGCGAGTGGGACTCCTATTCTATGCAAAAAAGCTATAAGTAGATTAGAACAAATTAAGAAACTATCGTATAGATACAAGTCTCCGCCTTGTGACGGCCGAATACTTTTGTCTAATATTCGACTATTCGGCCGGGATGACCGCAGAATATTTGGTGTTCGTGTGGCCGAATATACTATTACTTACAAGTCTAAAAAGAACATTGCTTAAGTATATTTAAGCTTTTTTTTCAGCCTTCTCTGTGTAATAGAGATCTACTGTGATCTGAAATAAATATAGAATCCAAAGTATTTAAGAAAAGTTTTATTAATCAAAATTAAAATATGTAGAAAAAGTACGAAAAGATTGTCGCCGCTGTGGGAATCGAACCCACGTCTTCGGCATTCGCTGACTGACGCTCTAGCCACTGTGCTAAACGACTGATTGCCACACCGACGAAAATCTTAACGTCTTTTTCTACATAGTTTCTTTCTTAATCATAGTTATCATTCTTAATCATAGTTTATTTCATAAATTAATATACATTTATAAATATCTTTCCGCGCTGTTGCCAGGAATGTAATGTTGCTGAGGGCCAAACGTTTTTGATTTTCTGGGGCTACGGCAGATCTGACAGCAGGATAACAATAATGTCCGCGTCCAGCAGTACCTCCATTCACGCGCCGGTATGACCAATTTTCTTAACTGACATATGGGATACATGAACTATCTCTTTAGAATTTTAACGCACTAGAATTAATTCCTTGAAGGATAAAAAGCACCATCTGAATGATATATTAACTGTTAGCAGACGGAACCCTACCTTTATTTTAAGATTCTAAGAAATGTTACACATTAGAATATGAGATAAGAGGGTGGTTTCAGTTGCATATGGTAGATCGAACCCTATAATAATGAAGCGTCATGAGGAATTTCCAATTATTACGGATCTTGACAAAGTTAACAACCTCAGATCGGTCTAAAATATAATAGAACTGTAACTTTATAAATATAAACATATAAAATAAGAACTAAACTTATAATAAAAAGTGTGCATTATTATGTCATGTAATTTGGCGCAGCAAAATTCACAAGTCAATAAACAGGAACTGCGGTCCACGGGCCAGCAGACCGATATCAGCTGCCAGTATTCTGCATTTTCTTCTCCAGGTAATTGAACATGATTTGTTGAAATCATTCATTTCTTTTGTATTGAGTATTAGTTGTAGTTAAAGTCAACCTTAATGGGAATGACTTAACACAGAATTGAGCTGGGTATACCGCAATTTAAGTTTAATTCACGCCCACCAAAAATTAAAGAATAAATTGACGGTTGCTCATTTTTATTGTGTGTGAAATAAAGACTTACTTCAGTTTAGTCTGATTATAGGCTGCGAATGCGAACGCGTGTTTAATTTTAAAAATGAATCCGAAATCGTCTGTAAAATTAACCGTGATTGAAGTTCGCAAGTCATATAATTAAGTTTTCATTGTCACTCAATGCGGGGAAATAATTAGCAGTGCCCGAGGTAGAAGACCAGCGGGTTCTGCGCGAGCGCATTGCGGATTCGCTGACGTACCCGCCCTCGCCGCCATTGCAGCCCGCCGCGCCCGCCGCGCGCTCCGCCTCAATTTTGGGCTCCGTCTGCGCGTTGCTGCTCAGGAAACAGGTCTTTTGGCCGTTTCCACGCACAGATCAAAACAGCCAGCCTATTTTCTTTTAGTCTATTCATCGATCGAAGATATCCCACATTGGGACATATTTTTACGAATCCATTTTCCATCATTTACGAATGCTGCTTTAGTTACTTTTTTTCCATTAATTGTTCCTTTGTTTTGGAAATTAGAAACTTTATAGCGTTAGTATTTTAAACCGTTACGTATACCGTTACGTAGTTGTGCTGGGCGGAAGTGCACTTAATGAATATAATCATATTAAACTTTTTCGGTTTTGCCTGGAACAATGGTCACTTCGTTGGTGATGCGTTTGGATAAAAGTCACAATCACGGACCGTTCTATTTGGCGAGGTTCAGGCTAAGCAAGCCCGTCGGAACTCAACCAGCTCAACCAGCCCAAAAAAAAACCGTTCTATTTCGATTGAAGAAGATTAAATTCCACGCCACGGTGGTTCTTTTACCACCGTGTCGTAGACAGTTTACCTTATGTTAAATGAATACTACCGTTCATGAATATCGACAATATCGGTTGACTGACTCACTAAATATAAATAATAAAAATTCTACGTTGATAGTGTGTGAGGATTAGTACTTCTCAGGATGTAATAACAGAGGCAAAGCTTTTGTCTTATAAAAATAAATTATTTATAAAAGAACTGCCAGATGGGAACACCACATAATGGATTATATGATGAAAACCCACTTTTGATAAAATTTTGAGAACACCAAACGATACGAGCATACGCAAATGGCTGTATTCCTTGAGTTTGTCAGTTGTTTCCGAAACTACAAAGTTTAGCTTCAAGTGGCTTTTAGAAGCATGTGTTCAGTCAATGTTTGGTGGTCGGTCAGGGCTCGTCCGGAACGGGTAAGGCGTGCGACGCGAGCCGCAGCTGGCAATCGGCGAGCATCTGCCGCATCTGCTTCGGCGGGGAGTCCAGGGAGCGGCTTGCGCGTCCGTGCAGCTGCCGCGGCACCGTCGCCGCCGTCCACCGCTCCTGCCTCGAGCGTTGGCTCCTCCAGGCGGCGACGTCGCACTGCGAGCTCTGCCGCCACCACTACGTCGTCACCAGGACCCACAAGTTGGCCCCGATCCTTTTAATTCGCTTAGCCGTTAATGTTCAGCTAATGTCTCGTTCGCTTTTATTTTTGCTTCTTCATTATCAAGACCTATTCCCCAATTGCCTATACTTGTTCGTAAGTACTATATGTACCGTATATGAAATGCCCGTGCATACGTGCGCATCAAAGTTTTGTGTTATATAGTTGAGTTCTTGTTACAATGTTTTTTCAGTAATAATTAACATCAGCAAACGGTATTTTATAACTTGTTATTAAGAAGCGGCTTGTTGTAGAAGTAAGAGCGACAGACATCAGTACAACAGTCTGCCAGGAAGTGCGCATTCACGCGCAGGTGGGGCTGGTGGCGGGCGGTGGTGGCGTGGGCGCAGGCCGGCGGGGCGCGCGCCCTGCTGGCGGACGCGAGTCGGGGCGGAGCCCTGTTCGCGGCGGCGCTGCTGGGCACGGCGCGGGCGCTGCGCGCCTGCGACTGCGCCCTGCAGGCGGGCGCACGCCGAGGGGGCGCGGCGGCTCTCGCGGCGAACGTCTTCTCCTCGCTGCTCATCGGTGTAGTCGGTATGCGCATTTCGTTCCGTACAAACCCTACTGTGCTTAAATACCATAGAGCGTACTGTATTCTATTGCAGAATTCTTGTAACACCTTGTAACTTGTAACTTTCTTTCATTGTAATTCTTGTAACACCAAATTATCAGATCTCACGCCTATATATTATGCCCTTCCCGTTCTATTTCTTTAAATTGACTTGATTTGAAGTTTTATCGTGATATGAAGTTCTTACTAAGGATTTCTACGATAAGAACGTATGTTGGACTTTTCGGTTTTTGAACTAAAACTTCGAGTACAGTGCGGGAATCGTCGCTAGTCAAATAGACAATTATATTACTTTGGAATTAAATAAAGTTGATACTTAGAAGTGGTCCAGTAGGACGTACGAATTAGAAGTTTTCTCGCGTTTTGGACTAAATAAACTCGGTTGATGAACGTGGATGGATATAGCCACTTCTGTCTAGTCCATCGAGATTTCTTGTCTTATTTTTTAGTCTTCACCAACACTCGTGTTGATCATGGTAATAATAGAATTGGCGATTAATCGGCAGGCGCTTTGAACGGCCTGCTGACTACTTGGCTCCTGCTGAAGATCCAAGAGCACCAGGCGGCGTGGCGGGCCTGGCGCGACAGCAGCCTGCACGTGCGCGTGGCCTTGCCGGACCCCACGCCCGCGCCCTCCGCCGCCCCCTCCGCCGCGCCCTCCTCCCACGCCCCCAACGCCCCGCACGCCCCCCACGCCCCGCACGCCCCCCACAACGCGCCCCGCACCCTCGACAGGGCCACGAACCCGGACCCCTGCGCGCTCCCCCCGCCCGTCGCCAGCTCCCCCTAGTACAGTATAGTCGTACAACGATCGGCGATGGCCCTCACTACTCTCTATTTCGTTGTGGCCGCCTGTTCCTTCTTTCTCATATTGTTAGCTATCGTTAAGACTGTAAACTAAAGGAGAAACGCCGATGGAAACTCACGTAGTATGTACAAAATAAAACGATCGTACGGTTAAATTGTTAATCATATTTATTTCATTTATAATCACATAAATTAAAGTATTTAATAACATAATAATCCTAGTAACATCATAGTCAATTTTATAAAATCAGCAAGCGATTATTTCAAGCCGCTAGGCGCTAACATTAATGTCAAGTTGACAAGTGAGAAATAAAAAAGAATAGAAACGAGAGTAAACGGTTAAGTTAATGTTAGAACATCGTAAACGTAGACGCAAAAGAGGCACGGATACAACTTGCTTATGTAGCGAAATAAGTGAAGGCGATCCCGCTCGGCGCGTTCGGATATTGTCGTTGGGACAATAGCGAGAAAGAAAGGGTAGACTATACACTGCGCGTGACCTACATTAACATCGCTCGAAATGACAACGTTAGTTAGTGGGACTTACGAACTAGTTTACGTTTGTATATTATATAATTATAAAAAAAAATCACATACATCTCGATTAGATTAGAATAAATAGGAGGACTGTTGCGAGACAGCGCTCGGAGTGGCGGCGAGTTGGGCGGACTCTGGCGATCTGACAGCTTTTTGCGCCGATGGTCTTTGGGCGAGTTCGGTGACGGGACCGCGTTCGACTGCCGCTGGCTGAGGCCTGGACCCTCAGGCCCAGGGTCCAAGGCCTAGAGGCGGCCTAGTGCTCGTCCTTGAAGCGGCGGTAGATGGACTGCACGTACGTGAACACGCACTTCCAGTCCGGCTTCCGCATGGCGACCATGTCGTCCACGTCCAGCAACGGGTAGATGCCCGCCTTCTCTCTGCGCAAGAACAAGAAACGTGAGCCTCTGTTGTTTGGCAGTGGATGATACGTGGGACGTGGATAACAATAGTCAGTCGACGCCTCGCTGATGATTTCTAGTGGTCAACCTCTAAAAGCAATGAGAGCTTTGATATCTTTGATAAGTACACAGCGTTTTCATTATACAGAATCCCGAAATGAAGCATTTACGATAAGATCATATTATTAAACATTGGTTCTCCGGAACAATTCATCTCAACCAGGTACAAGACTCAAAAGATCATTCTATAATCTATCAGTTTTATTTGTTATTAGAGACAAGACGGATACAGGGATATGCACAAGCAACATCGAAAACGTAATAAAACTCTTACTACGTTCAAGTTCAGACAAGGAGTATATATGGAAATAGCAACAATAAATCTATAAAATTTCTAATGTTGGAAATTTTTCCCCTTTTATTTTAAGTGGTTGCAAACGAGCAAGTCAGGTCTAATATGCAACTTTATGACCAGTGATAACCGCCTATGGATAGTTGAAACAGTCTGCTGGGTCCTGTGGGCTGGATTTGCCATTCTAATCGTATAAGAGGATGAGCCTTCGGTTAACTCATTTTTCAGACGAAACGTAAAAGTACTTATTATTTCTGCTTTCCGCTATCACTTCTCTCACTCACTTATGGTCGCTCGAGCTCAGCAGTCTACCACAGCAAATGTAAGTTCAAGGATGCCCTTCCTCGGTGAACTCCTGCAAGTCTTAGACAAAAAAGAGAAAAAGTGTCTCACTCGGCAATTTTGAAGGCGAGCGTGAAGTTGTGTCGGCGCTTCTCTGGCGTCAGGTCGCGGTAGTCGAACGCGTCGGGCACGAAGTGGTGCAGCAGCGCGCAGAACGCCAGCCCGTCCGCCCAGCTCGTCGAGAAGTTCTCCAGCTTTACATTCTGCGAGGCACAAGCGAACGGCTGTCAGCCACCGCAACATCGGAGCGATATTCGATACTCGCTGCCCCTTAAAGCACTCTCATCGACTTACCAGAAATCGATTTGTATTTTACCAAGGAAGCTTTGTATTTTATTAATGAAGCTCCCGAATGAGAAATAAATGTTTTATAATCGTTTCCCAATCGATAATGTTTATAATTTTGTTTGTATATGTTTATTATTTTTAAGACTAGCAAGACAATTTAAGATTGCCTTTGTAATGTGTGAATATATTTTGTGTGGCAACATTGAATTAGCACTGGTGCAAAAGTACCGGAGTAACGTCAGTAACAGAAAGTTTTTATAAATTTCTAATAACTATAAGGGCAGTTCATCTTTGTAATAAATCAACTCTAATCGAAACCATTGGAAGTATTAACCTAAATACTTTTTAACATCAATATATGAATACATTTTATACGCCTCTGCGGTTGTCGCAGGTTAGAGGCTACAGAAAAAAACATCCATGCACTGTACAGTATAAAACCATTATTTTTGTTATTCTATCACATTTTTAGAGTTAGTTTTCACTCTGCAAACATCTTGTTCCATTATTTTCAAACCACATAATCAAGGTTACAATCACGCGATAGTTCGCCATCTGATTCTATTTGACGTTTTGATGTCGATGAAAACGAGTTATACGGGGCCAAAGCAATACGATTTGGTCGTGTGATGAACATGAGGTATATAATATAGTCTGTATAATGTCCAATATATATACAGGAGGTATAAGAAGGTAGCACAGCCATAAAAAGCGTAAGAAGCGTGATTCTGTATGAGCGTTGTGAGGTGGCGGTGTTAAGTGCGTGCAACGCGGGTGGGAGGTGGCACGCCCCCCGCAGGCCCTGCCACAATCTTGCAACCGTCGCACAACCCAACCTTGAACTGACTCATTCATTGTACATAAGTATCTACTCCAGCTTAAGCTCTAACTCTGACAGAGTTAATTTCATTTCTGAATTCAGATTCTAAGGGATACATTAATTCATAATAGATTTCAGCTTGTCCGTGCGGAATGAAATAGTGAGGTAAACTCATAAGTCGGTTCAATGTTACATAAAAATTGTGGTGATGAAGAAACAATCCCAATATGTAGGTTAACTGGTGAAATTTGGAAAAAAACTATTTAAATACCAAACCGGTGTAAATAAATTGCGTACTATTAGTGGGTTGTCACAGATTGCAAAAAAATATTGGGAAATAAAGGAATTGTCGGGCACAGAATATGGAAGGGTTGCGACGAAAGTACAAAGATTGGTTTTTACGTTGAGTGTGAATAGGGAATGTCAAGAGTGGGCCGCTGCGGGGCGTGTGCGGTGTGCAGTGTACCTCGTAGTCCCGGGTCTTGTCGCGACACCAGTGCAGCAACCGTTCTTTAATAGTGACGGCGCTGGCTTGCAGCGCGGGGTCGGTGAACTTGAAGTAGGGCTGCGACGGAGAGCCCGGGCTCTGCGGGCTCAGGGGCGAACTACAACCGGGGCTCAAGTTAGTCGCGGACGACGTCTCGACGCGCAACGGCCCCGCACACTAGCACGCTTTAGCGGCCCCGCTACCGACACGTTCCCAACTATCCCCACTGGCCAATGCAGTCAACCCGATGCTAGCAACTGAGACGCGAAAGTGGCGCGATTTCAATAACCAAACGCCCTAGAGTTGCCTATCCAATCATAATGCACATTCACTAAGGTTAACATCGCTATATGATCGTACGTTATTCCTTAATAGTCGCGATAGCCCAGTGTGTCGATCGTGCATAAACGTGATTAATGAGATGGCATGTAATAAGTAACCGAGCGGGCCGTTGGCATTGAATCGAGGTAAAAGATCGCGCGGCTAAAATCGCTAGTGTGTACTGGCCTATTAGTACGTGCGTTGACACATCCGAGTGCTTTGTTTCACGCGCTGTGCTGGTTATGGGCGGTGGACGAGGTCGCGGGTTATTGACAAGAATTAATGTCGTGCTAAACTCTCAAGTTCAACTAGATGCTAAGCGAGTTTATTTCAATGAGTTTTTTTTTGCACTATGAACGTTCCTGAATCGCAATGGTCGATGGGATTAAGAGCTTACAAAGCGCACGTATGTTGTATTCCAACGGTAGTTCGAACGCCGTGTAAGTGCTTAATGAAAGCGACTCTAGTGCTTCTGTATTTTTATAATGAAGCGACTAATAAATGTTAAATGAATGTCATAATATGAATATTTACTTGGTTTCCTTATTCGTATCCACAGTAACAGCTGCCAAAAATAAATAAATACGTTGCATTAAAATAATATATGAAGCGAGAAACGGTTGATTGACATATAAAGTATAAAGGTTCTTATATAATGTAATAAAATAATATGATATATCTGGTAGCATGAAAATACATAATGTTTCTTCGTTTCCTACGTAGTTTGTATCATTTTTAATCTGTAATAATCTGAAAAATGACAAGTGAAGTGTCAATTGAGCGCGAAGTTCGTTTAGTTAGGTACTTACTTGGGAGAGTTGATTGTGTTTTGTTTTTCGAGCTGACGGAATTTGGCGAATGGCGAAACGGGTTTCGGCGCCGCTCGTGTCACGCTCTCTATCACTGCGGGTGAAGGAAGCGGTCAAATGAAACAATCGGAGTCTGAAGCCGCCTACCAAGCTTAATAATCTAAAAAACACTTAATTGTATAAAAAGGTATTAAATTCTACATTTCATAAGAATTGTGTAACTAACGGCGACATCCGTCGCAACACGGTATTGTTAAAGAAACAAAAGCAAAAGCAAACCTTTTGAATTTTTGATGGTAGTGGTGCTGCTAACAGATTTCTCGGTTGAGTTCCTCCTTACGCTGGATGTTACTGTTGTTATCTCCTCTTCCTCTGCAAAGAAAGCAACGAAGGCCGTTGTAATGTAGGTGTTTTGTTAGGGGCGACGATCAATCGGGCAGTTTGGAAAACAATAGCAAAACGAGACGCAATACTTAAAGCTATTAGTGAACAAAAAACACGGTTACAGGGTACGGTGAAATGAGATCGGAGGGTTTAGCTCATATGTTTGTATGTACATCGAGTGGACGCGGGCGAAGAGAGCGGTCGCGAGGGGGTTCGGGGGTCGGGGGTTGTCGGGGGGTACATGCGACGCGACACAAGCAGGCGCCACACACACACGACTCACGCGCGTCTCGTCCCGCTCCTAACTAGTGGAATGTCGCGCTACGCGAGCGCCGAGACCAGGTCCTCGAACGCGTCGTCGGCGTTGCTCTCGTCCAGCAGCTGCAGCTCGGCCACCGTGCCCATGGTGCGGCTGCGGCCCAGCGCGAAGCCGCCCTGCGCCCTGCCGCCCATTCCGCCCATTCGGTCCGCCGCGCCCGCCCGCCCCGTGAAGTACGCCTCCACCGTGCGTCGTTTGTCGGGCAGCTGTTCGCGTGCAATGCCGCCCTCGAACAGCTTCGGCGCCGCCAGCAGGTGCATGGACTTAGTGCGGCCGACGACGCGGCGCGCGGAGGGGCGCGGGCTCGAGCCCCGGCTGCCGGAGCCGCTGGAGGCCGAGCGGACGCTGTCGCCGTCGGCGGGCGAGGCGCGCGAGGCGGGCGAGGGCGGGGCGCCGAGGCGGCCCAGTTTGGCGGCAGGCGCGGCGGGCGCGGGGGGCGGGGCGAGGCGGTCGAGCGCGGCGCGCAGCCCGTCCGCGGCGCGCGTGCGCACGCCCGCCGTGATGGTGGCGGCGCCGCGCACCGGGCCGCGCATCACGCGCGTCTCCACGCTGCCGTGCTCCGTGGTGCCCTCGTCCAGGTCCAAGCCGGTCGCGGCGCCGTTTTGATACACGGGTGCGGTCTTGTTCGTGGCCGGGCTCGGCGGGCCGACGCGCGCGGGCATCGCGTATTCATAGTTATTCACCTCGTTCATCACCACGTCCGGCAGGTAATCAACTTTGTGAGCTTTCGCTTTCTCTATGTCCGGCGTCTGCTGGAGTGGGACGAACGAGGCCGTCACGTTAGGGGGAGTGTAGTCCACTATGGTGTAGGTGGGAAGCGGCGCGGGTGGTGCGGGGGGCTTCCGGTCGCCGGGTTCGCAGTGCCCATTTGTCATCGACCCGCGCCGACTCTTTTCGCGGATTTGCCGCTCATAAAACTCTATTTGCAACTTTTGAGCGTCTATTGGCTCCGGAAATGGTGCTGGACTGCGATGCGAATTTGTCTCGTGTATCTTTTTCACGAGTTCCGGAGCCGACAATTCATTTTGACTGGGGATCGCTTTGATAGGATAACTCTGCGTCGGTGGAGACATTGCGTGAGTCGGTGGCGTGGGCGGGTGGTAGCTGTAAAGTTTGGGCGGTGGGGCGGAGTACGTCTCCAACTTATCGCTTTGGAACTTGGACGCGACTTGACCGACAGTTTTTCTGGGTTTCTCACTATCGGTTGCCCATGGAACTCTAGGAACGGGGGGACTAGGGACGAAAGATTTTGGCATAAATGCATATTCGTGTATATTGTCCGTCGTCGGTGACTTTATGATGTTCGATGATGGAGGACTCCACACGTTTGGGGCTGCTGAGGTGGGCGAGGTGATCTTTTTCAGAGGCTTAAACGCGGACATCGGAGCGTGAGAGAACTGGTTGACCGGAATTGGCTTCGCAATGAACGGTTTCACTACGCTTGGCTGTGATACGTGGGTTGGAGTGGGCGGTTCCCTGCGCTGCACCCACGGTGGTCTATTTGTGTCCTTTGTTATGTCCGAGAGGAATGTCCGAGGGCGCGTGTTATGTTGCTCGTCAGAGACCCAGCTTTTCTTGGCCGAGTTGGCGCTGGCGGACCTGCCCTGCTCCCCGCTGCGCTCACGGCTCTCAAACGCGTTCTTAATGTTGCCGAACCTACTGCTCCAATTGGCTAGCCCACCGACCGGGGTGCGTTCATTCTCCTGATTCTTTTGCATGAAGGCTAGGAATTTGCGATCGTTCTCCGTCTTTGCTTGGAACTCCGGCACGGTGGGAGCGCGGCGATCGTCATCTTCCAAACTGTCCACCCGATAACCCCCCAGGGGTTTTCCAATGTCTATGGTGTTCGCTCGTTTCATGCGAGCGCGCTTGCTGTTGTTGAAACGATTCAAAGGCTTGGACATTTCGTCTGTAGGCGGTGCGGCAAAATTGTATGTCGGAGGGAGGGGGCGGTACAGGGACGCGCGCTTCGGTTCCTCCGTCTCTGGCGATTTCTGGGTAGCGAAGGGAGGGCGACGCACCGGTGCTCTCTTTAGCGGGGGCGGGGGACTATTCTCGACCTTCGAGTCAAACTTGTTAGCGATTGCCGCGATGCCGCTCCTGGACTCGGGCCAGCGGTGCGCGGGCTCGGTCTGAGCGGCGTCGGCTATCGAATGCCTAAAGAAGTCGGGTTTCCGCGTCGGCGGAGCTCGCCTCTCGACGTGGCTGAGCCGCGTCGCGTCTATGGTGGCCGTGTGGGCGGCGGGCGGCGGCCGGCTGCGGGCCGAGACGGCCACGTGCGCGTCCGCCCTACCGGGTGCCTCGTCCGCGGCGGCGCGGGGCGCGGGCTCTGCGGGGGGAGGGGGCGACGGCGGGTCGGAGATGATCCGGCGCGCCTCCTCGAGGTCTCGGTGCGTGACGGCGACAGTGTGGCGGGCGGCGCGGCTGCGGCGGCGCGGCCGGCGGCGGCACCCGTCGAGGCGGTCGGCCGCGTCGAGGGCGTCCTCCAGTCTCTCGGCGAGGCTGAGGAGGGCCTGCGCCTGCGGGTGGCGGCAGGGCGGCGCCAGCGCGGCGCGCAACCGGCCGAGGGCGCGCCTCACGTCCGCCACCACGGCGGCGCCGGCCCCCGCCAGCACGCCCCCCTCGCCGCCCGCCCCGCCACCCCCCCCCCGCCCCGCTCGCCACCACGCCCGCCGCCCCCAGCAGGTCCTGCAGGAGTGGCAACAGCAGGGACTCACCGCGTGCCTCGCTGTCGTCTCCCGCCGCTGCGAGCGCCTCCGTCACCGCACTCGTGCATGCTGCAATATACACCAACCTTGAGCCTTACTTTGCTAGACGCATTATTACGATCTAGTAAGTCGTACAAGTGGACTATACTTTATTATTACCAAGTAAGGACACCGTCGTTTAACATTTCATTCAATATTGCTTCGGCATGTAGCGAGCCACAAATGATTTATTATTATCATACACTAGTAATTACAACCAGAAAATTTATTTTTTAAACTATTGACACTAACCTTCCTGCTCGGCCATCAGGGTGCGAATGCGCGCGCGCAGTCGACGTCTCTGCTCGTAATCGCTGCACTCCTCCAACTAAAATAACATGCATCCCGAATTTTAAGCACCCGAATAATAATTTGTCCATACGAAAACGGAACTAAGATCGTCAACTTTCTTAAAACAGATGAACCTCATATTTAACATCATATAATTAACAATTACTTATTAGCTTTTAGTAATTGATGTTTTATTATTGCACCTGCCTAAAGATCTCAACCGCACCATAGGTTGACTGGCAGAGAATGCCTAAAGGCATTAAGTCCGCATATTGTGTTTTGTATTAAAGGAAATGCAATAAAGACTACTAAATAAATAAATGTTTTCGAAGAATATATTATAACTCTATTATTAAGCAAATCATATTCGTATATTAACACTAAGGCCGATTTAAGTAATACAATTAAAATTTTTAAATAAAAATAAAATATATTTTTAATTGCTAAAAAGCAGTTTACATAACTTGATATAAAAAATTTTGGTCAACTGTAAAAAAGCTGGTGGGAATTATTAAAAAAAAGAAACAAGTTTACGATATGCGGTATAAAAAGGATTAAAAACATTTCGTATTCAAACTACCACTTACGGTAAAAGCGCCTAACATGTCGACAGAAGTAAATTAAAGACTTGTATTCGTGAAATGTCTGCTGACTTAACGTGTTGCGTGCTGTCGCGCCGTCAGCTAACTGCGACTCGGAAACACTGTTGTCAAAGCTTCCATACAATTGATACGTTTTGAGGGATGTGAAAATGATTTTATCGAGCAAACTTATTGCTCACTAATTTATATTTTTCCATGCCAGTACGATTGTACCGTCAGGACAGCTTAATTATGGATAAGAAACTCATTTTAATACAGAGCTTGTGATGTAAGCGAGGGGAAGGGGTGATACATTTATTTAGAAAACGGTTTATTAACATTCGTAGGAAAATGTTGAAGTTATTAGTTATTTATTACCTAATTTCATTCTTTGGTCGATAAGTTATTTTTTAGAGCAAAACTGCTCTAAAAATTACATGGATAATTTAATATTTTAGATTGCTTTTACAACCTCGGTATGCTTGTGGTTGTGGTTTCGAACTAAAATTAATGAGAGCTATTTATAGGTTTTCCGAGCTGTATGTATGTGTATTTGTGGTTGATTCTTCTTCTTTTTTTAAGCAACCATATAGAAATAATATGTTCTATGTCAATTCCACAACCGAGACGAATATGATGACATCTCATTTGTTCAAATCCAAAGGCTGCGACTACTCACTACGTATGAATTAGAAGTACGAACGTACGCTCGTAAAACATTACCCTTTTTCGGCAGTCGGGTAAAGTGGATGATAATGTTTGTAATACAGTATTTAACAATAAAAATTGCGTCCCAAAGTTACGCGTTACCTAAGGGAAATCGATAAGGCGACTACGCGACTTCACTATTGGCCAAAAAACATCGTTGACACAAAAACGGAGCTCCCTCGCACCGGAAACGGTCAGTGAGCAGAAGGCGGAACCAATTGTGCTCTCTATTTTACAAATACACCTGTACACTAGCGTAGTTGGAATCCAACCCATGAACCGTTCATCTGGTTATAAAATCATTCAATTGGGAACAATTAAACAATATAGATCATAAACTACGGTTTCATACATGTTTATGTTACATGTTTTATCGGCGACCGATATTACGGCAGTAATTGTACATAATTCTTATTGCATTGTAAATTATCTTTATTTAATGCTTTAAAGGTTACACAATTTATGTATGTACGTATTTAAGAAATAATTCTGGATGTAAAATAACAATTCTGTCCGAAAACTATAGATATAAAAGATAAAAATTATTAGTCCGATTGCCGTTAGAAATAACGAATCGAGCTTTTGAAGTACCTTTTCATATTTTGACTGTATTAGAATAATAAAATATGTCATATGTGACAACTTTCATACTCCCCAACAGTCTGCATCGGTTTGAATAAACGTTAAAGGCACTGGTGGCGTAGTGGTCGAGATCGTCTTGTTATGTTGCGGGTTCGATTCCAACGGTTTGTTAGCTAATTCTTCTTGAGGAAATCCGTGTAAAATTCTATCTGACATGTATGAATCGGTGTATGGCAAACGGTTCGCCATTCGTCTCGATTTTCGACAAAATACCTACTGCTCTTCGGTTAAGGACGTGAGAGCTATAATGTATGTAAATCCTGTGTGTTTATTCCTTAAAAACGGCTGGACCTATTTGGATGAAATTTTCGAGAAATCTTCATGTTAGCTCAGCGAATGATCCTGTGAAGTTTATTAGCAATTGGATCAATGGGTTTTTTTATTATGATAGATCTACTATCGTGCGATGCCGCGACGGATAGCTAGTATGTATTAATGTGAGAGACGGGATCTTTTATTTTCAAGACCCACAGCGTTGGCACCGACGTTCTTACATATTTTTATCTAGAAGCCATGTTCGCGTTCCAGTCAAGTTTCAAGTGCACAACAGTTTTGTTTTTATAAAATTAAACAAAACAATAAAAACCTTCGTTAAACCCAGCTAATTGTCTTGCGTAGACATAAGAAGAAACAAAATTGCTGGTAAACTAGTCGGCAACGGCGGCCACGTGTCTCCATTTGGAATTTGAGACAGATTAAAAATAAAAACTCGGTGCACGGTTCGAAGTGGAACATGTTTCGAGTTCCCGCCGTTCACCGTAAAAGTCTCGTGCAATGCATTGTCCCTGTTTAGCTGGTTCCAACTGGTACTACCGTTGCAAATCGTTTTTTGTCCAATCGTCGATTAAAATTAAACGGGCAACTCGGAGTCACGAGGTAGTCAAGGACGATATATAAATGTAACGATCCTAATCGGCTAAGTTTACGGTACACTATTTGCTTCTCATGTTGATCGTTGATTAAAACGATTTATATAGGTTAATAGGGAATACGAGACACACCACATCGTTAGTTTTAAACCTGTTTATGTATAGTTAAAAGAAGTACACTAAATTTAGACACATGATGGCTTTATCGTGGAAACGATGACTTCAATTGTCTAGTTTATAACAGGCCCGTGTCTGATCAAATTGTGCTAAGGTTTTGCGATTTATAAATTACTATCGGACCCGACAGACCTTGTCCTGTACATACGACATAAATTCGACGACAACTTAAAAAAAATGTAGTGGACCGAATTGTTAATCTCACCATTCTCGAATCGACCTGAAGTGGCACAAAAAATTTCATTAAAATCGGTCCAGCCGTTTAGGTATATAAAGATTGGTAATTCGATCGGGTTGTTATACTACATCACCTTTTTTTAAATCCAAACTAGTTTTTTCTGTGTGATCTTTTTTCATGCTAAAACATACAGTGATTTCGACCGTGAACCCGCGTTAGTACGGCCTAGCCGAACCAGCGCGCCTTTCTCAATGAACTTGTAAAACGTAGCATTACGTACCGCAATTATTGCTTATTAGCGCTGTATTGATGCCGACGCAGACGCGGCTAGCTATAAAATGCGTTTTTATTGTGTTTTAACTTTCTTTATTAGATGGCAACGTTTGCGTTTTTGATTAATAGGATTTTACGATCGCTCGCAAGGTTTACTTCGTTCAATACAAAATATGAATATGATAATTATATAATATATCTGTTGATAGTACTGATTCCACCTTCCCGTTTCAGTGCGATTTTCAGATTACTTTCTGTTGATTTTAACGCGAACCACGGTACATCTTTATTTACATATGTATACTTATATAATTCTTCTGTGCGTGTGTATGTCAACTGAACTCCTAAACGGCTGGATCGATTTTAATGAAATTTTGTGTGTCTCCAGGTCGATTTGAGAATGGCTAAGAATTCACATTTCGGTCCACTACAAAAAGTTTTTTTTTTGTTTATAAGTTGTCGGATTTAAGTCGTGTGTACAGGACAACTTGTGTGGGGTCCGCTAGTAATCTTATATTTCTTCCAATGTCCCATCTGGTAAGGCAAAATCATGATGGAATGATTTTTGAAATGTATGTATTTTTGTTGCAACGCAGCACTTACGAGGTTTCGCAGGACGCGCTCGTCCCAGCACTGGTCTAGGTCGAGCTCCTCGACCTTGGTGCTACTGGTCACCTGTCCACCGCTACTTTGCACCGTCTCCTGCAACAAAACGCGTCGTTAGGGCAGAACCCATAGTTGTCCTATTCAAAGTAGAAAATGTCTAGAACAAGAGCGTCAGGGCGCGATACCGAAGACGTGGGTTCTATTCCCACAGCGGCGAGAAGTTTTTCGTTTCTTTTTTCTACAAACTTCAATGTTTAATTTTAAGTACTGAGATTAGCACTATAACATTTTTAAATATCTAGAAACTTTCTACTCATTCTTTAAATTTTTCAACTTTAATTATGTCTTTGTGTGTGTGTTTGGGCTCAAATAGAATTACCTTGCATCGGTGTAGCATATCACAAAAGCTTAACATATTCATTCAAATCCACGTGAACAGAACGTGTAAAATTTTCGCAATTAGAAGAATATTTGCGACCGAATCTCTTTAGTAGTAAGATTTTTTTTGCAACTTTGCGTTCTAGCCTCAATTTCACAGTTCGGCGCAGTTTGTAGTGGTACGTAGAGGTGAAATTTTGTAGAATTTATAAATAAAACCCGAAAGTGGCCCAACAAAGCTGACAGACAAAGAGATTGTGCAAGCGACTTAATATTAGCTACCGTGAAGCGTTGGGCGAACCCACTTGGCCTTGTATCGACGCCCTTCGAGATGACGCATTTCTGTCTAACATCCATAATACAGTGACCTGCTTATAATAACAGTAAAAGAGTTGACTTGTCAATTAATATTTAAAAAACTAAAACTTTCTCTTTTCCTTAGCGCTTCTTGTCTTTTGGCTACTGTAAAATTCCTCGGCTGTCATTCTTTGCAAAAGCTGGTAAGTGCTCTCGGTAAAAACAGGTTTTAGTGAAATAAACGCCTTCTTTCTGGGTAGACAGATTGTATTTTTTGAATTTATACTCCTTTTGGCACGTTTGGAATAAATTATGAGAGTAGAATTTTTACCACGCACGCACAGACCGACAGGCAAAAAGCGACATGATATACGTAGTTGGTTGCAAAGCGGCCAACTTCGACTAACTTCACGGTATTACTATGGCAACCAATAAAAACTATGACTTTTACCTATAATTCCAAGTTATTTAATTAAACCGTCATCATTTGCATTTAATGCATTTTATCAAAAACAAAGAGTGCTAAGGGCGCAGTAGGTACACAGGGCGTAAAATTTTTAGTTATTTTTCTTTTCTTACGCTAAAGAAGTATAACTTATTACGTGCCTACATAAGTACACAGATATATTTTCTTATTTGTAAATGAACGAGTTAATGTTTACATAAGGTAAGAGCGCATTTAGAAAGTACAAGCGAACTGCGAGAATGTCGAACGCAATAGTGCAAAAGCGTTAAAATGATTCGAGAGTTGTATAAATTGCAAATTAACACCGCTCACCTTCATCATCGCTGTGAAACGTTTTTACAATTTCATTTACCGTTAACGATGAACGTAAACAAAGTAATAAAATGACGAACGGATAAACATTCATTTCGATTGATAAAGTTTGCAGAGTTGATGCAATGTCACCATGAATAATCGGCTGTAGGTGTCCACCGCGTCTTCGCCAGTGTGGTTTTGTTTAAAAAAATAAACATTTATAATACTTGTGCTGTACAGCCAATGTCTAGTCGTGTGAGATATAGAGAAACAAAGTACCTACCTAGTTCGAATTTGTGGCTTCCACTTTTCTTACATTTTAAGTTTATTAATAATAAACGAAAGTGAAGTTTCAGCCTATATTTCCAGCCTCCACTGTACAGGGTTAGGGCATAGCCCACCACGCGACTCCACTCTGGATTGGCAGACTTCAAATATCTTTGTTTTATTATTACTTTGAATATATGCAGGTTTCTTCACGATGTTTTCCGTCACCGCTGAACACGTAAAATTAACAATTTCATTGGAGCATAATGAATTAAAATGGAGCGCTCGGACTAAATATATTCAATCATTAACAATTTTAAATGATAGCATTAGCGAAAGCCTCAAGAATCAAGAAGGATTAATCGGACCCCTGTTATATTCCAGATATTCTGTTGAAAGGTAAAATTTCTTCGCGTCCGAATACACGTGAGTCAGGTCTTGAATGTATTTGTGCAGTAAGCGATCGATTCCATTTGTTTTATCTATATAACTTTTTTATGGCTATGTGTCTGTTGCACGAGTTTCGTTTTCGTTGTATTTATAAATCATATTAAGGCGTAAACACTAGATAGTTTCCTAAGTACATCTTTAGATATCTTGATCAATTTTAGGTTGGAATTTGTCCAGTAGGTGTATATTATCACGCTATCGCAAGTTTGTTGTAACGATAAGATATTATGTCATATGTCGTCATCTATTAAATAGATTTTTCATATACATACTCATATCAATATACTTGGAGTGTGGTGTGACAAGGATCCCAGTTAATAAAATTTGAGTTTTTATCTATGCATGTTGTAACCACTTTTAAACTTGGATTGATTCCAACTACTACGGGATGCATATTTTCATTAGATTGATGGGATGGTGATGATTTCGTGGTTGTCTATTGAAAAAAAGACTATTGTTAAAAAGAAAAATTAAAATATTTCAACGTAATTCTTCTTTAGTTGATATCGTGCGTCGAATAAGTTGTAATTCTAAACGGGGAGTCTAATATCCTCTTTCGTAAATCACGACTTTTTTATTAGTTTTCCATTATTTACACAACATTTAACTACGATTTTTTTGACCATTCGGTGACGTGCTTATATTGCAGTTTGATGGGTACGGTTCTGACGGGCACTCCCACATATTCTTGCTGCTGCCTCAACGAAGGCCGGGATCCATGAAAGATCGTTTTCACCGAAGAAAAGGTAACCTTCTGTTATCTACACCCCGAGATCTACTTAGAATTCTCCCATTAGTTGATGGACATTGCCAGTTTTGGAAGTGAAATTGGAAATAAAATTCAATTTCGCTTTTGGGTTATACATCGAGATAAATGGAGCAGATACGAGATACAAGTACATATAGTAGTTCATTACATTAAGAGTTTCACGTGGGTGTAGGGAATAGGTAGTGCGTTTATAAACGTCAAATTGAACGCAGTCACATTTCGATTTCAAGCTTCCACGCCAATATTTTGTTTTCATTCAGACGGCAGAGTTCTGGATTTGTGCCAGAGCTTTGGAGATTTAGCCCTCCGCCGCTGTTGCTCCAATGTGCGCGCTCCGGCATCGCTAGCGTTGTTAAAAATAAAAAAGAGTTAATGTCTACATGCAGAAACGCTAGGCGCCTAACTGTTGAGAGACGCTCGAATGTAATATGTAATATTTTTCATTTTGGTTTCATGGCTTTGTTTGCGCCGGTGCTAAGCAATTGGTTATGCTGCTTTGGTTCAATTTTCCTGTTGAGCAAGACCTGTATCACTTTAAAATAGTAGTTGACGAAAACAGCGATAGACTGACCAATTTGCAGAATGAAATTTATAAATATATGGGTAATACTGCCAGTGGGACGGGTTTAGAAGAATATTGCCGTACTATTAGTTATTTTATTTATTTCATCGAATGATCTTCTCGTTTTCAGTCCGAAAACTTCGAAAGCTTTATTAAAACTGTGTTCGTGGTACAGCCAAGTTTCATGGGCAAATGCAATCTTCCTATTTATCCAATCAGAGAAGGGTTGTCTCCTACATGGTATCGGGCATCAGTGAAGACTTAGGCTCCGATAGAGGAGCTTATTAGTGAAACGTCTTATTGAATGTTTTGGTCGGTCATCGCCATCTCTCGTTGACAGATCGGAGACGGAGACTTGTGTTACTTTTGTGAGTCATTGGTGTGAGCTTCGTTGCAGGCGAAGGGCGTCCGGCCAACTCTGTGAGGAACGCATTCCTAAGCGAGCCCGGGACACAACTGTTTCGCATGCGACCGTCGCATTTTGGTTATTTTCCTTACGGTTTATAATGTTTCGAGACTTTCTAGTTGACTATAAATTGATACGGGATCATTTTCATTGGAGGCCTTTCTATAAAACATTATAAAGAATATCGGTAGTGATACTTCTTCTTGCATTTCCCTATCGTAGAATTCAAAGAACGATACAAGTATTTTTTTTTGTTTTATTACATACACTTGAACTATAAAATCTGCCTGCAGCTTTCTCAGAAATTATCACTTCAGCTTTTGGACAAGTCACAAAAATGGAAGTCAGATCGCAGGTGTATAGATGACACTTGGCATAACCGCTTTCGGTAAGTAGCTCCCGCCTGTTTAGTGTTTTTCCGGACCAATATGACTTTAAGACTAAAATTAATTCGAAGGGATTACTTAACTAGAATACTAGACGCGTTCATAAAACACCTATTACTATCAGGGGTGCCGCTGAATCGTTTGCCAAATATTCCGTAAAGAGTACCTTTTTCCTGCCGAGAGAAATGTCCATAGCAAACAACAAACATGGCCGCTACAGCTAGCACGTAGACGAGGAAGAGATTGGAATTGGAGCATATAATTAGATGTGGCGACGCAAATTACAGCTGCTATTACATTGTTCTTTGTCTCTTATCGTTTGCGCTTTGCAACGTGGAGATTTCTTCATTATGTACTTAAATTAATAAGGATTTACTTAAATATACACTAATGTTAAAATATTCTCAGCCTAAGCTTTATATTGAAGACTGGCTGTGCCCGCGACTTCGTCCGGGTGGAATTTGAAATAAAAAAAATTCTAAAATAAAAGTAGCCTAAGTTACTCCTTATGCTATCTGTCAGTGAAAGTCCCGTCCAAATCGGTCCAACCGTTTCTGAGATTAGCCGGAACAAACAGACAGACAGACAGGTAAAAATTGTAAAAAATGTTATTTTGGTATATGTACCGTGTACACATCCATATGCATTTAGTAAAAAGTGGTTATTTTAATATTACAAAAGACTTCATCTCATTGCTATTTGGAACAGATTATGCGAGCTAAGAAATTTGCTTAATAGAAAGAACCATTGCTGAAAATCCATGCGTCCGTCTGCATTTTAACCTGAAGCTCTGCGATGCCAATGCATCGACGCCTTTTCTT